TTAAAAAATGATCGTACTCGGAACATGCTCTTGAGTCCGAATAAATTCAAAGATATAAACACCAGGTGATAGCTTAATATTACAACATAGATGAGGAAAATTGACGATGGAAAAGCTGAAGTCATCTCGTTTGTCATACAATTTATTTGATAGTTGGCCCTTATTGTCTATAGTCAGTAAAACATCCAGATATGAAACAGATGTGAAAGACTCTGTGGGCTCTTTTATTTGAGTTCACTGGGATACATAAATCCACACATGAATGGAAGTTATAAATACTAATTGATAAAATGTCGTCCATATATTTGAATGTCGAATTGAAGGCCACAAAAAGTGTTTTCTTCTCAAGTAGAAGTTTCTGAAGTTAATTTTGCTTCATAAATATATAAAAACAGGTCGGTTAATACAAGAGCATAGTGAATGCCCATTGAAATTCCAACATATTTTTGGAAAGCCAGGGGCCCGTTTTACAAAAGAACTTACGACTAAGACCAAAAACTTTCGTTAATTGTAAAATTTTACAAAATAAAATATTCTGTTTCGAATTGCTAGCATAAAATTATCTTGTTAAATTCTTTTTAAAAAGATAAAAAAAAAACCCTTTGAAATTAAATTAAAATAGAAAGTAATAAGCAGAATTAAATGTTGGACTTAGTCGTAAGTTCTTTTGTAAAACGGACCACTGGTCTCCAGAACTACATACTGTAGATGACCTAATTTTCGAGAGTTCTTATTTTTACGAGAATTTTATTTGATATATATATAAACGAGACAAAATTTTCACGAATTTCGGTCATTGCTTTGTATATGTTCTTTGATAACACTAATATACGCGAGAATGAAATTTTCGCGAGGAGACAGACTCGCGTAATCACCCAAGTAAAGTTTTCGCGAATAAAAAATATAGGAAAAAATGTAGGAGCTCCAGCATCCTTTAATATTAACTTCAGAGTACTTGTTCTTAGAATCAGAGTGATTTTTGACAAAGAAATTTTGTAGATGACCAATCACAAGATATGAAAATGTTCGAGTTCCATTTTGATTAAAGAAGCAGTTATCTATGATATCAAAAAGCCTAGTTTTTTTATTTATCGTAAGGAATGGTTGTAAAAAGTGTAGAAATGCCAAGTCATAAATTTTGATGTTATTGACTTCTAAAAAATTTTGTGATATTAAATTTTCTAAAAGTTCATCGGAGTTTTTGAGAATCCTCATTTGATAAACACCACTTTTAGAACATGCTGTAGGACAGTATGTCTGAAGTCTCGTCAATGGCAGTTAAAGTTTTGTAAGGGGTAAAGATAGGGGCTTGGTAGAGAATTTGCTGGACCCTGTAAGGTATTTTAGAAATCGATTATAGATAGGGTAGAATCAGCTGTAATCCGCCAGCATAGCAATCGTTATTCATATCGTCATAGGTTCACTAAATAATGTTGTTTATTTCTTATATTATTTCTTAAAGCTTAGTGATAATGTTTAGACAGTGTCTTAGTTTAAAAGACAGATTTTCAGACTAAGGTCATTCAAGTGTCAAGGTATATAATTATTTGTTCAAATGTTCCCATTTTTGATGTGCCATTTAGAACCATTTAGTTACTTTACTCAAAGACATCCATTTACTTCTCTGTTTTTACGAGTCACACATTTTTCTGTTGGTGGGTCTTCAATATATTTAAAATTCAACATTTTTTAACTTATTACTGGCAAATACATGCCCTATCTACAGTAACATTCATTGTTATGTAGTTAAGCATATCAAGTAAATTTCAAATAATGCAAACATTACCTTACGTCGCGGGTTCGAATCCCACTGCAGGACGTGGAAATCGCACCTTTGATGAGACCGTATAAAACGAGGTCCCGTGTCACAATAGGTGAGGATCCCTCACTGTTCAATGGCCCTGAGTGCCGAGTATAAGTCTAAATTCTCAGCCCTCCATCGGCAAGTGGTGGCGTCTCCATATGAGTGAAAAATTCTCAAGAGGGACTTTAAACAACAAACAAACAAAACCTGGCAGGAAGAAGGTATATAATATCTGAAGACTTCTTAGGTGGTTGTATACTTATATCACATGATCAATTTACCTGTGCTAGGTTTTATTATGTTTCCTGGTCTATTCTTTGACAATAAATATTACAATTAGTTTGTATTGGAGTTAATACTTCCCTTATTTATGTAGCAATATACCATTATCACTTGCATTTAAAGTTTATAACTTTCTATTGATTCAATACGCAAGAGCATATGCTCTACGTACGCACAGTTTCTAAATTGCAAGCTACTGACAAATAAGTTGATGATACAGGAATATTAAAAGTCTCGTTTAAAGTTAACATTTCGTATTTTTATGGTCGATATAATGACCTTTTCTATAAATACAGTCTATCACGAATGTTGACTGACGTTTTTCATACAAATTGTTAGGCCATTGTTTTCACACTGAATTGTCTACGGAATTTTCGTTTGCCCGATCGTGAAAAGATCACACGACAGGTGTGACGGGTCGACGGGGGATGATGACTACTCCATGGAACTTGATCCCACCTGTGGTGTTTTTAGAGATCTAATAGTTTGCTCTGCTCCTAATTGTTCCAATGGACCTTGATTGTCCCTAATTGTTCCAAGTGAACTTGATTGTCTTTGTCTTGTCAAGTAAAAATTTATCGCCCATTGTGTCCCCACACTACCCTGGGGGTGATGATTTGAACAAACTTGTATATACACTATCTGTGTATGTTTCCATATAAATATGACTGATCATGGATCATTCTCGAGAAAAAGATTTATAAAGATTTTTCCCATGTATAGCCATGTAACTTTGATCACCCATAGTGACCTTGCCCTATCCCTAGGGGTCATAATTTAAATAAATTTGAATCTACACTATATAAAGAAACTTTCACATAAGTTTCATCTTTTCTGGCCCAGTGGTTCTTGGGAAAAAGATTTTTAAATGACCCCACCCAATTTTTACTTTTTCTTAAGTATATCCCCTTAGAAGAGGGTGTGGCCCTTTAATTATACAAATTTCAATCCCCTTTACCAAGGATACTCTGTGCCAACTTTGGTTGAAATTGACCCAATAGTTCTGGAGAAGAAAAAGAAATTGTAAAAAGTTAATGACGCCAACGACAGCATCAACAATGACAGACAACGGAAAAATTTTCATCAGAAAAGTTCACTTGAGCCTTCGGATCAGGTGAGCTAATAAGAGGCCCAAGGATCTTACTGGTCACCTGAGTATAATACAACAATATTAGAAGATTCATAGAAGTATAAAATACACTGACAGATAAGTTTCGTTACCCAAAAGCAAGAGAAGTAGGAAGATCAGGATCAGCAAAATAATTAGTCTAGTACTCAGTAACAACTCACAAAGTAATAAGTCCTTGCCCCCATTTCTCACTCTCATCATCCTGACTATTAATAAAACAATAGTGCTTTAGTACCATTTCTAATCCCATATTATCACCTTCTTGGTCTTTGAAGAAGATATAATAAGATTAATTATTTTTGTCTTATTTTTATGTTTTTATTATTTTCAAGTGTACGTAATCATTAAAACTATGCAAGTACTTTTTTATTATACAATAAAAACTCATACCTGCATAATTCTCTTATTCTATTAACCCCAAGTAGAATAAAGTTGATAGAGCCCTGGCCAGCATCAGAACATTTGACCAAATGGTCCAGAATTTCAAAAATCTGGTAAAAATATACCCTAAATCTGAAAATTTTTACATCAATTTATTTTTGCGAATTTGGGTCAAAATGGCATATATTAATTGTGAATTTCATGGTCCCTGTCCCCCTGGGGTGGGGTCAAGACCATCAAAATGAATGCAATCTTTAACAGAGAAGAAGATTTTCAATAAAACAAAAAAAAAACAACAAAAAAGGCCACAGTACCACTATATATTCAATAGACCCCCCCCCCCCCATGAATCCCCGACACTATGGCCATTTAACAATTTTGGAAGAGGCACTCTTGTTCATCATAACATATGCTTGGTTTATCTGATAAAAACCTAGGAGCAGAGAAGAGGATTTTCGAAGAATTAATGCAATTTCACCATGTAATCAATAGAGCCCCCTCCCGCAGAACTCCCCACCAAGGGACCACAAATTTCACAATTTTGGAGCCATGCACCTAGTTTATCTGCTTTATATACAGGGGTAGAGAAGATTTTTAAAGAATTTATGCATTTTCACTATATGATCATTAGGGCCCCACCCCAACTCCAGAACTCCTGACCCTGGGCCATGAATTGCAATTTTATTAGATGCCAACAGTTTGACTGCTTGATGTCCAGGAGTAAAGAAGATTTTTAAAGATTGCATTAATTTTGATGGTTTTACCCCCACCCCTCAAGCCCCAGGGGGGAAAGCGTCATGAATTTCACAAATTTTACTCCCCTTCACCTATAGATGCTATATGCCAAATTTGGTTGAAATTGGTTCAATGGTTCCAGAGAAGAAGCTGAAAATGTTCAAATGTTAATGCACCACGGACGACGCACGCTGACGGACGAAAACAGATAGCAATAGGTCACCTGAGTAAACTCAGGTGACCTATAAAATACTTTCATAGATTTAATGATCATAAAAATGAGACAAAAATAACTTATTAAATGTTCTATCAAGACCAAGAGAGGCCAATGTGAGAGTTAAGATATGGGGTTAAAAAATAATTTTGTTGGTAATTTGCACAGCGAGTGATAAATTGGGGACAGATTAGAACTTAATTTATGAGTTGTTACTGAATTCTAGACTAATATTTCATTTGATCCTGATCATCCTATTTCTCTTGCTTTTGGGCAACAAAGCTTCATCAGTTTATTTTATACTCTATGAATCCTCTAAATTGTTGTATTGTACTCAGGTGACTGTTAAGGCCCTTGGGCCTCTTGTTCTATGTTACCCTTAGATTCTCTGTTTTTACAATGGTAAATATATACATGTATTCTCTAAATGTACAGAAGGAATAACAAACACTCACTATAACAAAAATGTCTGCTTTATTAGTCAGGAAAATGACAAATTAAATACCAATATTTAGTGAAAACAATCATATCACTGATCAGAATTAACAAGTCCACACATCACAATATATAAACATGATTTAGACAGTGGTAACGAGGCCATGCCTATAGCCTGAAAACACATCACACACAATAATTAACACAATATACAACAAAATTGTGTAGTGGCCTATCCTAGACACTCTCTATTAGTATGTCACAGATGTTAGCTACTGTGAATTGCACTTGTTTCATTGTACAGTAGATAATTGGCAAAAGAGCCAAGGACAAATAAATTGTGAAGAAATCATCAAATTCAGAAGCCATTTTAAACAAAATGTTTTTCACTTCTTGTGAAAAATTAATACAAATATTTATACCAAAGATTCCAAGAAATGTTTTCCTACATAAAAATAATCACATATTGTATTAAATCCATGGGATCCATACACATATTATTAAGATACACTGGACAAAAGAATAGCATCCTCATATAAACCCCTCTATCACACTGTGTCAACCATTACATTACTAAACAGGCAGAACATGTACAGTATCGTCACAGTACAAAAAGCTATCACAAAAACCCCAATCACACTTATCAACCATTACATTTAAAACAGGCAGTATTCACGGATAAGTTGTTCAGTAGTGCCAAGCTAATACCCTGGATATATGCTGTAAATATAAAGCAGCCTGAGTATAGATAAGCCTATAGTTAACAAAAACTGAACACTTGGATTAAAGGTTTATATCACATTTAGTTGAAGTGGAACTGCTTTTCCCGGGTAGCAGTTATCAGTCTGTCTCGGAGGATTCCCTCGCTGGAATACTCTGGCAGTTTGAGATAGTGATAACACGTGTTCACGGAAGGATAACTAGACTCATTCTCGTTTTTACGAGCGACGGAGAGACGTGGGTGGAGATTGGCCAGACCCCCCGGGGGAAGGGATGAACACCCCGTCACAAACTGAACAAATGCTTTCCTCTCATCAGCATTTAGTTCACACAGGACTGACACAAATCTCTGGAATCCAGGACTAAAAAAAAATAAACGTTACCAAGAATTACTCAAACTGCTTAAAACAATAATTACATTTTCAAGTGCAATATCTATTTTTATCATTATAATACATTTAAATACATGTAATGGTGAAATATAACATTACTATATTTTGGCTAAGGAATTTGTTCCTCAAAGCCTTCTTTAAAATATACCTTTCTTTCGTGTATCCTTGTTTTGGCTCAGTGTAATTCAGAATGTCATCCCGTGTCCAATTAGGAAACTGGTCCCCACAGAGTTTGGTCACCAGTTCATCAGGACTGAAGGAATGGAGTTTCTCCATAGGAAAGACTTCATTAAAACCCTCTGTAAAGTTTAAAATGAAGGGTACATGTATTCAATTATTTTAAAAAATAAGAGATATTTGCATAATCTTCACATACTGTAAATACATAAAATGAAAATCAGAAAGATAGAGAACTACCAAGTAAGTGTTAATATGTCAAATAAACCGACGTGTACCTCTAAATGCATCCAGCTGTCTTCTGATTCCAATGTTCAGACAGAAATCTGTCACCAAGTCAACATACTCATCCACGTTCTCCATGGTAACATCCTACACAAATGTTACAAGTTTGCTTGAATTCACATTGACAAGAGAACATTTATATTCACAACAATGAGAGTACATTTAAGTACATTTAAGTAAACATTTAACTCGACAAAGAGAGTACATTTAAGTAAACATTTAACTGGACTTGACTTTGTTATGATTTCTTACCACATTTTCTCCATCTGGCTTCAAGTCATACGTCACATATCCATAGACCTTTGATGAAGGATTGAACTGGAAAGTCAGCCTGTAAAAGAGACAAGTGTCAGTTTTATCATCTAAAAATCTACGTAAAAAAGATTTAGGAGAGCTCTTTTGGAGCCTATGAAACTGGATGATTTCAAAGCATACCCATTCAATAAAAAAAAAATAATAAATTGACACAGCACATGTTCGTGTAAGTAAAGTACTCATATAATTCCACAAAATAACAACATTTTTAAAATACCTACCCAAGATCTTCAATCCGGCATCCCTCATATTTCTGTCCATGTAATGCAAGCCTCTGAAGCCGAATATTTTTCTGATCCTGTGTCAGGCTCCGATCCTTTAGAATCCTTTGTTTACGACTCACCAACTCACGCAACTGTTTTAAGAAATTAGAACGATAGGGATCCACAATATCAAAATCCTCCTCTGTCAGAATACCGGCAAACCATGCTGGAGTGTCATGGTGTCGGAGCTTGGGAGGGTCCAGAATCAACTCCTTATCTTCTATACTGGAGGTCATTAATTCACTATGGTCACTATGATAAGACTCGGATGACCCCATGGACCGGTGGAGAGATTCCGTATACTGCTGGGTAATGTGGTGCCCTACCTCCCCCATACACATCAGTTTGAGGAATGGGCGAGAGAGTGGCATATCTATTAACCGTTTGTCCTGTAGACATTTGGCAAGCAGAGTGCCAAAGAACTGGAAGAGTTTTTCTACCCTGGACACTTCAGAATGATCCTGGGGTAAGGGTGTGGGGAAGAGACCCCCCGTTCTCTGTATGTAGTAACCTGATGGCTTCACACCTTGTCCAAGATCAATCTGAAATTATATTACAATCGTAATTTTACTCTGTAAATTTGGCAACTCTAAACAACTGTTTATTTTTCATACAGGGAGGTATGTACTACTATTAAAACAGATAACTGATCGACATCTGTACTAAAAATGTCGTACAATATACTAAGGGAATGTCTGTTCAGAATTATTTACCACTGTTTACTTGAATCAGTAACTTTTGCTACCTTCAAAAATTTCATTTCGATTTCAAGATACTTAGGGCCTCATAATCAAACTCCCTACCTCTCTCTCCATTTTATCATGGAAATCATCGTCCACAAGCCACATTCCGAGTTCCTTCTTCTGCAGCTCTGCAGCCACCAGGGCATAAAACTCTAGACTGGGCCCCAGACCAGTGCCTTCCTCACCCTGGAACTCGATTTCCAGCATCGACTTCCTGTGTGAGTGGCACGTCATCACCTGGATGGCCCACTCTAACAGATTATCTCCCCTTGGAACCTTCACTCGTTCATGTTTAAGACGACCAATTCTATACTCGCCACCATCTTCTCTTCTAGTCACAGGGCCACGACTTCTCTCTATACTGGCGTCTCTCTTGTCTTGTAGCCAAACTATTGCTCTGTTTAAGAAGATCCATTTCTCTTTCAATTTTGTCATTTTCCTCAAACATCAAATCACTTTACATTCTCATTAAATATTTTAAATTCACTGCTTTAAAACTGAATGGATAAAGCAATGACTAAATAAACTACAGACTGGACATGAATATCAGTACCTAGAGGTTCCAAAAGCTGTACAGGTGAAGTACAGTTGTCTTGTATCAACAGAGAACAACATAGGACAGGACGTAGTCAGCTGTTCACACCAGTCAGGAAGAGCGTTACTGGCCAAAACCAAAGGATCCTGTGAAAGGACAAGTTAAAAAACATTTTTCTGATGCTTCAACCAGTATTTAGAGCCTAGTTTCTACACTTTGTTCGAAAGAATTGTTTTTGGACTATCTATATGTTTATATTATTCCAATAATTTAACAGTTATACGTATATTATTTTACCTGTGTCTGTTGATTAAGTTTGTTGGTCAACTTTTTGGAGACAAATTCCTCTGCAGGAACATTCAGTTGTACACCCTTCTTCTCTGTTAATTGAATTGTTGGATTAAAACTTCATAAAATTCATACTGTTTAGTACATGCATTTAACCCCCCATCCCCCCAAAAAAATCTTCGCTTAATCCTTTCCATACATGTATATGATACATGTATTTACAACAAAAAGACAAAATACTTCTGATGCAATGTTTCAGTGTTTATTACCATTCAGCTGCATATTCTGGCTGTGTTCCATAGAGATAGCGTAGAGTCTTTGTAGAAGCTGAAGGACGTGGTCAATTGTACAGGCTGCGGGGTCGTTACTACGAGGAACATCCCATTCACTCAGGATCTGGTATGTGTTGGCGTCAGACTGAGCTCCTGTCTGGGAGTGCATCGAGTCCTGTGTACAGTACAAATCGTGTTATAATAACATCAAACAGACAGCTGGAAGGTACTTATGTTAGAGTATAGATGTACAACAATGTTGAAGAAATGTTACAGAAGTATTGTAATATTTTAATTCACGCCAACACCAATTAAAGTTCTTACTGTGATTTTCTCCAGGTCTTGTCTCGTTTCTCCTTCTTTCAAAGTTCTGTATACAATTCTGCAATATATATGTAAATAGTTTTATAAAATTGTTCTGGTGTGTATTTTTTTGTTCTGGAAACATTCAGACTTGGTGTAAAATGTACAATAAACAGACTTACATGCAAGTCATCATTTAGACTTCAGTTGGTTCAGTAATGAGTCTGACTTGATTGCAAGTTGGCTCAGCAACAAGTCTGACTTAACAATTCTGACTTACACATAAGTTGGTTCAATGAGTCGACATGAGTGTTACATGTAATTGGTTAAGTAATTATTCTGACTTGCATGTAAGTTGGCTAAGTAATTATTCTGACTTACGTGTAAGTTGGTTAAGTAATTATTCTGACTTGCGTGTAAGTTGGCTAAGTAATTATTCTGACTTACATGTAAGTTGGCTAAGTAATTATTCTGACTTGTGTGTAAATTGGCTAAGTAATTATTCTGACTTATGTGTAAGTTGGCTAAGTAATTATTCTGACTTACGTGTAAGTTGGCTAAGTAATTATTCTGACTTGTGTGTAAGTTGGCTAAGTAATTATTCTGACTTACGTGTAAGTTGGTTCCCAAATTCTCCTTATTCTTTCATTCCTGTTCCCTGACATGCCGTGGACCAACAATTTCTGGATGTACTTAAAGATACAGCTGTTCTCTGACCCAAGGCAAACTTCAATGTTCTCCATCTATCAATAATTATCACATTTCATTAAAATTCACAAAAAGTATACTTAAACAATTACACTTCATATAGACCTCTTATAGCTATCTCTTTTCTAATTTTTTTTCAACCCGAGATAATTTTTCTAAAATTTTCTGTATAAATATAAAATTGCATTCTTAGAAAAACAGGATGGAAAATGAGACAGCTTAGGAGACAGGCTTACCCCTGGTAGACATGGAGCCTTAATATACAGGACGATCTTAGGCTGACTGTTCTGATCCATACTGTCACTAGATTGTACAGGCTCTGTACCTAAATAACACATTCAAATCTTAAAAATTATCAATTTATCAACTGTCGTGAGTTTCCAAGATACAATTACAATGTAAGAAATTTTTGCATATCACAATTTTGCAAAACACTTTTAATTTGAGTTGTTCAATATTATTTTACAATTTGTCTAGGTGTTCAATAAAGTTATCTATATTATCTAAACAATTCACAATCAGTGACAATTTATAGCAAATCTATTTTTTTTTGTCATCAAAAAATGCTTGCAAAAAAAAAGAACGAGAACTGGAATATTGCAAAAATATCCAGTGTTATTCTGTATTTTAAACAGATTTTCAAGTGATTTTCTCACGAGGTCCTTACCAGGAGCTGGAATTTCAAAGTCCTGGTACTGATTGACATTGGTTCGGCCTGGTCTGGGGTCAAAGGCCGGGATGAGGGCAGAGAACTGGCGCTTCAGGACGAACTCATCATCCCAGGTCTTCCTCCTCTCCCCGCGGACTTCTGCCAGGTCATCTTCCTCCTAAATATCACCAAACTTATCACTCACAGAAATCATAGGATACAACTCTCACATCACAGGAACCATAGGATATATCTCTCGATCACCAAATCCTCACACACAAACATCAGAGGATAAAACACTCATGAAAGTACATCTTGAACAATTTCATATTTCTATAAAAGATCTAACACAGCTGATAATTATCTGACCTCAGAAAAAGCAGTTAGCTTCATCTACTCACCAAAACATCATCATACACTTCATCATCTTCATTTTCATCTTCATTTTCATCATCATCATCATCTGGTCCTGGTAATTCTTCATCATCATCTAGTTCTCCTAGTAAAGTGGTGGCTCGACAGGTCTCGAGGAACTCATCACTCTCACTTGATGTGGAAGTGAGACTGCGAGTCAAGGCCTGACTCAGTGATGTCACATTAGCCATAGTTTGTGTGGTGGTGAGTGTGCTCGAGGTAGGAGCATTGGAGGTCGTCAGACTCGGGTAGCTTTGAGCGGTGCTCAGAAGGTTGTTACCTACAATAGAGAACAAGTCTGTGTCTTCTGTAAGTATCCATGAACTTTGTTTCATGTTCACACAATTTCTTACAGATAAAAAATCTTTTTGTAATCATACACAAATTTCTCGAAATAATCTTGTTGTTTTGAAGTAAATTGACCTTGTTTTCTCTTACTCTCTAGAAATCAATCTCAATATTTTGACAGATTTACCAAAAACATTTTATAAATAGCCATCACTTTCTTCTTACTTGGTGCATTCTGATTCCCAAGCCTTAGTGCATTACTCCTATTGTTCATGCCAACGGTTCCTAAGTTACGCCTAGCAACAGCTGCGAAGGTCTCCAGAAGACTGACCGTCTGCTCCATGCTGGTTGGCAGATTAGGGACACTGACACTCATGGGATTTGTGGGGGACCCTCTGGTCTGGCCGTCTGATTTCTTCACATCAGTCTTTGAGTTTAGATGTTCCAGTGTCATCCCTCCCTCGGCACCTGAGGCAGATTGTGCTGGTTCCTGGCCCTCCACACTACCAGTCCTGTTGTTGTTAAGGCTAGCTGATTCCTGGACAACCACTTGAGGTTCACTTGGGATGTTGTTACTATTTTTAGTTTCCTCCAGGGATTCCATAGTTGTGGCAAGATTCACAAGGTTGTCACTAAGATTCTGGGCCATCTGAAATAATTACCATAATTATCAAAATTCATCATTCCTAAAAATTTAGCAATTTGAAATCACCTTGTGCTGTAAGCCATCTTATAAGGAATTTCCAAATGTTAATGATAGATAAGTGTATTTTCCAGTGAAAAATCACAAAATTCTGCATCATAATTAAAACATAACATAACAAGGTAACAGCAGGATGCAAACCTGCATGTTAAAAAGGAAATTGTATCACATTTTAATCAAAAGAGTATCATACAGTACATATTCAATTAAACAATAATATACAAATCTTCAATGTCTTACAGATTTGACAGCTGACGTCAGACATTCTGCTGAGGCTGCCTGCTCTGTGCTGGCGACAGACGGTTTGTTTTCGTCCACCTCTGTCAGACTCGGGGTGGAGCTGCTCTTACGACTGGTCAACACACTCACCTGTACACATACAACAAACCGTACTTAATAAGTCTTAATAAATTACAAAACATTAAGTACAGTAAGAAAACAGTTTTATCCTTTCGAAGTCTAACTGACCTTCACCTTGTCAGCAGTGACTATCCCAGTTTTGGCCTTTGCCCCTTGGTCAGACTTGACTGGGATTGCTCTGTGTTTTTCTGGGTCATACCCTGGGGCGAGGGCCAGATCATATTTTCCCTCTGCCCCCATTCTGTAAGAATTGGATCCTCCTGAATCCCATGTCACATCAATCCAACCTGTCAATCAGAGAATTATCAAATATTACGGGATTTTAATAGGGAAGTAACTCACATCTTCTTTACATAGATCTCCCCTTATGGGAACTTCGTTAAGTTAACATTTAGTGCAATATGAATGAAACTTTGTCTCATGTCCTGAACAACATGTGCATTTGGTTTATTTTTACAGTGTATTTCAATACATCTTTTATGATCTATATTTTTCACATCAGAAATAACTATATGATAAGATATAAAACATCTCCTATTGTACCATTATGTAGTTCTCCTGTAACAGTTCCCTCCCCTGCCTTGGGTCCGTCCTGATCTCTCCATTTCCAGTCCATCCCTCGGACAACTCGAGCCCCGGGGACCATCTGTTTCAGGACCTGAGTTCTGATGATTCTTCGCTGTCTCCTCAGGCTGGCCTCAGCTTCTCTGGCTGCCTTACCTTGGGAAAGGTACAAAAAGTCAATTTTTCAATTCTTTGCCCTATAAATCCTAGATATTTCAAGTAAAAGAAACATTTCCAAATTCAAATGACTACATGTTCAATGCTTCATGATTTTAATTTAGATCCCCACCTAATAGAATTAATCTTATTTCTCTATCTATTGCTATAACTTTTAATTCAAACCAAAAACGATTACCTAGATCATCACAGACACCATTGACAGAACCATAGATCTCCAGTCCTGACACGGACAGATAGTGGGTCTGTCCGCTAGCATTACGACCTGTCTGTTGTATCTTGATGTGTCTCCACCCCTGCTTCTCATCCTCTGGTGGGGTCAAAGTCCATGTGGCAGTGGATCCTGGTTCATTCAGGCTGGTATCATCCTTGTGGCTCCTCAAGGTCACCCAAGTGGTGCCATCTTTAGAGACTTGGAACTGCCAATTCCTCAAAGCAGATCTGAATAACAAAACTTAACATGAAGATTTGCTAGTTTATACAGCATTATTATTGTAAATAATTTAACATTCACATAATTAATTTTGCAAATGTAATTGCTGAGTACAGAGATAATGTCAGTTATAATTTTCCTACCTTCCATATCCCCGTGCATGCCTCAGTGTGTAGTGAGTGGGCAGAATCCACACCCCTAGGTCAATAGCAAACCATGCCTTCCTAAATGTCACAAACAACAATTAGGTTATGTTTCTGGTATATACATGTAGAACAAATCTCATATTTCTATTTCATTATTTCATAGTATTTCAATTTAGAAATTAATTTTCTTTTTAAATGTATATATTTAATGCATACTTGTCGTCATTGGTATGACAATTCAGAGCCGCACTATCTCGACTGACGATATCCTCCAGCTTCCCGTACGGCAGATTACGACCTTCAGATGAGGTCACAACTATCAGTCCATACTGTGCTGGATTGACCCACTCAATGGCAGACCTATACATACAGAAATACAAAATTACACGGAGCTTTTGCTTGATATTTGAGATATTTTACTAATGTTAATGACAGATCTTTCCATAACGAGGATGTATGAGGAGGATGTAGGAGAAGGATGTATGATGATGTATGAGGAGGATGTATGATGAGGATGACCTACCTTTTATGATGAGGATGTATGAGGAGGATGTATGAGGAGGATGTATGAGGAGGATGTATGATGAGGATGACCTACCTTTTATGATGAGGATGTATGATGAGGATGTATGATGAGGATGTATGATGAGGATGTGTGAGGAGGAAGTATGAGGAGGAAGTATGAGGAGGAGGATGGTGAGGATGTAGGAGGAAGATGTAGGAGGATGTATGTTGAGGATATAGGAAGAGCATGTAGGAGGAGGATGTAGGAGGATGTAGGAGGAGGATGACCTACTTTGCATTTGATCCTATCCAGTAAATGAGACCGTTCTCGTCAAAGTCTGACTGGTAGTTCAAAGACAGGGCTTCTTTCTTCTCCTTCAGCATCTTAACAAACGTAAAAGTCTGTCTGTCAAAGTCATACCACTGCTTTGCAACCTGAAATACGAAGATTTTTTAGCACGTAATAAATCATACAAATACTCTTAAAATAACACCCATATATATTTCGAGAAGTAATGGTCTACATACTGAATTACAGTTACATAAGCCAATTTTTTTTAATAGAAGTATCTTCAAAGAATCTTAAATCAATATTAATGCGCTATTGAGATTTGGAAAATAATATAAGATTGTTAAAGATTAAACTGAGATGACAAACCATTTTGAGTAAGTATTTCTCCAGCACGCCTACAGTTGTCAGTGGCTCCATCTTCAGGTTACACCCACTCCTCTCTAGTAATCCAGACTCACCTGGTGCTCGCTCGAGTCGGAATCTCAAACGTCGAGTCAAAATCTACAATAATAGCATCATGATCACTTGGGTTATCCTTCATATTGCTCTTTTTCACTGATTTTGAGTAGAAGTATGGACCAATCTACCACGTATCAAATAAGTAGGAATACGAATAACATGTATTTACCTGTAATCCATAACCAGAGCCTGGTAAGTCATAATTATAGACTGGCAGTTTTTCTACAGATTCTAACACTGCTATCAGCTTCCGAACCAGAGCTATGGCTGGATTAAGGCTGAAACAAAGGGGGAAAAAGTTTTGAACAGCAAGTTTGTAAAATATTAATCTAAGCTATTGAGATTGTCAAAAATTCATTATTAAATCAGAATTTACAATTCTTTGATATATTTCTTTTCATGGTTTCACAGCCATATAAACCGGTGTAACAAATTATTTTAAAATGCATTTAGATCTGGTTTTATTTGATAACTAATAAAAAACAGAAAATTATCAGAAGAGGTCCATGAGCCTGAATCACCTTCATCCTTTAGTTCTTCAAAAGTTTATCAAAAGATTTTTCTTTTCTCATTGATCAAACTTGAATCCATACAACAAGGGAATTCTTCAATGTCAATGTTACTAACATGACCCTACTGTTCTGGAGAACAAGATTTTTAAAAGATATTTTTAAGATATTACTCTTTTATATTTAAATGTTCTCTGTTTTCTCCCTCTACGAATCTGCACTCATCAGCTGCATTCATATCACCATGAACACAACCTCTTTGGCTATGAATGCAGTTTGTTTCTCGAACTCGCACAGAAGAAATACACACCACACATTTAATACCCTAATCAGCATCATTAAATATGTCTGCAGAGCAAATATTGTTTATAACACCATGTTTACTGAATAACGTTCATTTCTTAAATATAAACAATGAAGTAATTACATGTTCTTTCCTTATACTTTAGATTATAAAGGAATTAAAATTAAATTCACATGCAATGATCTATAAAAAAAAAAAATCTTGCATAGCAAATCCCCTTCTATACCAGGAAGTATAAACACCTGACAGGTAGCTAACACAGGTATCAGGTGAGTGTATTGCATGAACAAAGTCAAAGAGATAGACTACACTTGGCTTAATAGGTGGGACGGCCACCAATACTGAAGACAGGTAATAAATATACAAGAAGTAACTTTAGCATTTCTGCAAATTTGAAAATGGTTAAGAATTTTTTTTTTTAAATCCAGTAAGCTTTAACCTATGGAAACAAAATTAATCCACTTTAAAAGTGGTTACTGTAAATTCCTTATTTTACGCGAGTACTTAATATTGCGAAATGGCACAAGGGCATCAAATCGCGAGAACAATAATTCACGAATCGGTGATTTATCTAGAGATTTTACGTACATAAAAGCACCATAAAAATAAAAGCGAGTAATTTTATTTCGCGATTGGTGCTTCTCGCATAATTACGCAATAATTTATTCCTCGCGTATATTTAGGAATCTACAGTATGTTAAAGGGTTGAAAGTTTGACGATTTCTTTATATTAGAGTTATGTTGAGTGACAACTTAGATGATCTACTAGTATATAAGAGTGTTCTTTAACAGGAATGTGGAAGTTGACAAGCGGAAACTTTGACAATTATTAGATATTTGTCGATTTCGTAAAAATTTGGTACAGATGCACTGTGATACATGCCTTGTCAATCTGTGTACAGCTTGCGTAGGAAAACATATGATATCTGATGAATCCAAAAAACACCAAATTGTTAGATTCACTCTTAAAAAATCCACATGCCTCTACTCTGAATGTACAACTCATGACAAAGAACGATGTACAATGTACTGTAATCAATGTGACATTCCTGTATGCATTAAGTGCATCAATGCATCAGATCAACATGTAGGTCATAAGTTAGTAGAAATCTGGAAAGCTGTGGAAGAGAAAAAGGACAAATTCATCAAAGAACAAAAAGAATTAAATGAGAAAATTTACCCAACCTACCAGGATATTGCCTCTGATGTACAAAACAGAATGAGTCAGTTAGAAAAGGAATATGGAGATCTCTCAACAGCCATAACAAAACATGGAGAGGACTGGCACAGAGATATTGACAAACTTGTCAAGAAACTTAAAGCTGAAGTTGATGAAATGAAAGACATACAGTTACAAACTCTACAGAAACATCTGGATGAAATAAACAGGAAAATGTCTGACATCAAGGAAGAATTCAATACAATGGAAATGGCTATAAACACTAACAACTTGTCAAAACTATTAAGAGTCACATCCTATGTACATATATACAGAAATCTTCCACAAAAACATGTACCTACATGTATTTCACCGAAATTCATTCCAAGAAAATCCAAGGAGTAAAACTTAATAAACTGTTTGGATTCACATCATCAAGTTATCTCATTTCATATGAACATGCCTACAGCATGAAGACAACACAGAAATCACCAGAAGCTGGATCCTCTCCTCCAGTCAAACAACTGCTTGATGAACCAGAGACTGTCACCACCATAGACACTGGATATGGATACCTTTACAATGTGGTCTGTCTGAGTGATGAAGAAATCTGGACAAGTGGAAATGGCAACACCATGAAACTCTTCAGCATCAGTCGTGGATCACAACTCAAGGCAATCAGAACCAAGTCAGGGAACCTACTAACTGACATAGCAGTAACACTAGAAATGTGTCCATAGGACATGAATGCCCCGCTGAGGGTATATTAGTAATGCAACATTTTAACACAAATTGAGAAAAGTGAGATCAAGGTCAAAGGAAAGGTCAAGGTGAAAAAAATATTGATGCAGTTGAATAGCTTACATCAATGTGTATTAGCATATGAAGTTTGAAACAAATTTAAGAAAAGTGAGGTCAAGGTCAAAGGAAAAGTCAAGGTCAAAAATTGTTTATGCAGTTGAAAAGGTTACATCAGTATGTATTAGCATATGAAGTTTGATAAATATATTATGAATGGTTTCTTTAAAACTGAGCTAAACACTAATTTAAGAAAAGTGAGGTCAAGGTCAAAGGAAAGGTCAAGGTCAAAAAATATTGATGCAGTTGAATAGCTCTCATCAGTATGTATCAGCATATGAAGTTTGACACTTATTTTAAGAAAAGTGAGGTCAAGGTCAAAAAATGTTGATGCAGTTGAATAGCTCTCATCAGTATATATCAGCATATGAAGTTTGATAACACTATCTTGAATGGTATCTTTATAACTGAGCTAAAAACTTATTTAAGAAATGTGAGGTCAAGGTGAAAGTAAAGGTCAAGGTAAAAAATATTGATACAGTTGAATAGCTCTCATCAGTATGTATCAGCATTTGAAGTTTGCTTACACTATCTTGAATGGTATCTTTATAACTGAGCTAAACACTAATTTAAGAAAAGTGAGGTCAAGGTCAAAAGAAAGGTCAAGGTCAAAAAACGTTGATGCAGTTGAATAGCTTACATCAGTATGTATCAACATATGAAGTTTGACCACACTATCTTGAATGGTATCTTTAAAACTGAGCTAAACACTAATTTAAGAAAAGTGAGGTCAAGGTCAATGGAAAGGTCAAGGTCAAAAAAATGTTGATGCAGTTGCATAGCTCTCATCAATATCTATCAGCATATGAAGTTTGATAAAAATATCTTGGATAGTTTCTTTGAAACTGAGCTTTGAACAGAGCTAAACGCAAAGTGTGACAGAAGGACAGACGGAAGGACGGAAGGATGGAAGACAGACATGACAAACACTATATGCCCCGGCTATATTCATGGCGGGGCATAAAAATGTGGAGAACTAGTTTATACTGAGTACAATGATGGAACTGTGAACATTGTAAAGAATAAGAAGATAGAGGTGATCAGACTACAGAACTGGAAACCTATAGGTGTCTGTAGTACCTCCTCTGGTGACCTGGTTATCATGTACAGTGATGATAACAAACAAACAAAAGTTGTCCGTTACTCTGGCTCCACAGAGAAACAAACCATTCAGTTTGATGATAAAGGTAAACCTCTCTATTTGCCTGATCTTTGTTACATTACTGAGAACAGGAACCTGGATATCTGTGCATCTGACAACAGAGCTGAAGCAGTAGTGGTGGTCAATCAGGCCGGGAAAATGCGATTCAGGTACACCAGACATACTTCTGCTCCAAAGAACAAACCATTCAATCCACGAGGAATCACCACAGACAGTCAGAATCACATCCTTACAGCTGATTATAACAATGAGTGTGTCCACATCATAGACCAGGATGGACAGTTCCTCCATTACATAGACTGTGGACTGAGTGGACCCTGGGGACTGTGTACAGATACAAATGACAATCTGTTTGTTGCTCAGTATGGAAACAGACAAGTGAAGAAAATCACATATTTGAAGTGAAATACATCACTGTGTTTTATTATATAGCTAAACAAACCAAAAGAATGAAATTTTACTGATATATCAACATGCTGTTGTATGAAACTTGCAATAATCTTATTTTGATTTTTTATAGTTCAATATCAATGTTTTTCTGAAGAGAATTCAAACACCATACACACAATTTATTTTCTTCTTCTATAGACCAAAATGCTGTGGCAAGAGTGTTTACCAAAGTTAACTACTTGTCAAAATAACCAATGTGCACCCTAATTATAGAACGTCCTTCCAAAATGTCCAAAGTACTAATCCAAATCCATTTATTTTCTTCAGAAAAATAGGTGAGTTAAATATTTGGGAAAGAACCCTTTAGAGAAGAACTCAATTAAATTTTTCTTTTCTGGCAACACATGGTCATTCAAAGCCCATGTTGCTTCCTATAGTATAATCATAAGTGAGATATTTAGTTGTGAATTAACCAGGGGGAGGTAACATAAGAAAATTTACATGAAAGCTAGAAAAGCTACACTGATACTAAAGTACAAGGTCATATAGGCACACTGTTGCTAGGGAAAGCCTAAAAATGCATTTTTCAAAATATTTTAGTTACTGCTCTCTATCTCTTGTTAAAAATTATGCTTATATCAAAATTATTATCTTTTAAAGGTTCCTTCGTTTATTTAAAGTTAAAGAGCAAAACAAATTTTGGGGATTGCAATTAAAATAGGACACTTATCAAGCTTATGTTTACAGGAAGTAAACTGGCTGACCACATTGTTTACTGCATACTTACAAACAATCTTCAATGTGATTGGTCAGTGCTGTCAGTAGTATTTTTTGATTCCCAGTTTCATTTGAAAAGAAGTATTCATTTCATTGACACCAAAAATCTAATCCATGTGTAATATGGTAAAAATTAATATATGAAACTTTAGCAAGCTCAATCAAGAAACTTATTCTAGGTAACTCATTTGTCTATTATTCTGTATTGTTCACAAACCCGAAAGACTTGAGTAGTAATTCACCAATACCTTGAAAATATGGATGAACAGACAGACAAATGGATGGCAAACAATGGGTGATCCGAAAAGCTCACTTAAATTGACAGCTCAAGTGAGCTAATAATGACATGCTGCTTAAGATTTTTCTTTTGCATTTTTTCATTTTATTTTATCATAATTTTCTTTATTTACTGTAAATCATATTTAACCCTTGCATGTACCTATCGTTTTCCTGGAAGACTGATCGGAAAATCCCAATCCTCTCCTTAGTTCTCCTCTTGCTGTCCTTGCTGGTGGAATCCTCAATGTTCTAAAAATAGAAATGGTCAGTGAGTACAAGGTCAACAAAATCAGTTGTTTCCTAAATGTGCAATTCAATTCTTTTTAACTTCAGACAATATCTTAAAACACTTTTTAACAGGCTTGGTTGGTATTTATTACATTCCTTACATTGTTGAGGATGTTGAGAAGAGTCTGCACTAGACCGCTGGACTGAAGTTCATATGAGGACACAGTGTGTTCATCTCTTAGTAAGGACACCAGTTCATCCAAGCTTGCCCTCATGTCCTCAATCCAGGTCACCTCACCATCAGCATTCTGAAACACATATATGTTTAAGGAAATATTTGGAAAATAACATTTATGACTGTAAACTTGACTTTATATACATTACCCTAATACTAAATGGGGGGAAGGGGACTTTCCTGTAAATCTGACTATTTTCTACCAGAACATGCAGAGAAAAATGAAATTCAAGCAAATTTAGTATCCCACATGGAGTAAAGTTGAAACAAATTGTGCTTAAGATGCAGTTTTTACATTATCTTAGACTTATTTCTTATATCTGTGGGTACTTGAGAATTGTGAGATGTTGTAAGTATTGTGAGATGTTGTAAGAATTGTGAGATGTTGTGAAATGCTGTAAAAATTTTCAGAGGTTGCCAGATTTGAGATATTGTGAGATGTTATGAGATACTGAACCTACCCTGACTTGACTGATCTGCATGGCACAAGCTGCTTCTAACTGCTGAACAATATTGCGTATTTTAGCCACCACACCACGGGGCATGGCTTCTGCAGACCTGAAGTACTGCTCATAAATTTCTCTGGCCATTGTTTTCACCTGCAAAAATAAAATAAACATTTTACTCACTACTGAGTCTGTTTATCTTTTAATGCTTATTCAATGATCAAAATGATAATTCTTCTGCTCCCTACCTTTGATCTGATTTCCTCCGTCTTTGAACGCATTTTCCTGTTTTTCTTGCCGCCCCAGCCGGTGGCAAATTCTGGGCCAAGTGAGGTCTCTGCTGTGAAGGAGTGCTTTGTGCCTCTGTTAGATTCAAATATAAACCCTGCCAGGTCCTCCTTCAGGATTGTCGATTGCTTTAACATAATATAAACATTGATGAATTCAAACCATTGGAATAACAAATCATAACATGAAATAAGCTAACAAACTAATTCAAATATTCAAATAAACGACATTAGGAACTTTTTTATAATGACATGAATTTAACTGATTGAGTTCGTGAACGCTCAGTTACATACATTTCATGTTGAAGTGAAAAAAAATCAAACAATAAACCTCAGTTATGACTTACATCACAGACTTGCTGTCCATCAGAATTGTGGATGTGCAGCTCTCCTTCCTTTTTACATGTCAGCGTCCAGTTCCCTACCACTAATCTCTGTGACCCTACATGGGACAAAATGGGATGACTGACAGCACCCTGCTTAATTTGTCCTCGAGCTCGCTGTAACTTCTCCAGGAACTCCCCACGGTTCTCGGAACTGTCCGAGCTTCCCTCGGGACTACCACTAGAGTACATGGTTGCCAGCTTGCTGTCCAGGATGAAGCGGAACCAGCCATTACTTCCATTAGAGAGCTCCAATGCCGCAGCATCTGACCAGAGATACAGACAGTCTCGGCCACGGACAATACACCAGTCCTTCCAATGATATGGCCGACCCTGCTGAATTTCTGTAGCATCCTCAATAACACTCTCTTCATCCTCCTACCAAACAAAACAAAATTGAGGATACTGCATATCAAAAGTCAACTGAAATTCAATGATGAATTTTGCATTTTTTCCTTCCTAGATGTTAGCTAAGCTTCTAGATCTGTACAATATACAGTGTTCCTGAATTGCAAGTATAACATGTAATGTTTCTGAGTTCCAGACTTACAAGTACAGTCAAACTTCATTATCTCGAACTCCATGGGACTGAAAAAAAACTTTGAGATATCTGAAGGTTTGAGATATCGAAGGTAAAATACTTCAGAAATATGTGGATAGGACTTTTCAATCACTTCATCATATCCATGGTATTCGAGATATCCGTGTTCGAGATAAAGAAGTTCAACTGTAGTTACCTTTAATATTTCTGACTTATAAGTGTTTACCTTTAATATTTCTGACTTACAAGTAGTTATCTTTAATATTTCTGACTTACAAGTAGTTACCTTTAACATTTCTGACTTACAAGTTGTTACCTTTAATATTTCTGACTTACAAGTTGTTACCTTTAATATTTCTGACTTACAAGTAGTTACCTTTAATATTTCTGACTTACAAGTGTTTACCAGTTCCTTACCTTTTCCTCCTTGATGGCTGTGGCCTCACTCTCCTGAGGTCCCGCCATTTCCTGGACTCGACCAAACATCCCAAGTCGTGCAAAGTGCTCCAGAAATATATCCTGAGCTTTCTTCATCAGATCCTGAATAATGAATAGCACCACCTGGTGGCCTTCGTCATCTTCCTACATACAAAGGGGAGTAACTTCAAAAATTATGCATGACATAAATCAATTTTTATTATATGATTGTACAGAGTGAACCTATATTGTATAAGTTACCTCTTATATGAAAGAGATAAATATTTTAATAGATATAGATACATGTATATATATATCCAATCTCAAATAAACAGTGATTCAAGGAAACCATACCTCATGATCCAGGACATTTGTGAGAACTTCAGTAAGGGAACCAGCAAAGTTGACAGGTCCCAGCTCTGGGCTACACATCTCACATAAGAGAGGGGCACTAGTATAGTGAATCATCTTCTTTAATAGAGAGAGACTAGATTTCCTGACAACAACAAAAAATTAAACAATTCATGTCAGAGACTCATATCGGCTTACACAATAACTGCTGCTTTTTTATGGACAAAAGATAGATACTTTATTAACATCAAGGATTTGATCCTTATTTGTCATTTTCTGGCCAGTATTTTGAGGATGCTGACCTGACAGAGGGCAGCATGGTACTTGTGAACACGTGTGTGAAGACAGGAAGTAACTGTTTGACGTAGATGGGGGCAATCTCGGGGTCACCCTTGGGTTCGCTTGAATCCTCCTCCACCATCTCCACTTCTTCCTTCTTCTCCTGACTTGCTGGCTGAGTCTGGTCTCGATTGACCTGCACCATCCACTCACCTTTACACACAAATTCATGATTTAAATTAGCTAATGTTTTCAAAACATTTGAGACAAAAATTAACATACCTTTCACTTATATTTTCACACAAGTTAGAAAGGAATTATGGTGGGCAAAGAAAATATCAACTAACATAAACCATTCATTCTGACCATCTCTAATTGACTAAGCTACATTTTCAATTGAAAACTAGCATAGAGAAAGAAAGTAAACTTGTCCACCCAGACCATACATCCATTATTCATTATAAATTCACCTAGGTTAAAGATTCTACCGCAGTTTCATTTCATTTTCAATAACTAATGATGTTGAATGACAGAGTATTTAAGACACAGTCCATTACCTGGAGATTGTAGGATGGAGATGACCTCTCGATGACCTTCATCCCCTCGCTCCCGGGCTTTGTCCAGTGGTGTTTTTCCATCTTCATCTCGGAGATCAGGATTAGCACCATATCTTAATAGAGTCTACGAAAAGCAAAGAACAGTTCAACCAGTATCCCCAGTTTTGCATCAAAAGTAAAACAGGTAAAAAATCACTTACATGTATTTTCATGGGGTCAAACTTTTGTGGTTTGAGTTCATGAGGATTTGATTTTGTGGTTGAAGAGACATGATACTGTAGTATGAAATTTTAAAATTCTGTGGGGGACATGAATTCATAGGTCTCTTCATCCCCAAAAACAATGAAAATTAAACCCCTTAGAAAATCAGTGGTTTTACTGTAATTTATTTCCAGCATGAAAAGTTTTTAGATTATGTATAATACTGTATTGGTTAACAAACCTTAACAATTTGTGGTCTACCAAAGCAGGCCGCATAGTGTAGAGAGGAGGATCTCAATCCGCGATTGACATCAGCGCCTCGCTCACACAGAAATTCTACCTGTTTTCCAAAAGAAAAAAAAAAAGACTGTCTTCATCAAGCATTCAAAGTCATTCCCATCTATTATTAGTAGTCAGTTTCCCATACACAAGCTTCTGAAAACATGAAATGTTTGAAGAAAATGTTATAAACCACATACCATTTCCTGTGTTCCAAAAGCCGAGGCCCAGTTTAAAAGGGTCTGCCCCACATCGTCCATAAAGTTAACCTCAAATCCTGTCACCCCAACAAAAGTAAAGCAAACAGCAAGCTCACACATCAGTTGACAAAGATAGGACATAATCTATCATTTACTTACAAAAAAAGATGCAATATTGAGTTTTTTAATCCTTTTTATCTGATTTTATACACTTTAAAAGTGTTGCCTCAAATTTCATGAAAAAGTATTTCACAAATCTACATGTATGTCCTATGTATATGACGTATTATGATAGGTAACTTGTTTACCATTATCTATTGCATCTATGAGTGCATCGGTGTCCTTGCTACGGATACAGTCGATCAGCTGACGATGAGATCTGTCTCCAGCGGAATCGCTGCGACGTAGGCCGGATAGTCGACTACTGATGCTGGAGATTCCAGCCTTAGGCAGAGCTTTACGTCCCTCAAACAGCAGAACCAATAACAGGTCTACCAGTCTCATTGTGTCTAGAGAGCACCTGCAATTTTTCACAAGATAAAATTTGGCTTATATATAAGTCATTAAAGGAATTAATTTACTTTTAAATCTACAGTCAGGGGTGAGACTGAAATCCGTCATTTCTGAAAAATGATGGATAATCGTCATATTTACTAACTACGTATTTTCGTCATTTTTGTCAATATGACTTACTATCGTCATATTTTCTTTTTCAACTTAATTCTTCTATCCTGGTTACATAAAAGCGAAATTTGAATTCACCGCTGAAAGAAGAGTGTTTACGCAAGTTTCATTTCATCCGGGTCACTAATTACTGCCGACCACGTGCGTTAGAACATCAACATGGAAGGTGAAAGTTATTATTTAGCGGTAAAATGTCGAATTTTGGTAGAACTAATTCGCCATTTTTACATGGCTTTTAAACCTATAAAAACATATAGTACACCGTCTGGAAGAATACGTACTTGTAGAGAAAAGTCTTGACAAAAAGTTAAAGCCATAAAAAAGTAGTGCGCCCCGTAAAACAAGCGAGATATTTCAGTGCGCCCAGACCCTCCATTTTGAAAAAAGACGGCATATCTTCATTTTCGTCTTCTTTCCTATTTAATGCAAATAAATTGACAAATAACTCTTCCACTCTTATTCTTGCTTGGGAAATTTGTACTGTCGACATAACCAGTATTGCAGTCAACTGTATTAGAGAAATGAAGTTTGTTTACGATGTTTTTTGTCCTTTTTTCGGTTGGTGGATCTAACATTTTTCAAAGAGAGGTAACTCGGTATTCTAGAAACACTCTAAATTTTTATGACTGTTTTTCGTCATTTTCTTAAAAATGACGAGTTTAAGTCATAATAAAAATTTTATTTTATGACTAAAAATCGTCATTTTAAAAATGACGGATTTCAGTATCACCCCTGACTGATCTACTGGCTTATTTAGAGAGCCAAAAATTTTACCTTTCATCTCCTCTGAGTCCACTTTCGATGGCATCTGGAAGATCTGATCTGAGTAGATCGTGAGTAATGGTCGGTGAACCGCGACAGAGTGTAGACAGAAGGCTGATCACCGTGGAGATACTAGGACTAGATTTAGCTTCCTGTAGACTAACATTCCCTGGAGTACTGGCCGTAGACTGATTGGGTCCGGTCTCTCCAGCCTGTTGTAACCGCTGGAGTAACTCGTCTATTAGTCCATGCTGAGCCAGAGGAGCTGGATCTACCCCTCTACGAGTGAAGCGATCAGCGAGGGAGGCAAAACATCTCAGGGCCCCATCGGCCACCTGTTACAGGGAAAATTTAATAATCTTTATAAAATATTTCCAGCAACCATGAACTATAAAGATCTTCATGCAAGAGGCTTTAATAATCTTCGTCTTGGTGGACAATTACCATTGAAATATATATGAAATCCAGGAGGTGGATCAAACTTTTTCTTTTTTACATGAGTGAGGAGATTATGCTAAGAACTTAATGGAGCAAAGTTTTTTTTGTGACATCTTTTTTTTCCAAGTACTCTTCATGTGCATTTTGTAAATATATGAAATAAACTGCAGCATATGAAAGCTATCTTTTTCTTTGTATTCTACTATACTAATCTTTTTGCTCAGCTAGTGCAATGATCATCAAGATCTAAATGCAATTACTTATTAACTCACCTTCAACTCATTACTTATAATACCAATGCACTGACTCTTGACTTTTACTTATATTCTTATGTACCATACTTGAATTTTACTTACATACTGATCCTCGTGTTCAAGCAGTGTAGACAGGGACTCCACACAAGTTTCTAGGGATGCGTCCTGTGGCTCCATCTTTCCACAGAGTCGAGACACCACTGCCATAGCGGAGTGTAGTGTGTCCTTGTGAACCTGGGATCCATATTCCGTTATAAACGTCAGGACACAGTTTAGTCCTCCAGCATCAAAAACGGCACTGGACTCGCGGGTACAAATCCTCTCCAACACCTTAAATGGAAAATAAAATATCTCGTCTTTCTAACTGTAAATGTCATGATGGAATCAAATTAAAACAATTTTTTCAAATTCTATCTGAGACAAATCGGAAAAGAATAAATCTTCTTAGAATTTCTTTTCTTTACATTTCTTTTTCTCTATTTATTATTTGTCAAATATATTGGTTTTCCCCTAACTTTTTTTTCATATTGTTTTCCACAAATTCAATATCATGATAAGTTATTATTTTTCATGTATCAAAATATATATCAATAGATTATAAATTACAACAAAGTGTATTTTTAAATGGAAAATTAAAAGTAAAATGATATTTTTGGATGAGCCTAGTTTTCCCAGATAATCATCTGGGGCCCGTTTTACAAAAGAACTTACGACTAAGACCAAAATTTTATTCTGCTGATAACTTTCTAATTTACAAGAAATTTAAAACGGTTTTAATCTTTTTAAAGGGAATGTTGAAAGATAATTTTACGCTAGCAAATTTGAACAGAATCATTAATTTTGCAAAATTTTACAATGAACTAAAGTTTTTGGTCTTAGTCGTAAGTTCTTTTGTAAAACGGGATCCTGTTGCTACCTTTCTTAACTTCCTAATGTTTACATTGTTTGGCTCACTTACAGTACTGCACCCACATATATCATAGTAAACAAACCTTAATGCACTGCTCTGCAAGATCTCGGCTATTTTTAGAAGCCATATCTACTACAACCAGCCTGTTGCACAGAGATTTGATGGCGCCCTCTACACAAACAATGCGGCGTGTGCATTCTGCCGAGACATCCAGATAATAAGTGATGGCCCTAGCTGTGACTTCCAGGACATTGTCTGGGGCACATTCGTCCAGAAAAATTCGACAGAGGGCAGGCAGAAATGTTCTTGGAGGACAGCTGGAAATTTCATGAAATGTTATTTGTCATAATATATGTAATTACCAAATGAAAAGTAAAGTTGGCCAACATCTTGGATTCTCATTTTCTTGCAAAAGTTGTGTGTAACTGAATGTTTAAAAAGATCAATCAATTAAGCAGTGAAAAGAATTCCTTCTATATTAAACTAATTATTTCTAAAAATAGAAAAAAAAAATATTTAAATAGAAAAGTGTTGTTCTAGGAAATAATCTTCAACAGAGAAGTAATTACTATCATTCTTCCTGTTGTGAAGGCAACAAAAAAATATTCTACAGTAGTAAGTATGAATGACATTTTTACACTTCCTTAAACATCTATCAAAGAATGTAATTCACCCTTCATGGTCAGACATACAAATACACAAAAAACATTTCTGACATTTGATTTATCAGCGAAAGGAACCTCAAACAGAAAATAAACAGTGAGACTTTGAAATACAATGATCTGAATTCAACAGTGTTGAAATGTTTGTATGGTAACTAAAATAGGTCATCGTGAATTCGACAGCATTCAGTTATATATATGGATATTTGTAAGTCATGAGGAATACCGTTATGTTTTATATCTATGACAAGAGAATACTTAGTATTGCGATTACCTCATGGTTATTTAACTTACTGCTGCACTTTTGCCATAAAGTAAAGCAAGCTTTAAATATCACGTCACATTCAGGACAGGGCATATAATAAATTGTTTACGCTAGTGACAATCGAATGATTTGAACAATGAGTATGCTGAAAATACACTGTATTGCCAATGGTTGCACTTCAGAAAGTAAGCCTTAGTCATCTTATTCGGAATGTTTAGACTTCCAAAAGTAACGTTTATCAGAAAGAAATGGTTGAATTTATTATTAGTAGTCAGTTTAGCAGAAAATATCTACAAAAATCTAATTCAAGAAAACTAGTCATGCTAGTATAGCTTAAGTTTTATCACTCAATGTTCAGGAAAATATTTCACCAGGACTTCTTTCTTACATGGGCCATATCAAAATCTACAGTGATTGATCTCGTAATGTATTCAACAGCACATTGCACCCCCCCCCCCCCTCACAATATCAAGTCTTAAATAGTTACCTTTCAAAGACTCTGTCCACATTGTCGGACATCAGGAGAAGCATACACAGCTGTTCCAAGGCTATCAGCTGCATGTCTCTCTCCTCTCCCTGCCCCATCTGGAGCCATTCCAGCAGGGTCTCTGGGTCCACGTCCGCCATGGTTAAAGAAAACCACTACGCACTAGACCACTGCAACTGATGCAGTTGCTGGGTCTAAAAATAACTTTCAAATATTTCCACAATATATCCTGGAAATAACCAAGCCCAAAACGAAAGTTAAAACCAACAGATAGTCTGTTTAGTGGGTATAGAATGAAACTCCTAAACACCCTCCTTATTTATACATCAATAGATAAAAACATCATCTGATTATTTGCGAAATTCTGTTAATACTCTCCTCAGTGATCACGCAGTCACAAAGACTTGTTAATTAGATTCGGAACCCTTTCATTTTTAACAAGACCAGACCATCAGAAGTATATCATATAATGTTTTTCCAACAAAGAATGAAACATTAGCGGTCATTCACATACATTGTGCTGATCCTTTCTCTGAACATTTATCTGAAAATAGATTACTATTATTTCTCACTAGACTTGACCTCGATTTGACTTCCGAGCCGGAAGATGTTCCGAAAGTACATCAAATGGCTGAACTAATATCAGAAAACTAACTCTGTCAAATTATTATTTGTTTTAAAATGTTTCTCAATCAGAAAAAAGACTAGGCTTGTTCTTTGCATATTAAAAGTAAATGAATTGTCGTCAGAAAAGTTTTTTGTTGATTGTTCATTTTTTTTTCAGTTTCAAAGTTTCCATTCGAATCAATGAAGTAACATACAGAATAAGGAAAAACATCGTAAAATTTGCTTCAGATCAAATATTTCATTTTGAAAAATCCCACATTATCGATGATAACATTCAAACAAAATTATGTAGCGCTTTACATGCCTTTTACTGTTTTTATACTAACCGGAAACTTTTAAGGTTACGTAAAGTCAAAGTCCGGTTGCATGTGGACGACATGAGAAACCGGGTTCCGGCGTGAGAGGAGACGAGAAAGGTGAAATAACAGTGCAGATAAAAGAAGGCAGAAGGCATGGATACTGGGGTACAGTCACGAGCAAAGCACAAAAGGTGAGGTGGTTTTTACCTGTGGCTTCCATGTCATTCCTCAGATGTGCTCCTGCAAGTGCAAAGCAGTGCATATGTACTGAACTTCTAGACAACATGAACCTTTTGCAAAAAGGTGTTTTAACAGTTCAACAATTGTTTGATTTCGTCCTCATGTGTGATGTGATACCATGGTTTACAGATGTTAATAACAGGTCCAGTGCAATCCCTTGATTTATTTTTTCACAAAAAATTTTTTTAGACAAAGTCCAAAAAGTCACAAGTTTATCACTATCCATATATGGATTATCATAAAGCAACCCAAATCAAAGATAGTTCTTACATTGCAGCTTTTGAACTCATTTAAGCAAAAGAGGTATTTCCACTGTTAGGATAACTGCATGAGTGATTTTTACATGCGTTGTTCAGGTCCGGCACAATCTCTTGATTTAGCTATATAGCTTGATTTAGCTTTATAACTTTATTAAGCTATTCAGAATAGCTTGAGTTAGCTATTTTATCACACTTTTTTTCTTAAATGTGTTATTTTCTCAGCATGCACAAAAAGTCGCACCTTGGTGCAGTGATAATATTTAACCTTGAACTCTTCTAAAAATAATGCATGTAAAAATCACTCATCAAATTGCGTCTTCTTAAGAGACTTAATTTGTACTCAAAGTTCTAAAAGTTTTGGGGCTATATAAAGCAATTGATACAGTTACTCCTGCAATTGAATTATAAAGGAGGCCTATTATGGTCAACAAGATAATTGACTGGTAATAATTCAGTACAATGAGAAGCAATCATACTTATCCATGTCTCAAAGCATACAAGGTAGTGTACAGTTACTCAAACAATGGAAATTCATCTTTTGCTTAAAAGTATTCAAATGCTGCAATGTTAGAACTATCTTTGATTTTGGTTGTTGTTTTGATAGCCCATAGTACATATATGAATTAGTCAAATACTTGCGACTTTTTGGCTATTTCTTACAAAAAAAAAATTTCCAGAAAAACTGCATATAAATAGCTTTATCAAGCTATTTTGAATAGCTTTATAAAGCTATATAGCTATTTCAAGCTATATAGCGAAATGAAGAGATTGTGCTGGACCTAGCTGTTGTTTTCAGATCAGTTCAGAGTTAAAAACTATCACTGCACGAAAGCGCAACTATTTGTACATGCTGAAATGATGAAACATTTAGAGAGAAAATTGATTAAATAGCTAAATCAAGCTATTTTGAATAGCATAATAAAGCTACATAGCTAATATTCAGGCTATATAGCTGAACCAAGAGATTGTGCAGGACCTGGTTAAGATTCTCCAAAATCAATTTTAAAAGTCAGAGGAACATAGCCATATTTTATCATTAATGCGTTAGTCAGTCTTTCAAGACAAAATAATACATTAGCAAAATCAGATGACATGGTAAATAATGTAATGTAATAATCTTGTTTATTATACTTCAGTCTGTTAAAATGTTTCCTACATAAAGTTAAGAAGGTAAAATAACTATCTTTTATAGTCTGAAAATTTCCACGCATAGCAAAGCTATACCCCTCTCGGAAAATTTTCATGCAATTTTTGACACCAGTTTTAATTTCCTGGGATAAATCAATACAATGATGATGTCATCATGACTTCAGTAGCATTGTGACGTCATCAGGATTTCAGCTTATTCTTGCGGTGTTTTTCTTTTGACGTTTTCATGTTTTGCCTATGAAACTGCAGTATAGGGTAATTCAACCCTCAGAAATTATAATATACATCAGTATAATAAAACGCGTATATTATTTCTGAAGTTTATGTGTGTTATAATTTTAGCCATGTGTTTGGACTGCTGTTCTTCAAGCGGTTCCTGAAGCTGACCGGGTACATGTTTCCCTCCTGGAAAAGTGTTCAGGTGCTGATCTGTTTCCTGCTGCTTATTCTAGGACTGCTGGGTATGTGGTAATTTCTTGGACTGCTGGGTATGTGGTAATTTCTTGGACTGATGGGTATGTGGTAATTTCTGGAGATACTGGGTATATAGAAATTCCCGGGGATACTGGGTGGTAATTCCAGGGGATTACTGCATGTGTGGTATTCATGGGGATACTGCATATGTGGTAATTTTTGGGGATATGGGATTTATGGTAATTTCTAAGGATACCAGGTATGTGGTTATTCCTGGATATACTGCAAATGTGGTAATTATTTGGGGATACTCCATTTGCAGTAATTCTTGGGAATATTGGGTATGTAGTAATTCCTTAATTGGCATACTGGTTATATGGTAATTCCTTCAGGTACTGGATATGTGGAAATTCCAAGGGATATTGCATAAGTGGTCATTCTTAGGGGACTCTGCATGTGCAGGTAATGGTATGTGGTAATTTTTTGGGGTACTAGATTTGTGGTAATTCCAGGGGATACTGGGTATGTGGTAAATCTAGGTGGATACTGCATAAGTGGTAAATCTTAAGGATACATGTACTTGGGTTATTTGTAGTAATTCCAAGGGATTCTGGATATATGGTAATTTCTAAGGGTACTGGATATGAGGTCATACTGGGGAATGTTGAGTTTATTGTAATTCATGGGGATACTGGGTATCTGGTAATTCCTGGGAAGGTACAGTATGTGACAATTTGTAGAACTTTTTTGTACAGTGCATTTTGGAAATTCTTACATTACTGGATTGTTGATAGTTTCCTACATCTTTTGATATTTACATTTTAATATTTCTTTGTCCAAGATAAGATAAGACTACAAATAGTAAAAATACTTGATTTCTACATAAAGCTACTATTTCATTGATAGGCAGGGTTAAAAAAAATTACATGCTGCCCCGGTACTGAGAGATAGACAGAAATAGGTGGGGCTTGTAGCACGTGAATTAACGGAATCAAGTGCATGTAAATATAAGGAATAACTGTCAGATTTTTTGGTTTCATGACGATGATCAAGCAATTGGCTTGCATGATAATTTTATGCATAAACGCCTTCAGTGTTTATGCAAATTATCACACAAGCCAATTGCTTGATCACATTATGAAACCAAAAAATTGTACAGTTATTCCTTAATTAAGTGGTGATTTCAGCTAATTTATAGAAATGCAAGTGGTGTGGTGAGTTATGGGACCAATAGATTTGAAGCAATTTATATGAACCCTGGGAATGTGGTAAATGCTAAAGTTGAGATTAAACAGTATCAATTATTCTTAGGTAAGGGTATATTTAGACTGCGCAGTCCTGGGGGTCACTGGGTTTGTGGTACAGGGAACAAATAAATTATTATTGCGAATGTTTAAACATATATAAAAAAAAATATATAATTGATTTGGAAAAAATAATTATATACATGTACATGTACCTATAAAAGATCTGATTAAGTTGAAGAAGTCAGCAAAAAAAAAAATCATATAAATTGCAAAAATATATACATTGTACCTGCATGTTAGAAAGCAAATGTAGTAGGGATAGCTCATTCTTTACCAAATGTAACGTTTTGGGTTTTATAAGTAAATATAAATAAATTCGCTGCCACCAATTGTAACGTGTAATTTTATATCAACTCGGTACCTATGAGGCACGTTACAATAGTTGGGTTCGAAGGTACCTAGTTTTAATAAAGGAAAGAAATATATATAAACAGTTAATACATATATTTATTATAGCATCAGTACATATATTTATTATAGCATCAAAGACAATAAAGTTCAATAAATATTTAAAATGTCTCTTCAATATTAAGTATACTGCCGAAATTCCACGGAGCTCAGTGTTCGGTGCTACTCGGTGCTTCTCGGTGCTCGGGCCTACTCGGTGTTCGGTGCTACTCGGTTTCCGGTGCTACTAGGTGTTCTGTGCTACTTCTCGATTTCTGGAGCTTCAAGATGTTTGGTGCTATCTGCTGCTACTACTAAGTATAACTATACAGGCACAATCAGGAACTCTGATACTGTAATCAGAACTATATCTGAAATCCAAATATCTACTTCTTAATAACAAAAAGTCCACCCCCCCATCCTATGCTAGCATGTCATGCGTAGATAGGAAAGTTCTTGTGCTAATGCCAACCATAATTTATAACCTATGCAACTTAGAATGGTCTAATATATACTACTCGGTGCTTGGTGCGACCAGGTGCACGGTGCTACCCGGTGCTCGGTGCCACCGGTGCCAAACTGCACCGTAAATTAACTTTAGCTAAATCTCAATAAAAACGGAATTAATTATTCTAAACTTGCACAGTCAATAATACTAAAATTTATTCTAATAATTTAAGAAACAAACTTTGGCTCAGAATCTCACACCGAGTAGTCAATATCTGAATACTTTAAAGCTAATAAAAATTCTCAAATATTTTCTAAAGAATTACATTTTAATAAACTATTTCTAAATAGGCTAAGAAGGTTTTTTTTTTTTAACTTTTTCAAACTTATCTAAAATATGAATTTACCTTAAACTTTACTGGCACCGATCAACACCGACTTTTGCTTTATTTTTCTGGAGGAGATCTGACGACGACGCTTCGAGTTTGCTGCTTTTATACTGTGACGCAGTGATGCTGCGACTACGTCATATGTAAAATGTAAAACTCCAAAAACAATACTTTTATCAATAAACTAGGATAAACCAACCTACTAATAATACTCCAAAAGATCTATTTTATATAACTATAATTTTATAATTATTTTAAGCTTATTATTTCTAGAGTTATATATCCAGAAACTACTCGTCTGCTAACAATCCGGATATATTCATCTCTACCATACAGTTTTCGCAATTATTGAATCTCATGCATTTCCAGTTATCATATAACGAAATCCCAGTAATAAATAAATCTTTTGATGCTAAGTTCTACAAGACATAATAATTTTAAGAGACACTCTTCTAGAATAGAGAAAAGTGGAAATATATACTACAGGTAAACGTAATCCACATAATCAAAATGAAACACTGACATTTGTTGTTCCAAGTGTAAACATGCATCTTTAGTTCTATAATGAAAACATAACTAAGAAACATACATTCTAAACAACACTAAAGGTTTGCTATGCAGGCGCAACACAAATTACTAGTGTGTGTGATTCATTTCAGAACAAGTGGTCATTTTCTACATTGGCAACATCCCGTCCAAATATTACAAAGTTTTTGGTGACCGAGATATGAGAGGATTCAGAGAGAAAACCATCATGGCTGTCATTCTTATTATTGCAGAGGCCTTCGTAAGTTCAACTGCATAACGAGTGTTATTTTGAGTAGAAGATTTTTAAAAGCTTTTTAAACTTGTTACTTCTATTTGTTAATTGCCAAATTTGAAAACTTGACCAGTGATCACCTTTGGTGGTGTTTATCAGTTATATGTTACTTAATCAGAGTTTCTTCAGAAATTATCTACTATTAATCTGTCTGTAAGCATGTAATTTTTCTCTAAACCACTGGATCATTTTCATTTTTTGACCAAAAATATTCCATATGTAACGAGAAAGGAGAAAATGTATAACTGGACCAAGAATCGAACCCAGAACCCCTGCATCACTAGTCAGGTTCTACCAACTGAGCTACCCAGGCCGATATCCATGGTCCAAACCATTACACATAGATAAAGTTGTTATAATGGTTCAAGTGCAAAACTTCATTTTAATAGATGAATTATGGAGTAAAGAAGGTCAATGTAAACATCATTTTCTCTTAAACCAGTTGACAAGAAAATGAAAAAAATGCATATGAATGCTACATTTGGCCAGAATTAGACTATATTGAGAGTCCAATGTTTTATACTGAAGTGTATTAGTGAAATCTTCTTTAAAACTTAATGAGGAGAGAATACTACCGGGTATGCAATAGTTTTTGTGCTGTTTGGTTGAAGGGGGGGGGGTCAATGTCCAAAACTTTTAAGAACTAGTGTATACAAGGTTATTTTTGTCCCACGTTATTTTTGCTCTTTCACACTTGCAACCTGGACAACAGTTGTGATAAAGAGATAACTTCTTCTTGTTTTATTTGGCTCCATTTTAAATTTGCCCACTTGTGACAAGGCAAAAAGGATGATTTTTTCTCATTCATACAGTATTTCTTTGTAATTATGTGGCTCAGGTTAGTGTGTTATCTTGACCCAACTACACTTTTCTTATTTTGTAGATAAAAGCTTCCACTGTCTATCTTGCTTCTGTTCTGTACATAAAATGGAGAGGTTGTATCAATGCCAAAATCCACAAACTGTATTTCACAGATCTCGTCTATTACAATGTCAATGTGGCAGGGAAAATTGACAATCCGTATGTATTAGAGATGTCAAATCGGTCAATTTTTGATAATCGGTTACTCGGACGTTTTTCCGATCGAGTACCCGGGTACTCGGTAAAAATGAAAGTACAAGACAATGTATTAATTTTCTTGAGCCCGGTTAAGCTCTGTCAAATCCCAAAGCTGTTTTTTTCACGTTTATTAATGTATATAACTGAGTCAAAGGGAAATGATTTTTTGGTACCAAATTTATTTATCAAATAAACTCAAAAGACACAATTAATACATAAAAAAAATAAAAATGGTTTACAGTTCTTGTTTAGGACCTATTTCATCAATGCAAAAGGACAATCTGTTACGCAGTTTTGTGATGTTAGACAAACGAAAGAGAAGGAAAAGACATTGTTGGGATCGCTAATCTAATATTATTTCATAATTTGGTTGTTTCCCACTAAACCTACTACGCAAACTGACTTTCAAATTCTTTAAAATCTTTAATTATTTCTAAATATTTCTTCACTTTTGAAGTAGGTAGCGGTATTTTGAAGTAGGTAGCTGTATTTCTATGCATGTCTGATTTCGCTACCGTATATTAATTAAATAATTTAAAAACGATTTGAATATAATAGACCATACTTCAACTATGTTTACTGAAAACAATCATTGAAGCCATCCAAAAATTAAGGACCACAATAGGTGAGAACAGCTGTGTACCAGGTGATTGGTCATTAATTACTGTATATACACAGCCACAGGCGATAATGGGTGTTTTACAGGTGTAGATGACGACACGCTAATTACCGTATGAATATTTAATAATTTTTTGTAAGTTTTTGATAAAAATATGTACTTTGAAACAAGAAAAAAATATACTTCCGAGTAACCGAGTACCATTTTTAGTATTCGATACTTGGACGTTCGATCAAGTACCCGGTTAACTGGGTTCTCATTGACATCCCTAGTATGTATCATAGAAACGTGAATTACGCATAGTATGTCATTACATGCAAACTTTAATGTGATTTTTTGAAGTTGAGGCTGAACACTTTTAATGCTAGAACATTTTATTTGAAATTTATTTGGGAACACAAATTGTATTCTTCCACCTAAGTTCCACTGCAGTTGTATATTTCCATCTCTAGGGATCAGCGAATCACGCAGGACCTGGACCGGATGTGTGATAACTTCAGTCAGATCTTCGCTCCGATCATCATAGCTCCCTTCACCATTGCATACTACCTCTACAAAAGTGTAGAAAGGTCGGTACATCGCGTACTACCAGTTCAGTCAAGTCCTTTCAATCCAGAAAATTTGTTACAAAGCCTACCAATTTTAAGATTAAAAGTCAAGTAAAAATCACTAAAGTGTGTAGGATGACAGGGGTACCCTGTACATAAAATAATCTAATGTGACTATCGTCAAAGAGTTGATCCATCAGTTTAATTTGTGTATATACATTGATAAACATGTATCACTCCTGAAATTTTTTCTGTTGCAGCACAAGTTACCTGGGCCCTGTGGGTGTCCTATCATTCTTCATTGTTGCCACGGTGATTAACAAGCTTCTGATGTCACCAGTTGTGCAGTATGTGTTCAGAAGAGAGAAAATGGAGGGAAATTACAGGTAATTATGTATGCATTCTACTAAACTTGTTGACCTAGCATGACCAGGTAAACTTTTGGTGGATAAGCATGTTTCCAAATTTAAGGGGTTTCAGCATTTGTAAAATAAAGTTTTTTTTTCTTTATAAACCTTCTGCATTGAATAATTAGCTATTGATTTTTCTGCGTACCTGTCTTAAGAAAAAAGTGAGAAGTACTTTGAAAATGCTAAAGTTAATCTGCTTGTTATCCTTTGCAGACAATAACATTTAAAAATTAAAATCCACGTTTTCACACTTTTTATTTTGTCTTAAGTCAATGAAAATCCTTTTCTTGTTTGAAAGAATATAACAATGTTCCATCCTCAGTTTTCGTACATACACATACATGTATTTCAGATTTAAGCACAGTGCACCACTTCTGTTTATATTTCAGATTTAAGCACATGTTGCTGCGGGCTAATGCAGAGTCTGCAGCGTTTTATAGATCAGGAGAAATAGAGAAATTCTACACAGACCAGAGACTCCATAAACTACTGAAGACTCAACACCATCTGATATTACGGCAGTATGCACTCAATTGTAAGTATATTTATGATCCTCCAACTGTATTCCAGATAAATAATAAAAAAATGAGACATTTAAAAATCTTAAATGTGTTATCACTTGGACATTCTTTATTTGTTTCCTTATTTGCTGTTAGGCATATCATGAGGATATACTAAGACATACTCTCTAAATTCATTGTGCCATTTTCTTCTTGTAGTTTCTGTGAATTTGTTTGATTACCTTGGTAGTATACTGAGTTATATTCTTCTTGCCTTCCCCATTTTCCATGGCGATTATGACAACAAGTCACCAGCTGATTTTTCCTCTCTCATCAGTGCTGTGAGTACACAATTCTCTTTCATCATAATCACTAAGAAAATTTGTCAACCGTGAGGTGCAGTGGTTAGAGCATTTGCTCTAGAGTCGCAGAGTAATTGATCCATACGTTGCGGGTTCAAATCACACTGGGGGACATGGAAACTGGTCCTTCAGATGAGACCATGTAAACCGAGGTCCTGTGTCGCAGTAGGTGCTGGCACAAAAAAAGATGCCTCACTGTTTAATGGCCCTGAGTGCCGAGTATAGGACTGGTCTTAATTTGCAGCCCTCCACTGGCAAGTGGTGGAGTCTCGATAAGAGTGAAAAATTCTTGACAAACAAACAAAACTATGAAAATTTCTTTTAAAACATTACTGTTCATACAGAGTTAGCAGCAGTATACTCTGTGAAGGCTAATTTTTGTTGCATGCCATTTAAATTCAGAATTGTGGTGATTTGTAAGCTCTACATGAAATTTGAGATATAAAATATTTTTTTGTAGAATTCCTTTGTGATTATGTACCTCATCAACTGTTTTACTCGCCTAATTGACCTGTCAGTCAAAGCAGCAGAGGTAGCTGGGAACGCTCACAGGTAAGGAATGGACCACATACATTACTTATTATGATGAGGAAGTAAATGCTATTTAAGAAAAAAGTTGGCGTTTTCGTGAATGATGCAGGATAACCTCCAAGGTCAAGAAATGTTGTTTGAAAAATAAAAGCTGAGGTGTTAGCCTAGGCTTTTATATTTCAAACAATATTTCAAGACCAAGGAGGTTATCCTGCATCATTCATGACAACAAGAACTTTATTTCCATTCTACTAACAGCTCTAAAATATGTTGATCGTTTCCTCTATAGAGAAAGAATTAGGTCACCATGTCACGATTAGGCTGTTCCATTTAACACCAGAGGGTCTATTAGTTTGTTTAGCCTACTTGTCAAACTTCCGCCAGAGTTCATTTGTTTCTCTAGATGAGGCTTGACAGGGGGTTTAGTTTACTTGTGTATCTATTGCAATGGAATGCAGACAATTTGAGCTTTCGTTGGATTAAAAACAACCTTTGTTTATAAATTTGTTTAATTTTTTTGAATGTAAAATAGCAAAATCAGTCTATTTTATTGCTTTATCAGTAAAATCACATAGTATGAATGTTCTGGGCAGGTCCATGGAACAGCTCCATTTAGCTAAAAAAAATCGTGCCGATATTTATCAGCTGCTTTAAGCAATACACACTGTTTGGATTATGGAGGATGACACATCGATATAGTCTTAATAAGTATTAGATTCTAAAGTCGAATATTCATTTCAACTGTACAGGTTTGATATGTATTTCTGATCTGATAATTTTTTGATGACGTTCTTGATTTATTGGAGAATAATGTCTGCAGCATTTCTTTGATCTCGGCAATAACTTTAGTAGAATTGCTCATAAAGACGAATATGCAGCCATTCTATAACTAGAGCACATGTTATAAAATCCAATTTTCTAAGAGTTATTACATGCTGAAAATTTTGAACCTATGTGAATATTTTTCAGAGTTGGAGAATTGATTGAAGAATTGCAGCGAGTCAGAGATAAGCAGGGGACACTGAACTATGTGAGGAAGAATCCACCCCCAAATTTACCTTCCAGGTATATACTGATTTACACAAACACTCTACCTATAACTTACTCAAGCCAAAAAAAAAAAAAAGCCTGAGAAAATGTGTTTTAAAGAAATATTAATATTTAAAGGGGGACAACTCTTCTCACTAGAATTATGAAAATTTGCTTATAGAAAATAAGGATGAAAAAGAAAAATCAAGCAAATTAATTTTATAGGGCAAAATTTAAGACTAATTAAGATAACTGTTATTTCATCATTTTATGTTGAAAATCAATTATCATTGTTTTCATGGTTGAGTCAGTCCTTGACAGAATTAAACAGGTTAGCTGCATGTACATGAATGTACATCAATTTTTTTTTTATCAAATCATGACCCAGGAGGTAGGCTTGGGCAACAATAAGTATAGGAAAAAGACTTTAAATTAGTCATATTGATATTGAATCGTCTTCAGATTGTATAGATTCAAGGTTTTTTTTTCAAATCACATGGTTGGGGTAGGGCCACAATATGTTAATAAAGTTTAACATAAAGATAAGGGAAAAAATCTGCTAATTAAAGAACAACAGAGCCATAGATACTGAGGTGAGTGTTGTGGCCCATTGGTCTCTTGTTTGTTAGTGTTGTACATGTGTTAACGGGTTATTATTGAGATTGTCAATGAAAAAAAAAAAAAGGTATGAAACATGTCAGACAAAATTTGACCAAAGTTATTACTTTGTATTTACAAATAAGGTCATTAAAGTAACCATAAAATTTGCAAAAAGCTGACTTAAGGTAGTTCTATACTTGACACTAAATGAGCTCAAGTTTGAAAAAAACTTGCTTTCATAATATAGACATACATACATGTACCAGCAATAGATAGCCATAAGAAAAATTATATGTCAACATGCTTATTTTTCTGCTATTGCCTCTCAGCAGTATATACCCCGAAACGCAAAATACTGAAATTTAAGAAAAGGTATCTGTCTTCAAATTTGTCAATACAATGTAAATACGAATTAAAATCTAGACAGTCATACTTTAATACTCAAAATAGAATAGAAACCATATTTAATCATTGTTTTGCTTGAATTAAAATATGTGCACTTTGTTGGGCTAACGTATCAAAATGTAACACAAGAAAATATGCTGCACAGATCAGTCTGTGTCATTTTAAAATATTTTTATGGACTCAATCTTTGAGAAGGTGTTTTCTTTTTACAAAATAACATCTTAGGAAAAGAATTAGCTAAAAAAAAATTATACATTGACACATTACTTTTAATGATATAAGCTCTGCGCTATAGGGACCCCTGTGAAATTTTTCTCCCAAAAGTAATATCTTGCCATATTTTACTATACATTTGTAGTTTGATTGTATTTATAAAGTTGTACATATGTAAAACAATAATAATACACATCCAATACCTACTGTCCCTAAAATTCACCTTGTTTTAGATTTTCAAAAATATATATACATGTATATACCACTTTTCAGTAAAATTAGAGACAATGAATCTGACCATGATTAACCGGTTTTAGCAAACTGAATGATCTGGGTACAGAAAATTAGTGTGCTGCAAGTGAATAAACTATTTTCATTTACATTGTACTACTAATCTATTCTATAAAAAAGATATTTTTGCATTGTGCTTTATAAACGGATGGGTTTGCAGGGCGGAGGGGGGGTGTCTATAAATTTAAAGTGATAATTTTTTAAAGTTAATATTTTGATGTTTGAAATAATGAAATTTATTAAAGTTGTCGCTGTCAAATTGTAGCCAATTCCTTCTCTTGCAAGCTATCAGTATTCACCTTGCCTGCCGACAATAGTCTTTGACTGTCCGTCTCGCATCGGCTTTGATAGCATACTTGTGGTTCATGTTATCAGCACATTCTCATCAACAGAAATGTTGTTTATGTTATATCTTTATTCCCTCATCGTGTCTCTGTCAACCTTACATTTTTCCATCCTTTCCCTTTTACTTAATTTCCTGTTACACTTTTGTTGACGAGACCAACTTGTAGTATAATCATCATTGGATATTTGAAACACCGAGTAAAAGTCAAAGCAATGTAGTTAAAAAATCACATCTCGGAAAAGGAAGTGTGGTTCTGGTTTTACTATTTGTTAATGACATAATGCGAATATAGATATATACTTTAAATGAGGTTGCATGTTTAAATCTTTGTAACACCAACTTACTTGTCAATAGCTTATCAATAGCTGAAAGGGGCCTGGACACAGATTCGAAGTTAATATTTTCTCAAATTTTCTGTATAATATCATGACTTACATGTATATTTTGCTATATAGCATTTGACATGGAAATATAATAAAAAAAACTTATTTTATGTGGAAATTATTGAAACTATGAATTTCGTGACGTGTTTGATTGACACATTCAGAGTTTATCAAATTGAACACACCCTGTGAAATGTAAACTGTTTTTGTAAACAGGACATGAGCTCTGTTATTGTAAAATTAATAATTACAGGGTGTGTTCAATTTGTTAAACTGCACACATCACTGAGCACAGACTGACAATACTGGGGAGCTGGTTTTGCTTTCTCACATTTTTACTCTGAATTTTCTGGATTATAGTTTTGATATTTTTCATTAATATACAACAAAATGTCTACTTTTCTTAAGTATTAAGGATAAAGTTTACTTGGTGAAAGTGCAAGGATGTGTCAATCAAATGCGTCCTGAAATTTGTTATTTTAATAATTTCTAGATAAAAGAAGTTTTTTATTATATTTCCTTGTGAAATGCTTTAGCAACATATAAGCATTGATATTTTACAGAAAATATGAGAAAATATTAACTTCAAATCTGTGTCCAGGCCCCTTCAAATCTCAGTTTAAAAATTAATTATATTCAGAGCATGCTATTGCATATTGAATCAGTTAGGAGAGGTAATCACCATATGCAGGTGATGCTGGAATATTACTACATAAATAGGGGAAGTTGATGATGTAAAAGGTGAAATCACACAGTTTGTCATACAGTTTAGTAATTAGTTGTCAATATCGCTCTTCATGATATTATTTTTACAAGATTTATGATAACACATTTTCAAGTGCAAAAACATTTTTTTTTTGTTGATGTGTGAAGTTTCTTTCCAATTGATTAAATGGAACTCATGTAACTCAATTTTAAATTCAACATGTTTTGTCACCACGGAGCACTTTTAACTACACTGTACACGGGTTGTAGTGCCTTTTTAATGCATTAAAAAGGTCTCCATAATACTTGACACATAGTTTGATAACAATTGTAAGAGTAGCATAAGTTAGTTTCTCAGTGTTTCTAAATTCTTTACTGCATAACTCCTCTTTTATAAGTTCCACAACAATGAAGCCGCATATCACTTTCCATGACCTTACTTAGTCTTTTGACCAAGTTTTTTAATGAAAATCTGTTTCCTCACAGACTGTCAACGTCCGAATCAAATTCTCTACCACTCAAACATTTTTACCATTAATAACAAATGCTTGACTCACTTCCGATATATTTCTTGGTTCCTCCATCATTTTCAGAATTTGTTTAGAGGTTTCTCGAGTGCAAAACAAAATTATTTCGCTACTCACTGTCCCATGACGTCCTTTGACATCACCTTTTCACTCTTTTCAAAGATGACTACCTGTCTTCTGAAATTGGTTCCTCTCTAACAAAGCTATCTATTACTGTAACATTACAATTTGATACTTATAAAACAAAAATGTATTTGACTGTTTCAATTTTATTTCGTTTAAGCCCCATTTATTAGAGATATAACTATAGACATAATTAAATGTATTTTTAGAGAATTACTCAGTTTTGGCCATGCTCTGTAACCTTGTTTTTGCAGATTTAAATTTTAACTAATTTTGATACTTGTCATGATATAGTTGAATTTTTCAATTCAAATTACATGGATTTATTGTTAAAGTATGTCTATCAAATTTGGTTATAATATGTCGTCAAATAAAAATGTTTTGACAAAAGTCTACAAACTTTTTGAATGACCCTCATACAATAACATGCATGATATTTTCAACATCATTGCTTATACCTGCAGCAATCAGATGAAAAATCCATGTACTTATAATGTTATCTTTTATAGAGTATGGTGAGAAATTATTTAATTATTGACATTAAATACAGCATTTTGTAGGCACTGTTTCACTGCAGATATTTTATTTTCTTCATTTGTCCTTTATGATTTTGAGCAATAAGCAGATTTTCATTTGTATCTATACATAGTCCTATGGGATTTTTTAGTCCAGAATCTAAGTAACGGAGGAACTGTCCATCCTGGTCTATGATGTGGACACATTCATTGTTATTATCAGCTGTAAGGATGTGACTCTGACTGTCTGTGGTGATTCCTTGTGGAGTGAATGGTTTGTTCTTTGGAGCAGGAGTATGTCCAGTGTACCTGAATCTCAGTTTCCCGGCCTGATTGACCACCACTACTGCATTAGCTACATAGTCAGACACACAGATATCCAGGTTCCTGTTCCCAGTAATGTATCTGCCACTATAACTACATGAATAGAGAGGTTTACCTTTATCATCAAACTGAATGGTTTGTTTCTCTGTGGAGCCAGAGTAACAGACAACTTTTGTTGGTTTTCTATCAATACTGTCCAAGATAACCAGGAGGTCACCAGAGGAGGTACTACAGACACCTGTAGGTATCCAGTTCTGTAGTCTGATCACCTCCTCTACCTTCTCATTCTTCACAATGTTCACAGTTCTATCAATGTAATCAGTATAAACTAGATCTCCACTTTTTGTTACTGCTATGTCATATGGTCTGTTCCCTGACATGGTTGTGATTGACTTGAGTAGTGATCCCTGATTGATGCTGTAGAGTTTCATGGTGCTGCCATTTCCACTTGTCCAGATTTCTTCATCACTCAGACAGGCCACACTGTAAAGTCTATCATACCCAGTGTCTATGGTGGTGACAGTCTCTGGTTCATCAAGCAACTGTTTGACTGGAGGAGAGGATCCAGCTTCTGTTGATTTCTGTGTTCTTTTCATGCTGTAGCCATGTTTATCTGAAGTAAGAGAACTTGATGATAAACTTCCAAATAGTTTGCTTAGCTCTTTTCCTTGAATTTTGTCTGGTCTGAATTTTGGTAAAGACAGCACAATTTTATGTGGAAGATTTTTGTATGTTTCTATAACAGTTGTAAAGTTAAAAAGCTTTGAAATTTCATTCGAGTCTACAACAGTATAAGATGAATTGATTTCATCCTTGATGTCAGACATTGTCTTGTTTATTTCATCCAGATGTTTTTGTAGAGTTTGTAACTGTGTGTTTTTCATCTCATCAACTTCAGCTTTAAGTTTCTTGACAAGTTTGTCAATTTCTCTGTGCCAGTCCTCTCCATGTTTTGTTATGGCTGTTGAGAGATCTCCATATTCCTTTTCTAACTGACTCATTCTGTTTTGTACATCAGAGGCAATGTCCTGGTAGGTTGGGTAAATTGTATCATTTAATTCAGTTTGTTCTTTGATAATCTTATCTCTTTTTTCATCAAGAACTTGTAAGATTTTTAATAATTTATGACCTAGATGTTGATCTGAAGCAAGGCAGGTTGCACATACAGGAATGTCACATTGATTACAGTACATTTCACACTGTTCTTTGTCATGAAATGTACATCCAGGGTAGAGGGGAGTAGATTTTCGAAGCTTGAATGGGACAATTTCATGTCTTTTGGATTCATCAGATATCATGTGTTTTCCAACACAAGCTGTGCACAGGTTGACAAGACATGTATCACAGTGCATCTGTACCACAGCAGTCTCACACAGGTCACATCGCATCACGTCCTGGGCACTGGTACGGGGGTCCATGATCAAAGTAGACCTAGTATGGAAAAATATTCTTACAGCACTTCAATAAAAAGTAATCAAATCAAATGAATAAGACTCAGCTCTTAAACAAGAATGTGGAAATGACAAATAAGAGTACTCGACCAATCTGTTATCATCTTTTCCTGGGAAGGGGTTCAAAGTACTTTTTGGCTGAATTACAGTATAAATGTAATGACCCCCCTTCAAGGTTCTACCTATAAATATCAAAAAGATTCCACAACACAGTGCAAACACTTGTTTATTTGTCTTCAAAATCATTTGTTAATTGAATGTAAAATTGTATCTTGTGACCACCTCACCAATCGATTCTATTCGTCAAGAGTTCAGTATTAGTCGAATAGAAATATCACATCTGACCACACCTTAACAATTGTAAGAGTTCAGTTTAAATACAAATTTTTCCTCTTTCAATTGCATTTTCATTTCATTATAACAGTTTAAGATGATATTATGAGAGCTGACAGCTGTGTGAGACAGCAATGACACTAATTTTGGACATATTGTTGTTGTAAGATGTACCGGTATCTTTATATGTCATATTAGAAAGCTTTACAAAATGAACCCCAGAATTGTATAAAAGTATTGTTCATATTTGTCAAACCTAGGTAGAGTCCCTGTTAGAATATTTGTACCAGACAGCAAAGTACAGTGGACAAAGTGTATTGCTTTGTCCTTGTTTATGGGTATAGAGTTCAGCATTCACATAAAAATATTGTATACTAATAATGTTTGAAAAAAATCATGTTCGTAATTTCTTTTTATGTGAAATTTAAAGTACATATTATTATAAATAAGCAAAAGTTATCAAATGAATCAGCAATTATTACCTTACTTTAATGGCGTCTATCTTGTCAGCCAAGTACGGTCTGTCTCTATGTACAGGTATCACGTGACTCATTTACCTGTGTTATCTACCTGTCAGGTATTTATACTTCCTTGTCTGTGTATACTGGGGATTTAAATTAACAAACATTTTTTGCTCACTTGAGCCAAAGGCTCGAAGTTTGTCCTGTCTGCCATGATTGATGTTGTCGTTGTCGGCATCATAAACTTTTCACATTGAGCTCACCTGAACTGAAAGCTCAAGTCAGCTTTTCTGATCACATTTTGTATGGCGTCTGTCTGTCTCGAACTTTTTCTCTAGAACCACAGGGCCAATTTTAACCAAACTTGCCTCAAAGCATCCTTAAGTGAAGTGGATTCAAATTTCTTCAAATGATGGGCCAGGCCTTCTTTCAGGGGGAGATTATTAAAAATTAGTGAAAATTTGGTGTCTTCTTAAAAAAAATCTTCTTCACAAGAACCACTCGGCCAACTTAAGTGAAATTTCATTAATAGTGTAGATTCATTTTTTTTTTCAAATAACAGCCCCAGGGGGTAGGATGGGGCCACAATGGTGGATGAAAGCTTTAAATAGGAACACATGAACAGGTGTATATAGGTAAAAAAAATTTAAAATCTTCTCAAGAACAAGCAAAGTCATGATATAGTCATATTGATATGGAAGGATCCTCAGGTAGTTTCGATTCTTAGATTCAACTTTGTTCAAGTCATGACACCTAGGGGTAGGATAGGACTTCAACAGGGGATCAAAATTTTGCAAATAAATATGTAGGAGAAAAAAAATTGCTGACAAAGAATGGCCATATTGACTCAGGTGAGTGTTGTGCCCATGGGCCTCTTGTCATCTTCTCCAGAACCCCTTGGCCAATTTCAACCAAACTTATAAGAAAGCATCCTTGGGTAAGGGAGAATGAAATATATTCAAATGAAGGCCAAAAACCCTCTTTTAAGGGGAGATAATTAAAATTAGTGAAATCTTGTTCTCATGAACAGCAATGCTATGAAATCACAGTACATGTATGATGTAGCATAAGAAAACAATGATTCATCAATTGTAGATTTATCTCCCTACACAGTTGTATTTTTCTCTTAAAGGAGGCTAGAGATGAAGATGGTCATTTTAAAAACTTTTTTTACCTTCTGACAAAGAAGAGTTTAACTATATATGTTTATCTTAACATGACCTGGAATTAAATTTGTAATCATGTTGAATATGCTAAAATATTACATGTGATAAGTTAAATCAGTAAGTTTTTAGATGATTGTATAGCAATTGTTTACCAGCAAGCCTTGTTAAATCAGTTGTTCCTCTTTTTTCTGTGAAGAATTGGAATTTTTACTGTGTCTATTTTAGTGATCAAGTTGAATTAACAGATCTCAATATTAACAGCCATATAGACCAGAGAGCCATATCCGTCACCGAGCTAACGTACGCTCCACCAAAATCCAGTGACATTCTGTGTAAAAGTAAGTCTACAGATCCAGGAGGAAGGCGTGAGTAACACGGTCATCCATAGAGAACAATCCTAGCTAGATTTTAACACAGCATTTATTTCGGTGACAAAGTACCTGATAATAGATAATTTCTGTGGATGAAGAAGTTTTGTTGAATTTTACTGTTTAACCAAAATTGTAAAAGAAATAAGGTGAAATGTCTTTAGTTACTAACCAATGGAATGGAATAAAAAAAAATAACCTTTTTTACCCTAACCCTAGCTCTAAGGCAAGGGTTACACTTGGAGCTAGGGTAATTGTAAGGGCTAAACCCTATAATTTCTATCACAGAAATTATCTGTTATTCAGTGAAGAAAAACTGCAATGAAAATGTAATGTATTTGGAATGGTAAGCTTTTATGCTGGCTAGTTATGCATGTCATAAATATCTATGTGTATTCATCAATTCTGCTTTTAGAATCTTTTTAAAGATACCAAATTCCTTTCTCACCATTAACAAAAATAAAAAAACAAACAAACAAAAACTAGAGGTCTATCAGTTCCATAAGTTGAACATATTCAAATATGTGCGATATATTCTATATGAAAACTGTTTTGGACCTTTTGCCTGACCAGTTGATTCTTGAAAAGACTTATTTATGAATCCACTGTTTTTCAGTCTTTTGTAAGGGACATGGTCCTTCAAGTGATAAAATATTTATTCCTTTACTCAGATATACTCTGTGATAAGTTCATTTGAAATTGACCAAGTGGTTTTTAAGTTAAAACTGTTTGATTTAAAATTGAAAAAAAAAATTAAGCTTTCAGTTTAGCTGAGGTAAAAAAAAAAGAAATTGGATTTACAGGATGAAGATTGCAAATAGGAATGCTACAGAAGGGCATCATAACTGCATGCATACACTTGTAATAGAAGTAGAATACATCAAATTTTTTATTCCAAAGTAATTAATAAACAAGATTTATCTATAGCTCTGAGTACATGTATGCATGAACACACAATTAAGAAACAAGCCCTTTATGGAGATTCATTTAGATTTTGTGATGCTCAGGATCCAACAAAACATGTCTAGTGAAGGATGAATTATTTGATAACTTGTACTTGTTTGGTTTAACAGATTTAACATTCCAGTTGGAGGCTGGAGTAAATATCCTCATAACAGGGGATTCTGGGTGTGGCAAGAGTTCTCTACTCAGGGTCATAGCCGGATTGTGGCCCTCTCAGAAAGGTAAGCATAATGAAGGTCAGTAAGAGATGGTCATCATGTACCTACAGAAAAGGTCAACAAAAATTATTTTTCTCTTATTTTATCTACAGGAAGTGTGAAATTTCATGAAATTTTAAATCCCAGCAAGATTTTGTTTCTACCTCAAAAACCATATTTCACAGATGGTACGCTCAAACAACAGGTGAGGTATTTATAAGCAAAATTTTGCTCTATAAACTTCAGACATTTTTTTCTTTAATTTAGAATTAATGAGATTGTTAGATTTCCTAGCCCTTTTATGTAGAATTATAAAAATTCATGAATTGTGCATTATGAATGCTTACAGGTGATTTATCCACTGAAAGAAACAGACCATGGATCAGGTTAAACTTTTACTGGAACAATTATATTAACTAAGGAAAAAAGTTTTCACAATATAAATTAAATCTGTATACTAGTAACACTGCTATACATGTAATTCTAAATATGGTAATTTTGTAGTGGATTTATACATGTATTAATGAAGGGGGAAAAGAGTTTTTACAGTAATATCTAAATCTGTATAGATACACTGCTATTATTATAAATTAATATGGTAATTTTATAGTGGATATATGAACTTGAATTTTATGATAATATAAATGTTTGTAATTTGGTTGTGACTGTTTATGTTTCAGTTTCACTAGATGATGAGTCAATCAATCAGTATATGGAGATTACAGGGCTACAGAAACTGACAGAAAGATCAATGGGACTAGAGAGCTACTCATCACATGATTGGTAAGTTATGTAGACCATCCATGATTGGTGGGTTATAGTATGTAGACCATCAGTGATTGGTGGGTTATAGTATGTAGACCATCCATGATTGGTGAGTTATAGTATGTAGACCATCCATGATTGGTAGGTTATAGTATGTAGACCATCCATGATTGGTGAGTTATAGTATGTAGACCATCCATGATTGGTAGGTTATAGTATGTAGACCATCCATGATTGGTGAGTTATCGTATGTAGACCATCCATGATTGGTGAGTTAATGTATGTAGACCATCCATGATTGGTAGGTTATAGTATGTAGACCATCCATGATTGGTGGGTTATAGTATGTAGACCATCAATGATTGGTGAGTTATCGTATGTATAGACCATCAATGATTGGTGAGTTATAGTATGTAGACCATCAATGATTGGTGAGTTATAGTATGTAGACCATCAATGATTGGTGAGTTATAGTTGTAGACCATCCATGATTGGTGAGTTATCGTATGTAGACCATCCATGATTGGTGAGTTAATGTATGTAGACCATCCATGATTGGTAGGTTATAGTATGTAGACCATCCATGATTGGTGGGTTATAGTATGTAGACCATCAATGATTGGTGAGTTATCGTATGTAAAGACCATCAATGATTGGTGAGTTATAGTATGTAGACCATCCATGATTGGTGGGTTATAGTATGTAGACCATCAATGATTGGTGAGTTATCGTATGTATAGACCATCAATGATTGGTGAGTTATAGTATGTAGACCATCAATGATTGGTGAGTTATAGTATGTAGACCATCCATGATTGGAGAGTTATAGTATGTAGACCATCCATGATTGGTGAGTTATAGTATGTAGACCATCCATGATTGGTGAGTTATAGTATGTATAGACCATCCATGATTGGTGAGTTATAGTATGTAGACCATCAATGATTGGTGAGTTATAGTATGTAGACCATCAATAATTGGTAGGTTATAGTATGTAGACCATCCATGATTGGTAGGTTATAATATGTACATAGTTATGATGAGCATGGCTGCCTCTTCCAAAATTGTGAATTTCATGGCCCCTGGGTCAGGGATCCTGGTGTTAGGAAGGGGCTCTATTGATTATTTAGTGAAAACGCATTAAATCTTTGAAAGCCTTCTTCTCTGCTCCTGGGTATGAAATATACTAACTAAGTACATAGTTATGATGAGCATGGCTGCCTCTTCCAAAATTGTGAATTTCATGGCGCCTGGGTCAGGGGTTCTGGTGAAAGGCGGGCTCTATTGATTATATAATGAAAATTCATAATTTCTTTCAAAATATTTTGTTCTACTCCTGGTTATAAAGCAAAGAAACAAGTGTATAGTTATGATGAGCAAGGATGCTTTTACAAAATTTTTAAAACTTGTGGTTCCAGGGGTTCTGTTGTATCTTTGAGGAGGGGGGGGGGGCTCTATTTGATTATATAGTGAAAATTCATAATTTCTTTGAAAATCTTCAACTAATTGCATAGTTATGATGATGAGGGTACCTCTTCCAAATTTGTAAATTTTCATGACCCTAGGTCATGGGTTCTGGTGTTAGGGTAGGGCTGTGTTAAATGCTCCTGGGCATATTGGAAGCAAACAGAGTAAAAGTTTTTATAAGCAAGGTATTTTTACCAGAATTTTGAACATCTGGACCATTTAGTCAAGTGTTCTGGTCCTGGCCAGGGCTCTATTAATTTGTATTTTGCTGAGTGAAGTTATTTCCCTTTGCCATTCACCTTTGATAATTAATCACTGTAGATAATGTATTTGAAAGGTTAATAGAATAAGAGAATTATGCAAGAACGTTTATTGTATAATACGAAAAGTAATTTCATAGTTTTAATAATCAGGTAGACTTGGAAATAGTAGATGAATAAAAATGAAACAAAAATAACATCTTTTTAAATGTTCTTCAAAGGCCAAGTGAGGCCAATGTGAGAGGTAATAATATAGACATTTTGTTAAGAGTGTGCATGGTCTGCATAGTGATAAATGGGGGACAGATAGAAAGATACTAGACCAATTATTTTGTTGATCTTAATCATACTGTTTTCCTTGCTATTGAGAAACAAAGCTTCATTTATCAGTTTATGGATCCTCTAAATTGTTGTACTCAGGTGACCGTTAAGGCCCTTGGGCCTCTTGCTGTTTGATTGTTAACATCAGCAAAAGTTAGGTAATAAAACTATGGTGTTGTGTGTTATTAAATCTCTGTTTGTTAGTGTGGCTAAAGGGTTTAATTAGTTAGAAGATAAAGACATGTTGAAATGAGTTATGTTGACTATTATACTGGTACATATCTTTATATGCTCATTTTCTGTATTAATGTAGGTATCAGGAACTGTCCCCTGGAGAGATGCAGAGACTGTCCTTTGTCAGACTCTTCTTTCATCAACCAAAATTTGCAGGTCAGTTTATTAGCTCACCTGAGCTGAAAGCTCAAGTGAGCTTTTCTGATCACCCGTTGTCCGTCGTCCGTCCGTCTGTCCGTCCGTCTGTAAACTTTTCACATTTTCAACTTCTTCTCAAGAACCACTGGGCCAATTTTAACCAAACTTGGTACAAAGCAACCTTGGGTGAAGGGGAGTTTAAATTGTTAAAAAGAAGGGCCAAGTCCCCTTCAAAGGGGAGATAATCAAGAAAATACAAAAATTGGGTGGGGTCATTAAAAAATCTTCTTCTCAAGAACCACTGGGCCAGAAAAGCTGAAACTTATCTGGAAGCATCCTAAGGTAGTGTAGATTCTAAATTGTTCAAATCATGACCCCCGGGGGTAGGGCGGGGCCACAATAGGGAATCCAAGTTTTACATTGAAATATGTAGTAAAAATCTTTAAAAATCTTCTTCTCAAGAACCACTGGGCCAGATAAGCTGAAACTTATGTGGAAGCATGCTGGGGTAGTGTAGATTCTAAATTGTTCAAATCATGACCCCCGGGGGTAGGGCAGGGCCACAATAGGGAATCCAAGTTTTACATTGAAATATATAGGAAAAATCTTTAAAAATCTTCTTCTCAAGAACCACTGGGCCAGATAAGCTGAAACTTACTTGGAAGCATCCAGGATAGTGTAGATTCCAATTGTTCAAATCATGACCCCTGGGGATAGGGCGGGGCCACAATAAGTACTATGGGGGGGGGGAGAGAAATCAGGTGAAAAACAGCAAGGCCAAAGTTACTCAGGTGAGCGCTGTGGCCCATGGGCCTCTTGTTTTTAGTTTAAGCTTACCTGAACCAAATGTTTAAAAATAGGCCTCTTTTGTCTAAAGTTCATCCTCCCTCTTAAGGTTTGTTGCCTCTTACATTTCCAAAGCACTCTACTATTTTCACTAAATCTAGAACAAGGCATTCTTTGGAACATTGCGTATGAGGAAATTAGATAGTTTATGAAATATATGTTCTACTTTTTAGTATTTTTAGCAACTGTTTGGGTTCTAACTAAACTTGTTTCATTTTTTGCTAGTTCTGGATGAGGCAACGAGTCAGATCAGTATTGACCTGGAGCGGGTGTTGTACACTAAGTGTCAGGAACTGGGCATCACTCTAATGAGTGTAGGTCACAGAGACACGCTTAGACAGTATCATCAATTAGAACTCCGCCTACAGGGGCGGAGCAACTGGACAATGCAGCCAATCACAGATAATGTTATATCTGTATGACAATAGCAAAGTTATAGATAATCAATTAGGTTTATTTTAATAAGAAGGGTTATTTTAAAGAAATCATTTACAAATATTGGGGAAATATAATACTACTTTGTTTGATAATTTTGAAACAACATTTGTGTTGTTAAGGCATTAATATATTAGTATGCATTTGGGCATTTTTATTGATTTTTGTATGACTGGGTAGCAAATACTAGATGACTGTATACAATTTTACTCATGGTTAAGAGTATACTCAGTGATGGGTGTTGGTCCCCTTCAATTTCAAAATATGGACATGCATAATTACGATTCTGTACAACCTTACCACATAAAGTATTTTTAGAGCTCAAAAAATGTTGATGCAGTTGCATAGCTCTCATCAATATCTATCAGCATGAATTAAATTTTATCTGTAATTGAGAGTTCGTTTGAAATCCATTCCAAAGTGTATCTCATTTACTTACCACAGCAAAAATTGTGTGTCTGAGACATTTTATAATACCAGGAGGTTGAACATTACTAATGTGGTTGATGAGTGTGAAGTTGTGGATTTTAAAAGCCTTAGTTTAAATGAGAACTAAAAAGAGAATACCTTAGTCAGGTTAGTCAGGTTACTATATTATTTTTGAATGGAGATTGCATATGTATTTTTTTTTTTTAATATATTGGTCTTTTGTGAGGATCACATTATATTAATTAGACATGTAATGTCGTTTTTGCTTTGTTTTGACTTAATTAGACAATTAGCATAACTAATTTTTCAAATTCTCGTAATTACCCATGCAATGGGAAATGATGATTATGATTACAGTGTATTAGTATATTTTTCAATAAAAAAATCTATATTTAGTTGCTAGTCTTGTTTTTAGGTCACCTGAGTCACCCATCTGTTTTCCTCTGTCATTGATCGTAAACTTTTGAACATTTACAGCCTCATCTCTTAAATGGATAAATCATTTCAACCAATTATAGTATTTAGCATTTCTGGTAAAATGAGGGGGGGGGGGGGGGGGATGTTGAATTTCATGGTCTTTGCTCCCTAGGGCTTGAGGAATGTTGCAGAAACCATCAATTTCTAGAAATCTTTTTTGTATTCTGAACAGACAAACTGTTGGCATGCTTATACTAAGCAGTGTGCCCTTCACCAAAGTTGTGAAATTCATGACTCCAGGGTTCCTTTTGTCAGCTTTTATTCCCTTCTTGTTGACATCTTTATATTTGTCAACCCTCCCCCTTCCATTCTTTAGTCGCCATCTTTTGTTCTTTGCTGTAGTATCTGAGACTTTAATGTTCTACATGTACAAATGGGTCCACTTGCTATCTTCACATTATGACAAATGAGGAAAAATCCAAAAGATTAAAAATGTGAGGGCATCAATTAGAGGGCAAGTGAGATTATAGCATTAATCTCCCATTGTTGCTCCCTCACATATCAAAGACATCTTTCCCTGCTTGGGATTAACTTTGTTAATAATGTGGTCATTATTTTCAGTGGAAACTTCTCATAGCGCACTTAAGGTGCATTTAATACATACAATGGAAAACCAAGAAATACACATAATTTTCAAACAGGTAAGTAGGTCATTCAATAGGTATGTGATTGGATATGTGAAGCATGATTTGATTGGATGATAGAAGCATAATGATTGATTGATTGGATGTTGTTTTACGTCCCATTCGAGAATTTTTTATTCATATAGAGACATCACCATATGTCACTGAAGGGCTTCAAATTTTGACCTATATACAGAACTCAGGGCCATTGAGCAGTGAGGTTTTTTTATTGTACCAAAGATTTACTTAAGGAATTATGATGTGGTTGGATATGATAAGCATAATGTGATTGATGTTAGACACGTGGGATACGAGTGGATGTGAAAAGCATAATATGGTTAGATGTGAGAAGTACAGTGTGATTGGATGTTGGAAATGTGATTGAATAGATGTATAATATGTTATTTGATGTTAGAACAATGATTTGATTGGATGTGAAAAGATACTGAGTGATGGAATGTGAGAGGCATGATATGAAAGAATGAGAAGTGTGATATGACATTGGTTGTGAAAACGTCAGAGCATGAGACATGCTGTGATTGGCTGTGAGAAGTGTGATATGAGATTAGACTGAGAAGCATGATTTGATTGGATGTGTACAGTATGATAAAGCATGACGTGATTTACATTATTTACCAGTACAACGTGGTTGGCTGTTTGAAGCATGATTTGAATGGATGTGAAAAGCATGATAAGGGATTGGATGTTAAATCATGATGTGATTGGATGTTAAAAGTATGATGTGATTGGATATGAGAAGGTGATGTCACTGAGTGTTAGAAGTATGATGTGATTGAATGTGGAAAGAATGATTATTTAGATGTGTAAAAAAAAAAATGAAGTGATTAGATGTGATATGCATGAAGTGATTTGATGTTAAAAGCATAAAATGGGATTGAATATGAGAAGCATATGTGTTTGGATGTGAGAAGGAGATGTGATTTGATGTAAGTGTGATGTGATATATTGGATGTGAAAAATATGATTTGATTGGGTGTGATATGATTGGATGTGAGATATGATGTGTTTGCATTTGAGAAATGTTATGTAATTGTATGTGAGAAACCTGATGTGATAGATTTCAAAAGTGTGATGCAAGTTAGAATCATGATGTGATTAGATGTGAGAAGGTTGATATGTTTTTTTTTTATGTGAAAGAATAGTGTGATTGGATAAGAGGTATGAAGTGATTGGCTGTGAGAAGCATGATTTGATTGGATGCGAGAGGAATGATATTATTGGATGAGAACAGTGCAATTAGTGTGATAACTATGATGTGATTAGTGTGATAAATATGATGTGATAAGTGTGGTAAGTATGATAATCATTGTCCTATTAATATTTAGCCTATTTGAATCGTTTGACTTTCATTACACGGTGTCTTCATTTGGAAGAACTTAGAAATTGGCCATAATTCTGTACCTGTTCAATTAATTTTAAACTAAGCAGAGGGGTATTTTTCCAAATGCACATGATATGGAGTTCAATCAATGCTTTCAAAGAGAGCTACTGTTGTAATTGAGTTTGAATACAAAGAATGAAAGATAACAAAGTGTCATATTTTTAAATTTTTAATTAACTGAGTGGCATTATACAGTGTTATAAATACCAAATTTACAATATAACAACTTAAAAATACCAAAGCCAGTTTTAGAACATTGTAATAGAGTATAAGATGACACAATGAAGAGGTATTTTACAGACAATAAAATTAAAAAGTATCAATTTCATTTCTAGACTTAAATTTCATCGGCTTAGTTTAACCGAATAGTTGATTCTATTTTTAGCTAATCGTTTTATTATTGTTTATCAGGTACGTTCATAGATATTGAACAACAGTTACGTAATATTTATAACTCCTCAGTATTATAAAGTGGAATCATGCAAATATTTAGTAAAACATGAATCTATAGGTTCAGTAGAATATAGCGTAAGATGAGTTCAATGGTTCCGAGGATTATTCTATGACCTTCAACAAAAACTTCTCAAAGAAATGAAAATTCTCTCCATAAAGGCATTTAAACTAACTATAGCATGTAGTGACACTGTGTACACAAGGCGGTTTATCACGATGACCCAGGGTAGACAAACTACATGACCAGACAGACACAGGGGCGGATACAGAAACCTTGCCGTTATGTACTTATAATTAACAGGTTTGATCTAAGCTTGACCAGAGTTCTATAAACAACTGTAGTGTTTTTATCCTCCCAAGTCAGACTTTGAGCCGGAAGTGGGGGTCCTGCAAAATGAAGTGACAGGAGAAATCTAGTAAGTGGATTGTTTCACTGAGCAAGGTTGAGAGGGTGCAGTTCAATATTATATAATTATCGTGTCTTCAGACCAAAGTCAGCAATCTGTGCAAATTCTCTATGCGTTAATATATCGACTCGTTAAATGACAACAAATCAATATATGTGACAGAAGATTTCGATAAAGCTCAATACCGGGTATTATAATTATGAATATCGCGTTTGATCCGCTCCTTTTTCAGTGTTTTTGTAACGATAAAAGTAAGCGGATCAGAGAATTTAGTTTATATTTTATTAACATTGGAATACTGATTTAAGTAGGGTACATTTGGTCTTTCCAAATTGTTGTCTTGTACCGACAGACCCGGGTTTTTATACAGGATTATTAAGGTCAAAAACAAAAGCAGGTACATGTATATCTATCACGCTACGAACATAACTACACCGGCGGTGATAGTGATTTCAAGTGAGCTCCATTGAGCAAGCAACTTCTCATAAACCGTCAAATTAATTGTAAGAGGTACAGGCTCTCTGTAGGCCAGTTAACTCGAGAATCGAACATGATCATTGAAGAACTACCCTTAAAATCACCTTGATACTAACAAAAAATTATTATTTTTTTTTTTTTTACAAGTAAGATATGTCCGATAAAGATTTGAATGCATGTGCCGTTTTGCAAAGCCTTACCGGCTAAAATATTTGGTCACTGTGACCTTCTTTTGGATTGAAACAAATCTTTCTCCCAAGAGGGATCGTAAGAAAAATGTTTGCGAGTTGTAGGTTTCATTGTCTGAAAGATAGATTTGGACACACATACACACACACACTCACTAGTACACGGAGAGATGGTGGCAGGAATCATACATCTTTACCAAATACCAAAGTACGACTAGTCAATACAATACGTGTTAAACACTAGTACAGTGAACAAGTATATATAGAAATCTATAAATTGGAGCAAGCGTAAATCTTGTCACTACGTAAGTTTGGGTGGCTGGATCATTCCCTGTTTTGCTATATCTGACGTTATACGTTTTGTCCAAACAACTCCTGTTTTACTTTTAGGAATCGACTAGTGGCCAATGATTGAAATCGTCCTTCACATGTACAGAAGATGGCAGACGCAGAAAGTGTCGTCACAGAACCACGTGACGCACCCACCATTAACGAACATGTGCTTCATGACTATATAGCTGGGGCAATTGGAGGTTTGAATTGCTAGATAAAACATATATTGTGCTAATTAAATAACGGTAAATATGCAAGTACATGTAGTGTATGTATGCAGAGATCAATTTGCAAGATTTGGATTTCCGTGAATAAATTGTAGGTATGGCGGGAATCATCGTGGGCCATCCATTTGACACGACAAAGGTGAAACTTCACTAATATCCAACAGTATAATTAATGATTTTGTGAAACAATTTTATTGAAACATAACATTTGATTTTAATATTGAAGGTTCAGCTACAAACACAGTTACACGACAAGCGCTACAGTGGAACTATATCCGCAGCACTCAATATCAACAAAACTGGATGGGTAAAATCTTAACCTTCTTCCAACTGTTCTCCCGAATTTCAAGAAAGTTGGTACCTTTATAGGATACATCTTATTGATTTGGCTCGTTATGCCTGAATTTATGTTACAGTGCTTGGTAAGTAGGATACGTCTCTTTGATTGGCTGACTGTAGGATATGTCTCTCTGATTTGCTGTCTATAAATATGTCTCTCTGATTTGCTGTCCGTAGATATGTCTCTCTGATTTGATGTCTGTAGGATACGTCTCTCTGATTTGTTGACCATAATTTACAGGTACACGGTTTCTTTCGTGGGATGTCCACACCTTTGTTGTCCTACGGCGTTGTGAACTCCGTTTACTTCGGGGTTTATGGAAACACTCTGAAATTCTTAGAGGATGACAGAGAGATGAGGAAGTCTTCCTACCTGAACATTTACCTGGCGGGGTGCGCGGGAGGGGCTGCTCAGCTGATCCCCGTTATACCCACAGACTATGTCAAGGTGGTGCTACAATCACAGATCCCTAGGGACGCTGCCGACTCAGGTATGTACTGTAACAGCAGTATACACAATACTACATCGGTACGTTTATTCATTGGAGCGAAGTTACAATGCTTGAAAATTTTACCTTCATGTCATGTTTTAAAATTAATATTTTTTCACGATTATTATTATGTTTAGGGAAGCAGAAAGCATTCAAGGGTCCCCTAGACTGTATCAGACATATTGTGAAACACCATGGAATCAGGGGATTGTATAAAGGGGGCGTGGCCATGGCTTGGAGGGACGTGCCAAGTTACGGTCTGTACGGATTGACATACGAAGTCTTGTCCCACTGGATGAAGACGTCTGGTTGGTCTGATTCCCGAGGGGTTATTGCTGATCTCGTGGCAGGAGGATGCGCGGGAACAATCACGTGGGCATCCATTATTCCGTTTGATGTGGTGAAGAGCCGGTTTCAGGCAGACTTTATAGGAGAATACTCCGGATTGATAGACTGTGCAGTGAAAAGCTACAAGGAAGAGGGGTTCGGGGTGTTTTACAGAGGATGTCTGATCACGTGTTTAAGGGCGTTTCCCGTCAATGCTGTGACGTTTCTTATGTATTCTCAATCCATGAAGTACTTGGAATCATCATAGTCTGCGATGTGTATGTCGTGATACATGTAGGACCACACTCAGTCCATTGTGAAACAGGACACGTAATAGAATGTTGTGTACATGTGTATTAAGAGCACTTTGTATTCAGTAACAAAAAACATACATCATTAACAAATAAAGTTTCTGAACACATCCACTTCCACCTAACATTCGAAAACAGAAAAAAAGGTGGTTTCTAATTTCCAACATTAATAAGGTAGGAATACTTCAGGTATTTGTCAATTGTGATCGTTCACATCAAAGCGCAAAAGCGAGGTTTTCATGGATTGATGGAAAATATCCATTCATAGATGAAGAACCAAATACTTAAAAGCAATTGCACATTTTGCACTTTTAAAAATGTTAACAACAACAAAGCAAATCGTTCTAAAGACCCAAAGCAAATGTGGTAGATCTTTTCGGGGGATCCCTCAGCATAATGGGTTTTGATTTCGGTCGGAACACAAGACCCGACCTAGTATTTTCTCTAGACACTGCGATAGGTGGAAGTCGCAGTGCTCCGGCGCTGGTTATTTCATTGGTGTCTACCGTTGAGGGTCTTCTTGCTCTGATATACAAAGTCATGCCTCGTTCTCGTCTTGGCGGGAAGGAGGGTCGGTTAAGGATTGCTTCCAGCATACCTCGGGCTTCTTTATTACCCAGAATACGACCATCAGTTTTGCCGTCAGTGAGAAGTTTTTCAGTTTTCTTTATGCGGCGAACTTTCGGATGCTGTTCCCTAATGATCGTGTCTATCTGTGGTTGTAGATCCCTTAAAGAGACGCCACCATAAACTCCGTACAGGCTACTCTCGTCATCCAGATCCGGAACCTGGTCCCGTATCCGTTTTAGACATTTCTGTGTCCCCTTGGAGTGAATGTAAAACTGTTTGTGGGGCATACTCTTTTGCCACATCTTATAATCATAACTGCGTTTGTCTTTGTCAACAGCTTTGCCATACGTGATGCATTTGTTTTTAAGTTTATCATTGTTAATTGATGTAGTCTTTCTCAGTCGGTGGGTCTGTTTCCCAATCAGAGAAAGTCGTTTGTCCTGAAGTTTTGGAAAATTTTGCAAATCTGACATGTCTGTAACTGTCAGACTCCACCATCTGTAATTCTCTGAAAAATTGTTCAGATATTAATTTCAAATATATATATATATATATCTCTAAACGCGTTGGGATACGTTAGAATTAGAAATATATTTGTAAACAGATTTTATTATTTTAAATCTGGCAAATGAAAGTCAAGAAATAGAAAGTTTTTTTTCCATGTTGCAATACTATATATCATTTGCACATATCTACATGTATATTAACAGTAAAAGGGGGAGAGAAAAAAATTACTACAGATCATATACTTACATAAATTTCCTGCTATATACTTCTTAAAAGCGAAAAAAAAATCAAGAAGTCCTTCACAAATTGTACACTTAAGTACTAACCGAAATCTTCATCGAACACCGCTCCGGCGTAAAAAGATATTCATTTTTTTTTCTTCACTTGTACGCTATCGCAAATGATCATGGACTAATCGCGACTTAATTTACAAGTGAAAAGTATCCATTAAAATTTGGAAATGAAAGAACAAAAAGTGTATGTTATATGTGCCACTAATACTAATTATTTAATCCGGATTTGAAATATAAATCTGTAAATATATGTGTCAATATTTAAATCCAGGTTTAGAGACCTTAAATCACTTCTGTGTGGAGTGATTTAATCTCGTTTATTCACCTGATGTTTCACCTATTAAACTTTTCTTTTATTAATGCTCAGGTAGCTTTTGTTCAAGATCTTTACTCATAGTTTGATCCTTCATCTAATTAGCCGCTGATTAATCAATTTATTATAGACTTTTATTTTAGTGCTAGATATTTTCATACTGTTGCCAGTGAATGCGGAATAGTACACGTGTTTTTGTAATGCAATACCCAAACTATTGCCAAGCAAGACTCTATTTATAGAAATTGATGGCTGAGAAAAACTGTAACCTAGAGATTAATGGGCCACATCGCTTACCTCCTTCTACTCTTTGTTGATTGTTTGTATTTCCATAACCTTCAGATTTCTAAGCATAATTAATACGCAACATCATATTGAGAATATCTGATCGATCTCCTTTACTGAGTAATTTAATTTCTGGGATAGAATTGTATCGTCCTCGTGGTCATGGTTTAATTTTTAGTGAGCTTGAATCGATCTATATTATATCAAAACTCTTTAACACTGCTTTGTGCAGTGGATAAGTTCAGCCTTGGTTTGATTACGGCCCAGCTACAACACTGTGTAAGATGCTTATCGCTCCTTTATTTGTTACTCAGAATGTAACTCTCCAATGTTAAGAAAAATCATTTTTATACACTATAGTACATAAATCGATGTCGTTCTTAAAATTTTTAAGATTGACCCAGTATGATTAAAGTTTCCCCCACATTTTTTGTCGACGTGGCGTTGGCGTTATCTGTCTTCAAATATATATATATATATATATATATATATATATATATATATATATATATATATATATATATATATATATATATATATATATATATATATATATATATATATATATCGAAGGCTATTATGTTTGACATTACTCAATTTCAAGAGTTTTTACTTTTTTGGACAAACGACGCATTTTGAAAAAAGCTGAAAATCTAAGCTGATTTCAGGCCCGCAGCAACGGTTTAGAAAATTGGGGGGGGGGGGACAACTTCGAGAAAAAAAATCTGACAAGCAAAAAACTAAACAAACAAAACCAAAAACTAAAACTGACCAAAAGTGGCCGGGGGGGGGGGGGGGGGCAACTTCCCAAAATTATCTTACAAGCAAAAAACAAAGTCTAATTTACTGTCCAAATCCTGGTATTTGCTAATGCTCGACCTTACAACATCAAAAGTGGGGGTGGGGCAACCAGCATGTAAAGGAAAATTTACTATAGCAATATACTATATTCAGAAAAAGCCCCCCCCCCCCCCCGCTGCGTTCTACGGGCCTGGATTTTCGCTCTATTTAATATATATATATATATATATATATATATATATATATATATATATATATATATATATATATATATATATATATATATATATATATATAAAGACTATATGCTTTTTGAAATTACTCGTTTTCAAGTGTTTTTATTTTTTGGTCAAAAGCTGCATTTTAAAAAAACGCTTAAAATCTAAGCTGATACTGGCTGTATTGGTCAAGATGAATTGAAAATTCGGGGGGGGGGGGGGGAGTAATTGAATGAACCACAGATTAAATATGAAAGTGGCTGCAGCGACTCTTTACTGAAGATAATGGTGGCATGTTTTTAAAATTTCGATGCACTCATCATTTGTTTTTCATTTTAATAATAATAATTTCTAAATCTGAATTTTGGAAAGAACTTGTTCACAATCAAATTATTTTCATTCCTCATGAAAATGGTTAATATTTACTTTGTTTAGTATAAAATATAAAACTTGCGTACATAAACTTTATTTATTCTTCTCGCATGAATACATATACATGTCACTCCCATATTATTGCACAGTCACAAAATGGTACATGTATGCACTGTTATCTTTCTTCCTCACCTTTCCGCCTCCTACCTCAAATTAACGTACAAATATACTTATATCTAGCTTTGTTACCCTTACTTTACCACTTTTAACGTTTATAAATATGAAATCACAGGCGCGGATCCAGGATTTTTTTCCGGGGGGGGGGGGGTCCACACCAGTCAAAAAAAATTCCAATCCAGAAATTTCTTGACAAGCAAAAGAAAAAAAAAAGTAAACTCCTTTCCAAAACGTATTAAACCCAGAAAATTTCATGACAAGAAAGAAAAAAAACCTAAAGTCCATTCCCAAACGTAAAAAATACCTATTTAGTGGTGATGGTGGTGGGGTCCACGTTTTCTAAGGGGGGGGGGGTCCAAAGTCATTTTTTATTTGCTTCAGTATATACTTTTTTAAAATGACTTTGCAAATTCCAGGGGGGGGGGGGGTCTTGACCCCCCGACCCCCTCTAGATCCGCGCATGAAGCATATATACATGTGTATGAAATTGAATTTGCGATCTATACAGAACTTTGGAAATCTGTCAGAAATAATGTTTCAGTCTGTTCTCAATGATTTCCACAAATCGATTTTCCCGCAATATTTTTCGGAACCTCTCTGCTGTCTTCAGAAACCGGAAGTAAGTTCTAAATAATGTATACAAAGATACTGAGGTGATAAACATTATCATTTACATCACGATGTGAGGCTGAGAAGACAGAACAAAGAAGACTCTCGATGTCGAGGTAAACAAATTGCTTCATTCTCTTGTTCTTTCATCTTGGTTGAGTAAATGATCAACCCTATTTCAGTCAGGATTTTAAGTTAGCGAACATTATAGATACATTGATATAGATAGGCCAGTGTAGATTCAGTATATTAACATGACGAGTTTTCTACATCATGATGAAGATCAATGTGTTTTTATCAGGTAAGAATATGTCTTAAAATAAGCAGTGTTTGATGTAAGTTTTAATTTGCCTCGGTATTAAGAGATTAAGTTATTTCAGTATTGGGTCCCTTATGCCAGTTATGGCAGACAGTTTTAATTTATAGCAGACGACCTACTTCTGTTATAAACCATGTCAAGAACCCCTTTAAAATTTCAATGCATTTATCGCGAAGGTTGCAATGTTCACTCGGTATTTGCCGCATTTTTTTCGTATAACTGTCGGGAAATATTTTGAGATTCTAGAGATGTTGAGCCAATGTTGACAGGACCGATATACCGTGTTGTATAGTGTGTGTGTACGAAGATTTATCTCAGTGAATCATGTCAGAGGAGTGTTGTCTTTCTGACGAAAGAGCAGCCTCACTTGGCACTGCGATGTTTTTCTTTTGAGATTTCTCCGTCATTAAAATACTTGCCAACCTTTTGTAATTAGGTGCAATAAATTTTAGTTATCACTAGAAAGAAGATAATTTGTGATTATTAAGAGGGGAAAGATAGATAGGAATAGCAAAAATATTTAAGCAGGGAGAAATTTTTCGGGAACTTCAAATATATGAAATGAATCTCAAAATTATGTTGCACAGCTCGAAGAATGTTTGGCCGTACAAGGGTACTAGGGGTTGTCCTAGGGTAAACTTCATAAGTGTTTTTACAAGCTATATAGTTTGTTTAAGAGAAATTGTTTTTTATAATATGATCTTCCTAAATATATAATCTTTATTGACTGATAGTGTTGACTCCACCTTTTTTCAGTCTGTGCCTTTTCCTGGTTTGGTTTCCCCGTGGCAATTACAGTACCTTACTCTTAATGGAATTATACGTCTAAAATAACATTTTTTGCCAAAGTGTCAATTAAGACCACGTAATGTAATTAACTTTATTAAAGTCCCAGTTTCTTTTCAGTCTCCAGGAGGCCGTGGTGACGGGAGATGAACAGAGGATCAAGGACATTCTACAGACATGTCCTCCTCCAAAGGAGCAGCTCAAGAGTTGTCTTTTCTTTGCCTGCGGAAGCGGAAAGGCAAACTGTGCCGCTCTTATTCTTGAGAACAGCAGGTTCTCCCCTAATATACATAATGACGAAGAATTCACCCTCCTCACCCTCACCACTAGGGGCGGCCACGCTTCAGTGGTTGATATGTTATTACGTTGGGACGCTGACGTCAATATGGCTGGACCAATGGGGAACACCCCTCTACATTACGCATGCAGTGAAGGCTACATAGAATGTTGTAATATGCTTTTGGCTGCAGGGGCCAATGTGAACGCGAAAAATTCCCGCACAGATACGCCCTTGATTGTGGCTTCTGCTAACGGCCATATAGGAATCGTCCGATGTCTTCTGAGTAAAAATGTCTCCGTGCGTCGCCGTGGTTACCATGACAGAACTGCACTTCATTGTGCCACGGAAAATGGTCACATAGAAATCTGTCGGCTGCTGCTAGACACCAAGGCTGATCTGGAAGAAGAGGACACGTTTGGTAATACTCCGCTAGTCTGTGCGGCGGAGATGGGATACGTTGAAGTCATGAGACTATTACTATCGTACGGGTGTGACGTCAATCGTATGAGCCACAGTGCTGCAACGGCGCTACATTTTGCAGCGCAACATGGCGATTTAGAATGCTGCCGTCTGTTGCTTGATGCACGCGCAGAAATTGACGCCCAAGATATTCGACGTTTCACGCCTGTCATGATGGCGGCATTATATGGCCATGAGCACATTGTTAACTTTCTAATCGAACGGAGATGTAACGTCAATATGGCTGCCTATAATAAACGGACAGCTCTTCACTGGGCGTCAGAAAGGGGAAGTTTGAAATGTTGTGAAGCTCTTCTGAAGTCGGGTGCTAATATTGACGCCCAAGATACCCTAGGATGTACACCTATCTATAACGCAGCGGTTAAAGGACAAACTGAAGTTCTAAAATTTCTCATAGAAAAAGGTGCAGATCTGAATAAAAGACCAAATAATGGTAATTCATTGCTGCATTTTGCAGCCACTGGTGGAAGTGTTCCGTGTTGCCAGGAAATAATACGAGCGGGGTTCAACGTTGATATTCAGAAACAGGACGGAATGACTCCTTTGATATCAGCGGTTAATTACAAACAAATACAAGCTGTTAAGTTCTTCCTGGACGCTGGTGCTGATACAAATGTTCGTGGTCTGCATGGTATGACGGCACTGAACGAAGCCGTGTTTTACAACAGCCCGCAGCTTGTTGCTATTTTATTGGAACATGGGGCGGATCCAAATCTTGGAGACGATGCAGGAACCTTACCATTATGGTTTGCTGTAGACGGATTCAGCATAGAGTCCGTTAAACTACTTTTACGAGCAAACTGCAAGTTTGGAACACAGTCTTCTTTGAGTAGCTACTGCGGACCTTGCAACCCAATCGAACACTCGGTTCATAAGAAGAAAGAACAGGTGCTTCGCTGGCTAGTCAGTGCTTACTGTGAAGAAGCAGTTAACATTTTAAAGAATCACCTTCCAACACTTGAAAAAATGACAACTATAGAGGACGAAATGAAAAATAAAGTTCGTGAAATATCAGCCTTTCCAAGGCCGCTGATGGAACACTGCCGTAGAAGTATCCGGAAAACGTTTGGAAGTGGTGGGAAAATCCAGGATAAAATCAAACTTCTCAAACTCCCAACATCACTGCGGGAGTACCTGTTGTTTTCCGACTTTGACATTGACTGAAGTATCTTTAATATTCATATTTATAGTATTTATTTCTATATTAACAAAGCTATTATTTTAAACTACTTGTTATTTTATTAAATGAATGTTGTGTTTTTGCTCAGTATCACTACATAAATGTATCAATTACGAGATGGAAATATTTTATAGCACTTATATTTTATATTTACTATTGTTGGACACTGTGCTTAGCTTCCCCTTATGCTTAGGGAACAAGATAAAATAAACTTAATGCATGTACAAGTTTTATTTTAATGCCTTATACCAAAGCGGATATTCTAAACGCCATTCTGATTTTTAGCTCACCTGAGCCAGGCAGCGAGATTTTCTAGATGATTGTCCACTATATAACCTTTTCATGCTTTCGTCTTTTCGAAGAAACCAATGGTCATCTCCTGATCTAGTGTAAAGTCATCATTGCCAAGGGTCAAGGGTTTGGCCACGATAGGAGGTTAAAGTTTTACATAGAAAAGTACAAATCTCAAGAACAAAAGACACCGATAGCTTTTACAGATAGTCATTTCATCGAAGTTTAGGACCAGGATTGCTCAAATCACCCCCCTCCCCCCGGATGAAGTCATAGTATGGAATTAACGTTTTATAGATATATATATGAAAAATCTTTAAAAACCTGAAAAGCAACAGGGTCACATTTAGTCATACCGGGATTCAAGCATTCTTACCTGGTAAGTTCGCTTAAGTATATAAATTTTAAATATAATCTTTTCCAAAAAAGAGGGGGGGGGGGGGGGCACTTAAGTCACATTAGTATCAAAGCAGCCACTAGAAAGTTGAAATTATAGCCCAAAGCATGGCCTCATCTGGAACGATGTTTTACATAGAAATATATTGACATAAAAAAAAACATCTAGCATAATATAATGTATGTACAAAAAACTTCAACAAAATGTAGCCATGGACTTTGATTTTCTGAGTACATATTCTGGGTTGTCAAGTTTCTGAAAAGGGGGTGTCGAAGAGGCTCTGGAGATGTATACCCTCCTCACAGCAAGATTTTTTTTTTTATAAAATGGGTACCATTATGGTGGATTCTTGATGTAATTTCTTCACATATAAACAAAACAAAACAGCATGCTTTTAAACAGATAAATGATTTCTTTCCTTTCAAACATTTTATTTTTAGTGGTTTTTAAAGGGGATAAGTACGATCGTTCCAAACGCACCCCCGTTCTAATGACTTTGATGCAATGGCTCTGTTGAGCATTGTTTTTCATACATGGTGGTCATCTCCATTTAAAAAAAAAGCAAAATGATGAAACATTTGTAAACATCTTTTTCCAGAGGTTATGCAGTAGGAGTGTAAACCAATAGTTTACCCACACCCCTTTAAAAAAAATGTGGTATGAGGAATTCTCTGACCAAAGCAGGTGCTTTCTTTGCATTGATTATGCAGTTATCGATACTCCCCATTTGAAGTGTTCCCATGGATAATATTTTACAGACATCCGAAAATTCCTATCAGGATTAACAATACGTTTATGCACTGTACCAGAATTCTTATGAAGATATTCTGTTAAGTTCAAGAAGATCCACAAAAAAGATATCCCAAACTCATGACCACAGTTTATTAACGAAAAATTTGAAGAAAAAAAAATCCAAGAATTTCTACCAAGATAACTGTAACATTTTACAGTAAACATGCTTTCCTGCAACCATTGTAAAGAAACAAGACCAGGTGATTTTGTTGATATGGTTTTAATACAAAACAATGACAATTATTACATGTATCATGGATTTCTGGTGTAACATGCAAAATGAAGTAATGAAAATGATGAGTCAATGTAAAAAATGGCATTCGTGATTTCAGATTTTTTAATCACAATTGCCATCAATAGATTTTTATGAAGCACCGATAAAAAAATGTCCATACTTCAAGTTCATTGAATAGTTTATAAAAACTTCACAGTTCTAAACTAAATAGACATGATTTGTCTTTTAAGAACTTGCGACTCAACACATGTATTCATCTTCACAGCTTACAGCCTGACAACTAGAGTAATCCTCGCATGGCTTTCTCTTACTTCACATCATAACAACACAGGACTTAACAAATCAAACACTGAAATCTTCATCTTCACAGCTGACAACATAACAATTAAACCATGATTAAATTTTCACATCCCCTTGAAACAGTCATCACCACATCTAACAATTATACCATGGTTATCATCACACGTGTCCTCGTCAACTCACAGTCCCTGCCAACAGCTAACATTGTAACAATTATACCACAGTTATCGTCTCACGTATCCTCATCACATTCATCTACGATCTCAAAGTCGCTGCCCATCGTCCCGCTCAGGACACTCTCTTGATCTGCAAAATTCAGACGACATTACAAAACAATACCATTTCATCTTTAGATTCTCAATGATCATAATAATGTTTAAAGTTCAATTAAAAGTTGCTCATATTTTTCCAGATGTAAGCAAAATTATAAATGTTAATGAAGTCATAAACAGATAAGATTATATACATGTATTTATTTCCTACTGTTCTTACTAAACTAACGCTAAAATCGGTGAAAGTTTAAAAAGATGTTTATTAATTTTCCTCTTCATAACTACAAATATTGTTGAAAATAAAGGCAAAAATGCAAACAACTTAATACAAAACAAAAGAACAGTAATGGTAAATAAAATCTCCTTATAAGCCATCAACAACACCAAGTCCATCGAGTCCCATGCAAAACCAAATTCCTATCAATACAAAGCATGCAGGTAAAATGAAATAATTTAACGGACAGATTCGTACATGGATACCTACCAAAGTTGGACATCCACTCCTTCAGACCTGGTAATATTTTACAATACCTTTATGATTATATCATCTTATATAACCTTAATAATTAAATAAGTAACTTCAGCTCTGGCAATTTGCTATCAATGTTACAAGAGGAAAGCATTACTTAGTACCGTAATTCTTTTTTTGCTTTAATTAAATGTGCTTTCCTGATGTCCAAAAAAGAAAAAATCTAAATTGAACAGAACAATCTATATCTGATAATGACTACTAGAAGCTTAGAAGTGAGCAATTCAACAAAAATGTAAAAAATGGAGTGAAGATGACGAACATGCACAGGTTGCATGTCTTTATCATTTGGAAGGAAGGGATTTAGAAGAAAAAAAAATGTCCGATTTTAGAACTATTCATAACACTATTGTACTATTTAACAGATTCAAATTATAGCATAAAATACTTGTCAAAGATTACTACAGTACTTCTTCAGATGCAATCATGAAATGTTATTTATAAAATGTACTTTTTATAAAACCTTCATTTGAAATGGGTTGTTTGAGCAATTAGAGTGTTAAACATCAAGTTTTACATATTGGGAATTAGTTGTGAGCCAGTGTCATATCATAAATACTTCAAAAGTACCCACACTGTTACATAGTTTTATCTTTATACTTCTGGAAGTTTAACTAAACATTTTTCTATCTTATTAATTGACGCTTTACTTACCACTTTCTATGCCGTTGCTGTGCATCAGTTCATCCACAATGTTCCCCACTTCCTCATCATTCATCCCTCCCCCATCCGTCGTGTCCTCCACATCCATCGGCTTCACCCCCAACTCCGAGAAGCACCCTGCCCCTCCACGATCCTGTCCCACAGACAAGACATCATCCAGATTTTCTGATTCTCCTCCTATCACCCCATAGAGCTGGTCCACATCACACTCTATATCCCCCTCCAAATCCTGGTCAGTCTCGCCCCCGACAGCCACTTCCACCACATCACCAAGGCTGCCCATACTGATTTCAATCACGTCCTCTATCGGCCGACATCGGCTCTGCTGGGACACAGCTGTGGTTTCATTGTCCTCCCCATCCCGAGTGTCATCGTCACTGATCTCTAAGACATCGTTATTGTCCATTGTATCTTCATCGTCAATTATGGTTTTATCATCATCTACATCATTGGCTGCATCCTCTGATTCACATGTCTGTGGTCCTTGGTTCAAATCTTCTTTTTCTGTGTCGTCTCCAGCATTTTCTGATATACTAATGATCTGGGTGACTTCCACAGCTGTGTGACTTGTTGAAACCTCAGCAATAGAAGTCTGATTGTCTTTTTGTGATTTTCTGCTAACTTCTGCTAAAGATTCCTTTTCTTGCGAACCTCCAGCCTCCTGTACATTGTGAACTGTACCTGATGCACTGATTTCAGCCCCAAGTGTCTTATTTTTGTCTAAACTTAGTTCTGATGGTCCTTTTACAGTTTCTTCTTGCCTTGTCTCTGGACAGGAATCAGTTTGAATTTTCTGGTCTTTCTCCAATGTTGTTGGTCCAGACTCTGGCATCACAATATTTTCTAAATTTTCTTTACTGTTGTTAATGTTCACATCACAAGTCTCTTGACCCTTGTCACTTTCTACATTTTTGTCCTCACTGATAATTGAATTCTCTGGCTTCTGAGGACTGGGTACTGGTATTGAGCTTAAGTCAGGTATTGTGTCCTGCCTAACTCCAGGCTTGTCCTCCTTTTTGCTTGGTATTTCCGTCGAGCAGAGGTCAGGTTTTATGTTCTGTGTAAGTCCAGGCTTTTCCTCCTTCTTGCTCTGTATCACTGGGACAGGAATCTGTACTGAGCCGAGGTCAGCTGTTGCACTCTGTGTATCTCCGGGCTTTTCCTCATTCTTGCTTGTCATCTCTGGGACAGGAATATCCTTTGAGCTGAGGTCAGGTTTTGAGTTCTGTGTCACTCTGGGCTTTTCCACCTCCTCCTTGCTCGGTGTCTCTGGGATGGGAATCTGTATTGAGCTGAGGTCAGGTTTTGTGTCCTGTCTAACTCCGGGCTTTTCCTCCTCATCTTTGCTCGGCATCTCTGGGACTGGAATCTCCATCACGTTACGTAGGGCTTCCTCCTTGGCCTTTTCCTCCATTTCCTTTCTCTCCTGTTCTTTCTTTTCTTGCAATGCCTTTAAAATATCCTGTGCTGTCACCTGTTTCTTCTCCATTGCTGATTTATTTTTTTCTGCCTCCGCTGCAGGAACAGCCTTCAGAGGATCTTGTCTGGTGACAGGGGTCCAGGGAGGAAGGAGGGCATTCTTTTTTGCTGGGACTTTCCCGACAATTCCAATCTTATTTGCGATTTTAATTTCTATTCCTTTCTTTCCGTCTTCCTTTTTCTCACCATTTGCCTTTTTCTCTGCTTCTTCCACTGAGTTCTGAGTCTGCAGTGTTGGAGGGGCTTCTGTTTCCATCTTTGTAGGAAGAGGCTCTGGTTCTGGCTTGGGTGTGGGGTTTGCAATAGGGGGTTTCTTTAAGGACAGTTTCACTTTGGCTATTTTTGCTGCACTGGACTGAGAGTTGCTTTGAACATCCGATAGCTCCTCCACTTCTTTTTCGGATTGCTCGATGTTGATGGACGGAGCTTTTTCTGTGGATTTTATTTCCTTCTCTTTAGAGGGATTTCTTCCAAACAAAGGTCTAGATCCTTTCTCCTTTAGATTTTTTTCTTGTTTCTCAGCCAGGCCCTTGGCACGATCCAGTTGCCGTCTTTGTTCATAAAAAGGACTGTCCACCAGAAATTTCTATTGGGAACAAAAGGTAAAATCAATACACAAATAACTTATTCCTTACCAGGTCACTTTTTAATTTGAAAATTCTTAAAAACAGCAAAGAATGTAGTACAATTATTTGGTTTTGTATGTACCTAGAAAAGACTCCGAAAAAGAAAAAAATAAGGGATTAGAATAAAAGCCAGATGATGAACTATAACTTACATGAACACAAATCACCTCTGTTCCTTACCTGGTAATTTGAAAGGTGGGTTTCAGTTTTCAGATGAAAGTCTGCACATTGTACATCCCCCGAGAACTCCCGACACAGGACGCAGTAGAAGCCATTTGTGGGGAATAGGAACTCAGGTCCTGGAAAACAAAATCTGGTTTGATTCAAATCATAAAAATAACATAAATTAAAATTTAAATACATGTAATTCAATTTTCTAAGTACTTTCGATTTATTTTTTTAAAGTACCTTTTTACTAGCATATTTCAGAATTCTATTCAGCAGAGAGGAAATTGTACATGTATCTATATCAGAATATGACAATGATGGCTTTCATAATATGTATAAAGGAACATGACAAAGATGGCTAGCATCTTCTACCAGCAATAAACACAGATAAACAGATACCCTTGAGAGCCACCACTTCTACTTTCTGTCCTTTCTTCTTTTGAGGGGGATTCTTCATCTGATCTGGAATCCAAGGTCTATCATACGTGTCTGTGTTTTTCCACTGTAAAAATTCAAAGGGGGAGGTTTCGCAAACTTTTGTTTGAATTTTACTCTGGGAAAATCTGCAGTATCTTCTTGAAGATTGCAGAAAAAAAGAGAAATCGGAACACAAAGCCAACTCTCCCAATCCATGGCAGTTCAAATGTTTTTTTAATCAAACAAGATTCAAACAATTAAAGTGGGTCATGTGTAAGGCACTATGAAACGCCATCTTTATTCTGCTAAATTACTATCTACAGGTCCAACTTATGATTATACAAACATGTAAAACAAGATGTTTTTATCTCAATAAATCTTACAGTAGCTCAGACAAGGTATTGAAGACAAATAGCTTTTATACAGAATTGTAGAGGAACCAGTTTACACTGACTGGTGTCCGTCTCTACCTTCTTGTTGTGACGCAGGTGGGTGTGTTCTAGGAACAGTGTGGCCGTGTCATATACAGTATTACAGAGCTTGCACCAGTGTTTTCCGGGATCAAAGAACTCGTATTTGGTTTTCTGAGCTCCTTTTACTTGGAAAGACATCTGTAAAATACAGAGCATATCACATATGTAAAATGTCATATCCGATTCAAAAAAATGTTTATTTCTTAAAGAGTTTAAAATGACTTACCAAAGATTTACATTTAATGCTGCAATGAAAATTTCATTTTAAAATTGAACAAAATTAATATTACAAAAACTGGCCAGCAAAGCTACTTCTCTTGGTAAAATCACCTGTTTAGGTTTCTCTTCCTGCTTCACTGCCGTCTCTGGTTTAACTTCCTGTTTGACAACTGCTGGTGCTGGGACTTCCTCCTTTATAGCTGGAGTTCCAGATCTGTCTTTGCTTTCACTTCCCTCTGCCATTTCCACATCTTCTTTCACCTTTTCTGGCTCTTTTTCCACCTTGATTTTCTTTTGCTGTGGCTGGATCTCCTCCGGACTTTTTCCTTCACTGAGTTTCCTCAGCTTGGAGATCTGCATTGCGATTTCCTCCTGTAATTTACTGTTCTGTAGAAGAATCGGGTCCTTGTGGCCATCTTTTTGACGACGCTTTTTGCGCATGATCTCGTTCTGCTGTCGTCGAAGTTTTCTTAACTCTTCTTCCAGAGCTTGGATGCGTTTCTGTCTTTCCTCCTTGTCTTTTAATAGCTTTTCTGCCTGTCTCTTTTTATTTATCAAAGATTGGTCCATTTCTTTTTCTGCTGGCCTTTTGGTTCCTTGTGGAGGCATCTTTGCACTTTCACTTTTGGGAGGTAAAACTGTTCTGTTTGTTGAAACAGGAGATTTATCATATTTTGTTTGAGTTTCAGGGATTCTTCTTATTGGTTCAGATGACTTTGGAATTTCTCTTAAATTTGGTCTAGCATTTTTCTTCTTTGATAAAGGCTCTGATTTCTGAGGTTTAGGGAGATTTTCTTCTAAGGTTATGGTAGTCAGATTTTCCCTTACAGATTTCTCTGGAGCCTTTGGTAACCCTGGGGACACCTGACTTATACTGGCATCCCTTTGGCTCTCTGCTGAGTAAGTTCTTTCTGCTGAGTATGCTCTTTCTGCTGTATATGCTCTCTCGGGTGGAGCATGCTGTGACTGTGCCATTGAATACTCTGGAGGATATCTATAGGGGTCGACAACTGGGGGAGCAGAATAAATAGCAGCTTCAGATTGTGTTGGCATAAAAGATCCAGTATAAGTAGGTGCAGCATATCCTTGCAAGTATGGAGCATAACTTGAAACATAGGTGACTGGAGGTTGTGGTGTGGAAGATTCTGGGGGAGGAGGATACAAATCCCTTTTACTGAATGCATCTTTTCTCAGAACCTGGTCCACGAAGCTTTCTTTTTGTCTCCCATCATAAGGTGCCCTTTCATTTCCTTTGTCTCTATCTTCAAGTGATGACGAAGTTTCAACTGACGGTTTCTTTTTGGGGAAGAGATTTAAGCCAATCTCCTCAGTAGACAACCCTCCCCCAAGGAATGAGGCTGTCTGGTTAATTCCATACTGTTGAGGGAGCTCCTCCTTTTTGGGCTCACTTCCTGCCTTTTCCTGCATTCGTTTGGACATTTCAAAATCAAAACCGATAGATTTTAAAATGTTTTCAATTGTAGGATCATATTTCTGCTGTTTCACTTCCTGACTCACACTTTCTGCAAAAGAAGTTGGCTGCTGCATGGGTGGTGGCTGTGTAGGTTGTGGCTGTGCTGGTGGGGGGCGTGTTTCCTCCATCACTCTTGGCTGGGGCCTCTTCGTGAAGATGCTCAGGAGATCGGAGGAATCATATTGTCTCTCCGACTCCAGGGGTTCCTCTGGGATGTAGGCTGGGGGTGGGGAGTGTGACTGCCTCTGACTAAGAATTGGGAAAGTATTATTCTGCTGCCTACCACCTGTCTGGGGCTGGAAATGATCTCCTACAAATGGCTGGGACCAGGGTGGTGGTTGTGATGATGGTGGAGGGATTTCTTTCTTTTCTGGTTCTCCATAAAGAAATCTCTCTTCATCTTCAATGTCCATGGAGTGTCCAAGCGAAGGTCTTCCAGAATTATACTCTTGCCCCAGTTGTGGCCCAAGTCTACTTTCTACAGGCAGTCCAAAGGAACCTCCTCCCATTTCAGTTGGTTGCACCACCGGAGGTGCCACATTGTCTGTTTTCTTTTTAAGAATAGATTTCAGTGGTTTTGCTGTGGGTGGTGTTGGCTCAGACTTTGGGGGACTCCTCCATCCCGACTGCGTCCCCGGCTGTGTCAGAGACTCGAAGCTTCCCCTCCCGTAAAAATTCCCTGGAGGATTCTGTCCCTCCTGACTCCTCTCACGAGATAAGTCATCATAAATGTCACTTTCACGTCTCAGTCTATCTTCATACTGCGGATCCAACCTTTCCATACTGAATCTTTCATCATACTTTTTATCAAGTTCACCTTTATATGGATCACGGTAGTCTCTATCAAGAGGTTCATCTCTCCTGTCATAGTGACTGGAGTAGCTGCTGCTGTGATGCCGCTCACGGCTTTCCTCCCTTCGGTCACGGTAATCCCGACTGTCCCTCCTGTTGTCCCTCCGATCGTGACCTCCGTCGTGATGATCTCTACCACTCCCCCGCCTATCCCTCCTCTCCCGGCTACTGTCTCTCCTTCTGTCCCTATCCCTATCATCTCTCCTCCCACGTGAATCAGACTGGTACCTCCTTGATGGAGAATCCCTTCTATATTTATCCTCCCTTTTCTCTTCACTGCCTCCTCCCCCATAATACATTCTTTCCTGTTCAAATATACTGTCTGGGTTTTGATACTGTTGGACTGGAGGACCCAGTCTATCAGAAAGAGGACTTCCCACTGATCCTTTGTTAAAAATGTCATTTCCGACTGTGATTCTCAGAGATTCTGCCTGGGGTGCTGGACTTTCATCAGGATACTACAAAACACATGCAAAGTTACTAATTAATAGCAGTTTCAACAGAATTATGGAGTATAGAGTGATTATTGCATGTTCTATGGCAGTTTATATAAATCCAAGGAGGAAACTAAGTTGCACATTTTTTGATAGTTATATCCCTGTGCTAAAAGATTATGTTCACTAACATGTATGAAATGCTTACTGGTAATATAAATTAATGAAATCACCTACTCATACATAAAACACAAACTTACTCTCTATTTCTGTCTTTTACATCTGAAAGATGTACAATACTGACACAATTGTTCCTGGCTGAAATACCTTTTCTTGCAGGTAAGGGTGCAACGATAAACCGTTTGACGGTATATCGCGGTATATTTTTCCACGGTTCAATTCACAATACGCTAAACTGATATCGCGGTTCGGTTCAATCGGTCCAGAATTATCCGAATCGTCCGTTTTGTTTCCTTTTTTTACAATTTCAAAATGGCTTCCGCGCAAAACGTGAGGTCGCCGGATACCGCATTAACTCATCTCCAGCATCTTATGGACCCCAGATTTAACACGGAGAAGGACTTAATGTGATTATTAAGTTATAGATGTTAAGACAAATGATAAACCCTTTAGATCTAAACGTATTCTTTGGTAATACACCTTATTTCATCACGTGTGTATTTCGATGAAAAATCACTGTCTTGTTGACTAAAACGTGTAAACACGAGAAATATGACAACTGGTTTTCTACGTAAATAAAAGGAATAAAAGAATGTCTGTCTTCCCTTTTCATTCTACTTTAAAAGGAAGATTATTAGGAAAGGTCCCCGTAGTTCCCTGTAAATGTTCATCATTGGTTTAGAATATTGTCAAAACTCCAAGATCTACCTAACAATCCAATTTAAGTTAACAAAATTTTATTTTAATTATTATTAAAAAATATGAAAATTTTTTATAAACCTGTCAAGTTAAAAAAAATATGATGACAAACTTGAAAGACTTTTTAACCTCGTCATGTATCGTGATACGTATCGTATCGTGAACTGAATACCGTGATACGTATTGTATCGTGAGGTTAGTGTATCGTTGCACTCCTACTTGCAGGCCAGTAAAGCATTCATCATAATTGAAACTCAAAATAAATGGAATCTATACATTCCTTTTTACATCAAACTAGCAATCTTAGCTTACCACAGTTTGAGCATCTGCTGGGAATGTTACTAAGGATGCTGATACTTCTTTTGTTTGTTTTTAGTTTTCTATTTACACAGGACTTCATTTTTTTCCTGCATATTCAAATTAAAGTAAAAATATCACCCTTGAGAGTAATTAATGCATCTAAAAGACTAAAATAAATTGCAGCAATAGGATTGGCTTGCTTAATATTTATACAACAAATAAACACTTGACATTCCCTGCACTGAACTCCTTCACATTCATCTTAAAACCTTGACAGAATATTTTATAAGTAAAATATTGTCCACCATACAGACACAATTTCAAGACGGAATTTGAATTATGTGCAATATACCGGTAGCAAAATCAACAGCAATGAAAGTTCAGAATACCGTATAAGCAGAATTTTTAGCGAGGTTTTAATTTTGGCATTATTAGCGATAGTCCCGAGATCGCTAAATTTGAATATCGCTAACAATTTATTCCATATCACTCGTTATAGTTATCTTGCTTGACATTATAAAATCACTACAAGCTTATCTTTTAAAAAGATTGGTGAGCTAGCGCTGTATCATAATAAAATACAGAAGAATATATCTGAACCATTTGTTAAATTTGCTGAATCGATTAATTATTAATAGGAAGGCAGATTGGTGCACTGGGGGTTGAGTTTGGGGAGGGGGGTCACAATTCAGAATGGTGAATCTAAGAGTGTGCTTCACGTCGACAATGGCAAAACTCCTAACTGTGCTTTAAGCATTCTGTATTTTACTGTAATTTCAATTTCGAGGTGAAAAATAAAAGGTCAGTAGAACCAATGAGCACCTTCGGGCCTTTCCGGCAAGCTCAGAAAACATATCCGAGGTTGCCGCTGTTTTCCGAGCTTGCCATAAAGATCCATGAAGGTAGATTAGAAAAGCTATATTCGTTACAACTTTAGAAATTACAGTCTTGGTTTTATAAGACCCGAGTTACTGTTACTTTTTGTTCATTTACGTGCAGGTTAGACAACAAAACACGAAACTTCAGATCATATGTATTTTCAGATGATAAACACTAAATTGACATGTCTTTCCGATGTACTCTGAAAAAGATTTTTGTTGTTGTTGTTTTTTCCGAGCTCGCCGAAATTATCCACTGAGGTGGTAAGTCTGTAAGGAAAGCTAGATGTCTAGAATCTTGGCATTATATGGCCAAATTTTTTCTTGTACTTTTATGTGTAGGTTAGACAATAAATTAAAAAAAATTCAGAATCCGGATCTAGAGTGGTATTGACTGTCTCTAACCTACGAAATGTATATCGCGCATATCAGACAGGAAAGGCCTGAAATTCGGATCATTTCAAATTTTGTATGACAAAACGAAATTGTTGTCGTACAGTCTATCTACAGCAGTTTTCCCAGAATCCCTGACAGTGAAATTGAGCATGCGTATTTCAGAAATATAGACTAACGTAGTTGCTAGCGCTCGAGAGCGCTAGCAAAAATTACTTCTTGCTAAAAATATATACCAGTTTTTAGGGATAAATCGCTACATTTGTGCGATGCTAAAATTTCCAATTATACCGTATTAAAATGGTAAATGAATTTTTGCAAGGAGAAATTTGTTTCTTTCATATGGATTATTTTCTTGGTCCTGAAGCACAAGAACACCTTAAACTGTCTGTTATTATAACTTGGAACTTATTTTCGAGTACTATTATTCACACCTTTCAAAATTGTGCTGGAGTGGATCTGCTCCATTTTGTTACATCACAGCTCAAGTAGTCTATCTCAAAAACACCAGAGCATCAGATAAATCCATCAAAAATTGATCTGGTCCAATGTTCAAGTTAATATATTTGGACCAGATGTCTGAAGGCTGCTAGATACCAACAAGAATTGCTAAGAGCATTTCACTGATATTACAAGTTGTCAGCCAAATCATGCACATATGATGCTACTTTTAACATACTGAACTTATCTGTGTCATCATTTGTTTTGACTAATCATGCTAATTGTTCCGAGTTTATAGGTTTGGAATATTTGAATTAGCATCACTGATCAATTATTTCTGGTCCATCCAAAATTCAGTAGGTCCCGAGGAATGCATCAAACTGACTGTTCTAACGTCCTTAGTTGCAATATATTTTTTGGCGAACACTTTCATCATGTTTATAGGGACCTATTTAAACTGGAATGAGGGCCTGACTAGTTAAATTACACTTGTCTCAGGACAGGCCCTCACTGCAGTTACAATGTGTACCACATAGATGCAACGTAACAAAATGGAGCAGATCTGCTTCACCACAAAAGGATATGTGGCTACTTGGACATGGAAGGCTTATACACCTCAAAAGGTATGCCTTCATTATTAATTTGTGAATAGCTTTTCTTTGTTTATTAAAAATGACACCATTTCTCTGCTTTTTGCATACGTCGTAAGTAGATGCACCGATTCTGAAATGAGAGCCTTCCCAACACATAAACTATAAATGACAGCATTAATCAGGTCCAGCACAATCTCTTGATTAAGCTGTATAGCTTGAAATAGCTATATAGCTTTATTAAGCTATTCAAAATAGCTTGATAAAGCTATTTATATGCAGGTTTTCACAAAAATGTTATTTGTACAAAATAGACAAAAAGTCGCAAGTATATGACTATTCATATACGTAATATGGGTTATCAAATCAAAAACCCAAATCAAAGATAGTTCTAACATTGCAGCATTTGAATACTTTTAAGTGATAGATGAATTTCCATTGTTTGGGTAACTGTACACTACCTTGTGTGCGTTGAGGCATGGATAAGTATGATTGCTTCTCATTGTACTGAATTATTACCAATCAATTATCTTGTTGACCATAATTGGCCTCCTTTATAATTTCATTGAAGAAGTAACTGTTTCAATTGCTTTATATAGCCCCAAAACTTTTAGAACTTTGAGTACAAAGTCTCTTAAGGAGACGCAATTTGATGAGTGATTTTTACATGCATTATTTTCATAAGAGTTCAAGTTTGAATATCATCACTGCACCAAGGTGCGACTTTTGGTGCATACTTGGAAAATAACACAATTGAGATCAAAGTGTGATAAAATAGCTAAATCAAGCTATTCTGAATAGCTTAATAAAGCTATATAGCTAAATCAAGCTATATAGCTTAATCAAGAGATTGTGCCGGACCTGTTAATGGAATTCCATTCCCTCTTAAACATAGTACTTGGTGTCTAACAACATTTTCTAAATGTAGAAATTTCAAATATAAAACGATTTATCACAAATTTCATTCCACCACCTTGGCCCCAAGACGGTCTTCTACAGAAGTCGGTCTTTTGCGCGGTGGTGACATTGAATGCTCGTGATCTCGATAGCGTGATCTGTCGACACTTGATGACGATTTTCTAGTCGTTGCATGGATGCCCCCGCCTTTTGCACCAAATCCGCGACCACGTGTCCTCCCTGAGAACACCATTCTTGGTAAAAAAAATTCTCAATAATCTCTGAAGTTGGTTGGGTTTATCGAAAAGAAAGTTAGACCTCTGTTGCGCATGGGTGAAACGCCGTAAAGCAACATATTGCAAAAAAGATAGAAAAAATACAACCTGATAAATTTGGAAACGTCAGATTATATTTGACAATAACTTGAGTGACAATTTCTGATACACAGTCATAAGCTGTACTTATAAAAAAAAAAAAAAAGAAAAAATGTCAAAGTGACCTTGAACCCCCCCCCCCAAAAAAAAAAAACAAATAAGCAATAAAATAAATGAAATTCGATTCCAAGAAAATTAAGAAGGAACATACAAAGCAAAGCTCAAAACAACACAGACTGAGAGAGAAACAAAGCAACGGAAGCTAACAATAACAAAGCAAATGTACGAAGGATCCCTGATTCAAACAGGATGAAAAAGGATTTCAAGCGAGTGAATGTTTGAACATACACATGTAAGTCCCCCCCCCCCTCCCCCCGGCTAAGATGATCAAATCAAAAGTGATTAAAATTTAAGATAATTTAGACATTGTTTCAATAACTGCTATCAACGCAATGTATTATTGTGTTTTATAATATTTCTTCCTATGGGTTATTTCAATATAAAGAAAGTTGCAAGGAGGTTACGTTTTCAGGTTGTCCAGCCCTCTATCCGTCAGGACGTTGTAAGATGTACTCCGCGGATCGATGAAAAAAAGTGTAGAAAACGCAATAAAAACACAAATAAAAAAATCTAGTCATAGCATGTTTTAAGTCGTCAACAGTCATCAATCAATGTTTTGTGACGGATATACACTATGCATGTATGTAGTAAGGTCAGATTAATAAAAATTTATTAAAATATTAAATGTGTTTGTGTAATTTCAATGTTTACCTGGCCATGTGCTTGTGTTGTGTTTTGCGTTCTGTGTAGTGTTTTGTCCAGTTTGATAGTGTCATATGTGATGTATTATTATTATAATTGAGGTCTTGCCCTGTCCTGCTATTGGTTAAGTCATTTTGGTCAGTCAGTATCCCATGCAGTTCATGCTTTTCACTTTCCAGCTTAATTACCAAAATCCATTTTTACCTTTATTTTTTATGTTTTATCTGTAAAGCCCTATAAATCTGTTCAGTTGAAATTAAGAGTTATTGCCCTTTATTCAGAGTGCTGTACATACTGTATCTTGAAGAAAAGTATAATGTTGAGCGTAATGTTATACCATTGTATTTCATGTGATATATATGATTGTTTGTGTTTGTAATTATTTGATTTGTAGATTTACATGTATTTATAATATATTTTCAATTTTAGGGCTCCATAAATCAACCAATCAGTCAATCAAATAAACAAGTAAACCCATACAACAGTTTTATTCTTATTGGACCTGTAACATGTATATTTTTAAGAATTCATTCTTATGCGTATAATATCTCTCTCTCTCTCTCTCTCTCTCTCTCTCTCTCTCTCTCTCTCGAAAACGACATAGATACTCAAAGACTCATAGAACTATGCCTAGGCAGTATCCTCACCACTTGTTTTAAAATAAAGTTATGTAAAGGCCTTGTCTAGAGAAAAGGAAGAACCAGATTTGCTGACGAGTAAAGAGTAAATAAAATATTAAAATATCAAACGAAATATATATATATATAATATATATATTTTAATATATAAAAATGTGAAAATATCTAGAAATTCTGATTGATTTTCTGCTCAGTGATATCCGTAGGTCGCATTACAAATTTGAAAAAGGAAGACAACTCTAGTTTGGATAATCAGAACGTTCTGATAACTAAATGTGCTTTCTGTATGCCGGCCATGTATATTTTATCGCTAAATTTGGTCGTGTTTGAAGCACTTTATACATAGAGAGATATGTTACAAATATTTAGATTTATGGTATGGATAAGTAAGTGTGTAATATGAGGTACGAACGATAACTCCAGAAAGGGAATACGCGGCATACGAACGACAACTCTAGATAGAAAATGGCACAGATAATAGCCCCCCCACCCCCACCCCCATCACCACCACCACACACAGCCTTACACAACCCCCCCCCCTTTTTTTGTGGGGGAAAAAATGCTGGTTAAAAGTACAGCGGTACGAAAGCCTAGAAGAGTCAAATAAGGAATATGAAAAAAATAATAAAAGTCGTAATAACGACTTTTTATCTCGTAATTACGACTTTTTTTTATCTCGTTATTATGACTTTCTTAAGTCGTAATAACGACTTTTTATCTCGTTATTACGACTTAATAAAGTCGTAATAATGACTTTTTATCTTGTATTAACCACTTTTTATCTCGTAATAACGACTTTTAATCTCGTACATGTAATTACGACTTTCGTAAGTCGTAATAACGAGATAAAAAGTCGGTATTACGAGATAAAAAGTCGTTATTACGACTTTTATTATTTTTTTCATTTTCCTTATTTGACCCTTCTAGGCTTTCGTAGTTGACTTTGACCAACGTATGATATTTTTTGCATACCGGTAATAGCAATGTTGTTGCAATTAATAATTAATGTATAGCAATATTATGAGAATTATAAATAATGTCGATATGGTTCCATTTATTAGGCTTTCACGTCGATATTTTGACAGTTCTTGTTTGTTAACGTACGTTTGTCATCCTAAGTTTGAACAACAATTTAACTGTATTGAAAAAAAATCATAGCTGAAATTGATCTCTCTCTTTATGCGTACCACTCGTATCAACTGTGAGACAATTAAAAAATGAACTGCAAATCAAACGATTCAATACTTTATAGTATATTGACAAATCTATGTCAATTTTGCTTGAATGAGTATTACAAGTAGCTCAAATTTGGATGACTTAATTTCTCTGATTTAAATAAATTGCCTACATGAAGTGGTCACATAGGCATCGTAAACGGGAGTGAGCTTAGCCCCCCCCCCCTCCCCCCACCCTTGCAAAGATAAACATAATATAGGCATTGAAAATTGGGGCTTTTTTTGGTTGGTAGCCCCCCCTCCCTGTTTCAATTTGCTTCCGACGCCTATGTGTCATATAAAATACGCTGAAATAATGTCTGCGATGCGTAGTAGTAATTATATAATGTCTGCGATATTCAATTTAGCGGTATAATTTACATGAATTATTTAAGTGCGACATTGATGAATTCGACTTTGATAAATTAAAGTGTGTAAAGTCGTCCAAAACACGTCAAAAAAGTGTCCTTCATTAGAGATTGTTGTCATAGATAAATCTGCAAACTTTGAAGCAACCGTTTTGGACATTATTATAAGAAAAAAATATCGCGTTCCAACTCAACAACACGAGACCATTATACGTTTCCGTACTTCTACGCTTTCGCTACCTAAAAGGATCAAATTAGGAAAATGTTCAAAATGAAAAAAAGTCGTAATTACGAGATAAAAAGTCGTAATAACGAAATAAAAAGTCGTTATTACGACTTAGGAAAGTCGTAATAACGAGATAAAAAGTCGTTGCTACGAGATAAAAAATCGTTATTACGAGATAAAAAGTCGTAATTACGAGATAAAAAGTCGTTATTACTTTTCATTTTCCTTATTTGACCCCTGTAGGCTTTCGTAAAAATTGATATTCTGAATAAACAAAAATATTCAAATTACATCCATTCATTTGAAAATTAATTGTCTTTCAAATTTTTCGACTGATACATAAAAAGAGATCGAGAAGCTTTCTCTCTTTTTTAGGTGGAGTCCATACCCCAAGTGCCTGTGTTTTACGCTCGCTATCATAGGAACGAACGACAACTCTGCTAGGCTTGACTAATTTCCAATATTATCCGAAGATAAGTGTTTTATCCTCTTTAGTTAAAGACACTGAAATTGACTATAATTATATATCATTTTAGGAATTTAATGAAATCTTTCACATATGACAGAGACATTTTGTACCTATTTGGAAAAAATATATAAAAACTGTTGATCATTAAAACGAATCATTTACGACAATCGTACATAGGACAATAACTGAAGGCTTGTGGGAGTGCCGATTAATTTAGAGTTGAGCAGTCGACGTTTTTTTAGTGTGATTCAGTCATTGATTGTCTGGTGATGTATATTTTCACAAATTGTTTACAAATGGATTAATAAGGAAAGAAAATTATGTCAACAGTGCTGGACAGGCCGGAACTGTCCTCTTCGGGTAAGATTTCTGTGTATTCTATAACATTGATTTGTGCGAGTACTAAGACAATGAACAATGATTTCCTATAATGTGTAAGAGTGTGTGTTATCGCCGGCATCGATATGATTACGGCATGGATCATAAATAATAAAGTTTTGTTCCTGTTCAGCTTTTTACATTACATTCATTACATTTGAAAAAGATCATTTCATTGATTTTGTATCATAGTAATTTCTCTTAATGTGTCAATTTATATCTATATCTATTCATCAGAGTTAAAAGGGAGATGTAAATCATAAATAACATGTCATTTATGTTCCTGTTTAGATGAAACTGTTTTGGGTTTATTAATATTATCTGAGTGACACATTGCTGTAACATATATTTGTATATTTTACCTCAAATGTTTTGTTAAAGATGCTGCAAGTTTGTAAATCTGATAGTTTAAAAATTGAAGATAGCCAACAGCATTTTCTAAACAAACAATAAAGGATAAATAGTTAGAAAACCAATCGTCAAAGGAAAAATAATGTGAACTTGACATTTCATAATATTAGAGCAGTGACTAGGTGAATTATTAATTAAAACAGAGTTTGTATGATCTTTGACTTGTCAATAGAATCTGCTGTAGGGTGTTAAGTTAATACTGATAAGGAAAAAAACCTGTCCTCCAAAAGTATCCCCCAATAAAAAAAATTCCAAGAATAATATTTTGAGAGGAATTATTATGTTTTGAATTGTGATTGGGACAATGTTGAATTTAATTATTTTGAAGATTTTTTTACGTCATATTTATGGTAACATTGATAACATTTTATCTTTGTCTTGAATGATATCACTGCATGTATCAATCACATCATTATGATTATGTAAACTCTTTATGAAGAGAGAATTTACCATCATTTCTCGATGCCAGATAAAGAACAGATATTATTTCAAAGAGGAATTAATTATTAAGATAAATTTTGGGACTTACAAATTAAATTAATATCATATATGAATCATAAACTTTTTTTTTTTTAGCTTTTTGCATATAATATAAGTTGTACCCATTTCTCCACACAAAGGAATCTACCAGTTTACAATTTTCTGTATCAAAATATGATGTAGCTTCATCCATTTGCTCTAGCTATTGCCATGCAGGCAGAGAATGGAGCAATTATGGTCAATTATCTTTATAACTAAATCTGCACTGAACATGCTGAAGTGCATTTAATAAGATATACTTCAGAATATGACTCATTTACTTGGAGTTTATTGTATTTAAACTGAGCTTTAGAAAATAAATCTATATCCATAACCTCTCAGTTTGTAGGATTAAGTACTTGACTATTCAATACATGTAAAAAAAGAAAAAGGTTGCTAAAAATTAATGTTGATATTTAACAGTTTTATATGAATAAGAAGAAATATTAGCTATATTTTTGCTTCATTATCTGTTTCTATAGATAACTTCAAAATAAAAAGGTATTTTTCAGAAATACTCAACATACTCACCTGCTACAAGTTTACAGTGAATGATATGATTTGTAATATCAAACTATATCCCTATTATATGAAGCTGTTCTACTACCTCTAATGAAATAATTATTTTCGCTGTGTGATTTCTGTCTATATCTTTTTTATTTATTTTTATTTTGTGGTCTCTTTCTCAGGAGCGGCTCCCGAAGATGGAGTTCCAGACATGATTGTGATCAGCGAAATTGATGAAAATGGAATCGCTGTCAACTTGAGGGTCCGCTACACCAGGGATCAAATTTATGTATCCTTGACTAAAAAATAATAGCAGAATATTTTTAGTGCTTAACTATTTCATGTACTGAATTAGTCCAGTCAAACCTGCCCTTAGAGCCCACAGATTTTGATTTTTATAATTGTCATGAAATCCGGGATTCATTTTGAAAAAGACCAGATTGTAACAAGTGAAGTATTTAATCAAGTCAAAAAGATAAAGAGTATCATATCATCATATATGATTGAATACAAATTGATGCTATAATTGAGATATGTTGCAATACATGCCATAAAATACAATAAATGTACTAAACCATGGATATATCACGTAGCATCCTACAACAGCAGAGTTCACACATTCATCTAAAATAATAGTGCTCATCATTTGAGCACATAAAACTTTTTTATTTATCTTATCCATTAGCAGTTTACCATGCCAACTCATTAAAAAAATTTTCATTTACGGTTATTTTTTTTAGAAAATGAATGAGCTGCAATGTACTTTATCAGCAACCGTGTTTGTATGAACTTATGATGGCTGTTGATGAAACTTCAGAACAATTCCAGATGACCTTGTGAAATGTTGTATGATTACTTTCCTGTTTTATTTCCTGTTGTTGTAGGCTATGGTGTGAATTTTATGATTGCGATACATTTGTTAGTAGGCAATTCATTGTTGCTTATCATTCAGTTACATATTTGTATTTACCACTAGTTGGTGGTCATTTAGATTTATACTTGGCATGAGGACATAATAAGATTTAATTATTGGTGTTATTGTCTATGAAATATTTAGTTTTAATAGCTTGAACGTTGTTTTGTCACTGAAAATTGATTTATCATACACCTTAGTTCCTTGGTGCCACTGACTTTAATGTTATTTTGATATTTAAGTACAAGCAATATAGGACATTCTTGCACAAAATGGGTATAATAATAAATCAAAGGTACAATATCATAATACAATAGACAGCACAAGATTTAACTCATGTAAATTAATTGGTTTGAACATCTATGCAGTTTGTGAACCATTTCTGTTGATGATCCTTTATATTGAACTTGAGTATGAACACATCCTGTGAGACTATTTTTTTGGCCTAACTGAACCTCTGTTTAAGTATGAACACATCCTATGAGCCTATATGTTTGGCCTACCTGAACCTCTGTTTGAGTATGAACACCTCCTATTAGCCTACATGTTTGGCCTAACTGAACCTCTGTTTAAGTATGAACACATCCTATGAGCCTATATGTTTAGCCTAATTGAACCTCTGTTTAAGTATGAACACATCCTATGAGCCTATATGTTTGGCCTAACTGAACCTCTGTTTAAGTATGAACACATTCTATGAGCCTATATGTTTGGCTTAACTGAACCTCTGTATAAGTATGAACACATCCTATGACCCTATACGTTTGGCCTAACTGAACCTCTATTTGAGCGTCTTTTTTCCTCGTCTGTGGATGTTTCCTGTAGAAAGCTTTAAGTGAATTGTTTCTTCCGCAGTCTGTAGTTATCGACAGGAAGTCCTTTCCGTTTAATCTTGAACTAAATATGTGTCATATCTTTTGCCCTAAAGAAAGCAGAACTGTGTCACAGAGAATATTTGATATGTATATGGTATTATAAATATTAAAAGATAAATGGAAATTTTAAAAATTGTCAAGGAGTTAGCCGCATATAGGGATTATATTTGTATTGATTTGTATGTTTCGTTAATTCTTAGTCTGATATCTCTTTTAACTGTTAATTAGGTATCAGATTTCCCAGGCATATGATCTTATCAGAATCTCTGTAAGTACTATTACTATGTAATGGGTTTTTATCATGATTATAATTTCATTAATTATATTAATCTCTGGTATGTGTTTTGATTCTACTATTTACAACAATGTTTTCATACATAACAGTCATACATGTAATAATCTTGTTCATAAATGGAGTAACACTTCATAAACTATTTTGACTTCGATAATTTTTTAAAGAAATTAGCTCACTTTATCATTAGTCTGTGAAATCTCTCTTACAGCACAAAAACATTTAGGAGGAAATTGGCAGTAAACCCCCTCCAAAGTTATATATAGGCCATGTAATGGTGTAGTGGATCAAGGCTTGTAGTGAAAACATGATAGGAAGTTATAGGAAAGAGGGAACGATTTCATTGATAGGAGGATTTATTTACACTGTAACGTGGTACACAGCATGGAGGGGAGCAAAACCTGCAGAATATGCCAGTTTTTATATTCTCTTAGATAAACATGTGCTACATGAGTTTGGAGATCAACAAAATTTATTTCCTTTGTACTTTATATAATTTATATAAATTAAAGGGAGGGACCTTTAATAAAAGAGTTTTTGTGTATCTTTTTCTGATTTAGATTTTAGCACAGATTTTTACAATACTTATCAGCTGGTCTGGTTGAGATTTGACGTTCCTGATTGTTCTGCTTCTGTAGACAAGAATGTTTTAATTCTCGTCAGGTATTCAGTTGTGAAGACTCTAGCCCTGACAAGATACATTGTTTTTTAAGTGAGGCGATTTAATCCTTTGATAATCAGACTGCACTCGATCTGTGTTATGTTGGCAGATGTTAGCAGTGGCTGTGAGCTCGATTACAGCAGTTCTGGCTTGATCGAGCGATTCCTAGCACACCTGTTCTCAGCGCCAGGCTCGATTCTTACTCACCTGACATACCTGTAATAGACTCAGCATTTACACCTTTAACACACCTATAACACACCCACACATACACCAACACACACTTCTTAGTTTATGGCTACTGTATTGTTTAGGTAAACAAAGAAGTTTTATTTATTATGCTTATTTATAGAATAAACAAATATAATCCTTAACTGCTTGTCAGACTTTTACAGGTTCTATACTGGTAGCTGTGAATCCATACAAAGACCTTCCTATCTATGAACAGGTATAGTACATATATATATATATATATATATATATATATATATATATATATATATATGCATTCATTTAAAGATGACCATGACCCTTTATTACCCCCCCCCCCCCCCCCAGCAAAAAAAAAAAAGAATAACCAAACACAGTCCCAGACAAAACATCTGCTGTATAGAGAACAGACTAGTGGAGACATCACACACATTATCAGATGTTTGGGGACCAGTCTTTACATCATCAATATTTAATAGGAATGAATTGTCTCCCCAAGGGGAACTGAATCATATGGACTCCTATTGATCTTTCTTCCTCATTACCCCCAATACCATAGGACTGTGTATTCCAGTAATGTACCAATGTACCAGGAAGGAAAAGGGGGGTGGATCAAAACAAATGCTGGTGGATTGTTACACAATAGGGGCCTGGGGGAGATATTGATTATGTGGTATTCTGTGATGACATTTAGTTTCCTATTGATGGTTTTAGTGCTGTCATCAATTGTCTCTGCTGCTTTGTCAGTAAATACAGTCTGTCGTCAGCCATTTCAGTTATCCTTTTTTTTAAAAAAGAAAAATGTCTTGTGGATATTAATTAAAGTACAATGTAGATACATTCCCAAGGGACTTTTAGATCTGTTTGATGTAATGATAGCAACGTGGCTTAGATTAGTGAAATAATGGAGTGTAGAGTAGAACTCTCATCACTGAAGTTTGTCCTCCAAATCCATTTCAATCATTTGTGTTTTAATGATATTATCAGAAATACAAATACAATCGGCATTTGGCAGTCAGATGAAAAGTTCATAGAAATTAATCTCTCCCCGATAAGAGAAATCAATTTAATTTCCAATACCTTATGCTACTGAGCTGTTTGCTCTGCATTTCTTCCTTTGTTTAAAATTTCCTGCCAAAAGAAATTACAAGAAGTTGTACCAGATCTGAGCTGATATTGAGGGGTATGAGATTAAATGTTATCAGATCCAACTTAGAAAACAATCTAACTGCCACACTCCATCATCTCGGCTAAGAATGCTTTATTTAAAGAAACCATATTCCTCTTGTGATGAATGCCATAACTCTCAGGAAGTCATCATATACAAAATTAACACACACAAAGAACAGGACCTTTATGAAATCTCTCAAGTCCCATACTCTCTTTACAGAAAGATGTTGCAGAGTTTAGTGCTAAGAAGCTTAGCCAGGTGGAGCCACATGTGTTTGCGATCAGCGAGGCGGCATTCCAGAGTCTCCATAGCTCACAACAGAATCAGTCCTGCATCATCAGTGGAGAAAGTGGGGCTGGCAAGGTATAATACAGAGTTATGTCCCCTGATAGTAAAGATTACAACAGAGTAATTCCCCCTGACAGTAAAGATTAATTCAGATTAATGTCCCTTGATATTTAAGATAATAAAAATGAAACAATTCCCCTAATATTAAACTTGACAAATAATGCAGCTGATTATATTAATATTTGTGACATTTATTACTGTAAGACTGGTTGACTTGTTTTAGTAAAAAAAACACAGCTGTTTTCTGAGTTCATTAGTCTCTCTTTCCATTGTCTAAGTATGTAGTTATGCAGAGTTATATCCCTTTTGTCTTTGATATGAATGCATACATAGTATGGACATTAAATTATCTCCCTTTTGTCTTTGATTTGACATTGTATGGATATTAAACCCTGTCTAAATGTGGTTAATAACCTAATAATAGGTCAATAATCTGAGCAAAGAAACAGAGAAGTATTAATTTTCACATACATACAGATACTTGTACTAAACCGGATTCATCCATTCAAACATGCATATTCTTCATATTTCAGAATCATATGACAGTTCGAATTCTTATTATATTATTATCTTATTGCACAAGTTATTACCACTGATACATGTAAACATTTAAGGACATATGCAACGTACCTTACCTACTGATAATTTTTCAAGATGTTCTTAATTTAAGATTATAGTGCCATCAGATTTTTTTATACAAAAAAATCAGCATGCATTACCAGGGAGTTTGAAAAGATACCTATTGATGAAGATTCTTGTATAATTCAAAGAAAAATATACGAAAATTACTCAACATATATTCTAAATCTTTTGTTCATCCAAACTTGTTTTAGAAGAAGTGTATAACAGCATATAAAGACATTAAACTGTAATACACACTTCTTTTAAGTATCGGAACTCTTCAACTCCAGGGAAAAAGACAATAAAGTTCAAACTACGTTGCGTTTGTCCTTAAGTAACTTCTTTCAGGCTACATGTGACACACTGTTTGACATAAAATTGTATGATCTAAAAATCATGAGGGCTTTTAGCAATACACATGTATTATTTATAATATTTATGTTGCCTCTAATATCACTGTATATATCTGACTGAATGTTTAAAATCTGTTATTCTTTAATTCATAGCTGCTTCTACAACTTGTTATATTAAGTAATCATTCGGTGTTAAATACTGGACTGAAGGACTTGATTGATAGGTTTAAAATGACATAAAGTAGTTCTTAGTGAAGTGAATGTTTTACGTATTCTTTTTCAGTTGTATTTAGGTAAATATACAAAATGTATAGAGATGGCTAGTGATTGCTTACGGAATAAATATATTTGTATGTTTTAAAAAAGGAAATAAGGAGGTATCCGTTTTTCTAAAACAAACAGGAAAGTGTGTAAAGTGGAAGTCGGGGAACTGTGTTCTATTATAAAACAGAGGGGGTTTTGAGTATGAGGGATGTCTGGAGGAAATTCAAGCCGAGTGTGAGAGAATACTTTATTAACCATATAATTTTATCAGGATATAATGAGCCTATTGCATGCCAAATATAATTACATTATTGAGTGGAGGAGAATGTGTGCCTGTTGATTGGCCTGCTGTAAATACCTGTAATTCAGTGATCTTATCCACGTGTTAATTAAAGTACTAATACCACATTGACCCCCAGGTATTTTATACCAAATCCCCGATATAATACTCATAAAAAGGGGGGACTTTAATTGACCTGAAAGTAAATACAGGAAGCTAGGGACATTGAATTTTAAAAATTAAGGCAACATGGTGAATACTTTGGATATTTTTATAACCACATTAATTTTTGACATAGTTCTGTCACTATTTTCTAAGCGGTTTCATATATAGGACAAAATCCTCACTTTCACCCAGCCATGCAATATCTGTGACATCAGTATACTCATGGTATTTTGAGGGGATGGAATCTATTTTGAGATCAATATCACCTGCATGCCTGCCTCACAGAATAGCTCCCGAAGGCATTTTGTGGTATGGGTCATATCAACAAGCCTGTGTTTTAACAGAAAACACTCGACCACATAGAAAAAGGGAATATCATATAGAGATTGTGTTATTGGTGTGCAGTACTGGTCATAAATCAGTTTTATTGACCCCTGATCAGTCAAGGTTAGACCAGTTAGTGGTGGACAATGTTATAGACCTGTGTTACCTGAGCATGTTACCTGACACTGGTACCTGACAGGTGTGAACAGATTCTGGCTGTTGATTGTCACTTACTGCACTTCTAAATGACCAGTTGTTTCTCCTACACATCATAAACTTACAGGAACATGCACATTTAGAAAAGTTTTACTAATTATCAATCTGTATAGCTTGAGGGACTGTTTTGAGATCAAAAGATTTTAATTTTTTTTTACACAATGTCATATATGTATTTTAGTCACTGTATTAAAAAAAAAACAACTCTATATTAAAAAAAAATGAAATTATCAAACTATCTGATGAATGAATTCATTTTATTTTCTTTGCTTCACAATATGTTGAAGAAAATATCCCAATTTCATCAATTTCCAAACATAAAAAAAGACTTCTTGGTTATAATGGGCAATAAAATTCTGTTTTACATGCACACTCACAAATTTGAAGCACTGGTAATATTTCAGAGGAAAGTGAACCTGCATTTGATTTGTGTAATGATCTCAGAAGTCCCCCCTTGTTAAGAAAAACAGAGTAATTGCTTTGCATTCTTTTTTAGCTGTTGGTGAATAATCAATGATAAATGACTCTCCATGAAGTCAGCATATCTTTTAGGAACCCTATAACATCCTGTCTTTATCAATAGAGGCTGCTGCATGCTGGTCTAATCCTTTCTGTTACTGCTGCTTTAATTTGAGGAAGTGATTGTAAAGTGTCCAATAACAGACTACAATTAGAACATATAGTCCCTGCATTATACATGCTATTATAATAGAAGTTTGGCAAGCTATTCCTAGTATGAGTGCAGTGTGTCTGCAGACATTGCCCTGCACTTAGAATTAAATATCTCAGTCCAGAGTTTGGGTGGTGCATCTGTAAATCACAGATATCTCATTCAGAGATTTGTTCGGTATGTTTATATGACATGAGTCTACTCTCTCTGTTGGCTGGAGAAGAACTGATGCTCCTTATCAGACTGTATAATGACCACATCATGTTATTGTATGCTTAGATTACCATCAGAGCACTCAGTCGACTAGACCATATAATCATGATAATAACTCTTTATTATAGATTTGTATTGTTTTAGACCCTCTGTTTTATTACATATAATTTAGTCATCTAATGCCTTTAGAGTTACAGCATCCATGACATATTATATCAAACTCTGTTATACTCCATTGTTACTCTTTATCGGGATTCAATCGCAATTTTTCGATAGTTTTACCTTTTAGTTACATTTGCATTGTATTATCATTGAATTGCTGATTATTAAAAAGGAAATTCTAAAGGGAGTATCACCCTTCTCTTGTCGGGGGGGGGGGGGGGGGGATGGGTGGTTTGGTTAGTGAGAAACAGATGATTCATAAAATAGTACATGAGAGAGAGAGAGAGAGAGAGAGCAAAAGGTCACTGTGTAGAAGCTAGCTTATTACACTAGATCTCCAAACTGTCAGTTTGATCACAAGACTTAATTTCATGGGGGTTACCATTTTGTCTTCCTTTTCACAATTGCATTTCACATTTATGACATGTTAATATCCTTATGGATCAGACATTGCCATGGTACATGATCAATACAGAGTATAACTTCAGGACAATTGTTCTGGCCTTCCCTGAGACAAAGTCTGGGTTAATAGAGTTAGATTGGATTGCTTGTTTTATCTGAGTATAACTTTGTATCAGGTCTCAATTCTTACAGTTTGTCAGTTACTCTATGATTCATTACTTAAAGTTGGCTTAACGAAGTGGTTTCAGAACTTTGTTTGAAATGTTTCAGTCCAGAAATGTCATGGTACTATATACAAGTCATCAACCAGTGCCTTTATGATTAAAAAAAAAAAGAGACAAGCAATGGGGAAAAAAAAACTCTGCCACATATATCTCTAACTTTGTTTCCAATAATGATACTACATAATGTTTCCTAAAGGATGGGAAAAATGGCTCCGTATGTAGAAAAACATTCATAGAAAAGAATACTAACACTTCAGTCAGCTTAGTGTGATCTACTTCTCCTCTAGAATAGTAAAGCATCAATATTGTTCTAACCAGGATAGAATAAATATGAATTTTATTTTTTCAGACTGAAACAACCAAGTTTATCCTCCAATACCTCTGTTCTGTCACCAATCACGTGTCATTCTGGGTAGAACAGCAGATCCTGGAGGCAAACACTGTGCTGGAAGCTTTTGGTATGTCTCACTCCTAGTCTTGTAATTAAGGCACATCAGGTAATTTATATGAAGTAAAGTTGAACTTCTGTATCTCGAACACCGATGTCTCAAATGCTATGGGTATGTTGGAGTGATTTTGAAGTCCCAACCCCTTATTCTTTAAATATTTTACCCTGAATATCTCGAATCCTTGGATATTCCTTCTTTTTTTTTGGTCCCATTGAGTTCGAGATAATGAGGTACAAATGTATATAAAAGACACTTTAGAGCAGTGAAAAAGGCTTGAATTACAGTGGTACGAAGACATAATTTGAACCTTTTGACTGGAATTAATCTAAATTTGATATATGTAGTTTTCAGGATCTAAAGGTATGTATTGTCACCTTGTCTGAAGGTCATTTCCCACATGTCATCACATGAGTCAAGGTTATATATCAAAGGTCAAGGTCATATGGCAGTTAAATGTTGAAATATCCTAGCTGTGACTGAAATGATCTCAAAGGTCAAGGTCACTTAGCGGTGTTGAGATGTTGTCAAGGTTACAGAAGAACAGGGGGTTAAGAATGGGGAAAGTCATCTGTTTCTGTTCCCCTTTGAAAAAAAAACACACTGGTAGAATATGATTGGACCTTGAATTCAGGATGAAGAGAATAATCATCAGATAAATACCTATTTATTTTAAAAAAAAATAGATAGGTTGCAACATTTAAGATAAAGCCCAAATTTTGATTGGAGTCTAAAGGTCTCCTTTAAATCAGTTCCTTTAGGTCTGAGTTCTCTGAACACATTATTTGATTAGTGTGTGTATAATATGGTTACATGAAGTACAAAATCTCTTCACGTTAGATTTGATTTTTCTCACAGTTCCACACAGTATTGGCTAAATTGGGTTTTACACCAGGCAGGCGACGTATAAAAATAGCACTTCAATGTGCGCTAAGAGATGGGGAAATTTTAAAAGTGATAGATTAACTTTGGTTAAAAAATGGAAAATTGTGAAGAGATTTCTCAGGAGGGGCCTTATTTCCGCAGATATGTAGGATGCAGAACTTCTCATGACTCCAGCCGAGATGATGATAATTAATATTTCTGTAACAAGCATTATAAGAGCTCTTGACTTCCGCCCTTAAAGTACCTGAGTGCATTTCTACAAATAGATTAAAGTACCAACTCTAATAGACCTCTCTTAAAGAACTGTATTTTTTTTGAGAAACACTCGTGATCTCAAGTTTGGTGGGGGGGGGGGGGGGGGGGGGGAGGCATGTTGAACAAACTAAACTTTGAAAAATTAAGTCAATTGGAGAACAGACTGGGGTTATTAAGAATCTCTGACTTTTACAAACAACGCTAATAGGTTAATGCACTTTTGTGCTGTAGGCAGTGTAGATCTTCTTCAGTTTGAATTGTTTGTTTATAAGAGGGATATAAGGGATAACAGATTTAAAAGTTAAGGGGCTTAAGCAGTGTGGAGTGTGACCCTTGGTGTAAGACAGCATTTAAACAACCCATACCGAAATAAGTTATAACTAAGTTATAACTTTTCTGTAACTTTTTTGTACCTCAAGAAAAAGTTACATTTTAGTTATAACTTTTCTGTACCTAAAATGGACTTAGCCATTTTTAGATGTAACTAAAATATAACTTTTCTGGACTTTGTCATTTTACTGTATAACTTTTTTGTACCTTTTTGAACTTAGCCATTTTCTGGTGTAACTAAAAGATAACTTTTCTGGACTTTGTCATTTTACTGTATAACTTTTTTGTACCTTTTTGGACTTAGCCATTTTCAGATGTAACTAAAACATAACTTTTCAGGACTTTGTCATTTTTCTGTGTAACTTTTTTGTACCTAATTTGGACTTAGTCATTTTGCAGAATGGCTACTTAGTTAAACTGAATATTTTTTTTTTTTTTTTTTTTTTTTTTACCATACACCTAAATTAAATTTTTTTTATATAACTGTTGAAATTTAATCATATAAAATATTAAATAAGCATAATTATATTAGTATAGTAATACAGTTTTACATACCTGTAATATCTACAGAGGATTATATGAATAAAAAGGTGGGGATGATTAAGGGCTACATAAAGGTACCACTGTTTATATGCAGAATTTTCTTTATCTAAAAATTATTCATATAATGAATTGCATTATATACTGCTATTACTTACGCAGACATTTATTTTTCTGTTTTGTTGTGAGTTGAGATTTTTTTTTTTTTTAAAAGAAAAAGGGGGGCTTCTTAGACATCTTTACTACCAATGTTTTACTCATCCATTGCAGTCCACAGCCACATCCACTGTTAAGTTCAACAGAAGAGATGTGAAGTTGAGACTTGTAGTAAATTACATCTGAAGTTGGGAATAAATCTCTCTCTAAATCTGAGTCTCTCTCTCTCTCATTAATAAATATTGTTGTTTAATTAATATTTGTCTTGTAAGTACTAGTTTCATCTAAAGTTGGGAATAATCTCTCTCTCTCTCTCTTTCTCTCTCTCAGAAAATACGTATTATATAGATTTCATGTTTTGTAAATTATATGCATGTACATCTTAAGGTGGAATAATTTCCCTAATTCTGGAGAAATATAAATGTTCAAGAGATATAAACAGTGGTCAAATGTTATAATCTCATGAAGTCATTTAATATTTTGCACAGATTTTTCTTCGTGTGCAAAACAGTGTTAATTTCCCCATTGTTTTCTCGTGACACAGGTGTTTGTACTAGATGACCTTTTTGGCCTACACTTCGTAAATTTCAGCTTGTGTATTACGCAATGGTACAATTTTACAAGGGTTCTTTGAAATCTAAAGTAAATCAATCGTAATAAGGGTGGCTAGAAAGATAAACAACAACATACAGTGTGTGTATGTTCATTTATTAACAGATATTACGATGTTGGGAATAAAGACTGCCAGTTATATTAAGATTTTAGCAGAAGACTAGGACATGTGGATTTTATTATTTGCCTGATTAAATAACCCAGTTTTACTAGTTATTTTCATAAATAAATAAAATATTAAATTCAAAATGGCAACGACACAAATATGGCGGCCCCGACGTCCGTTTTGTCCGTTTTGTTGGAACTCTGTTTCAAAATTTTAACACCAACTGGCTTTTTAATATTTAAGATAAGTTTCAAAATACACAATTATGTTTATTTGGATTTAAAATAAATTAATTATGAATTATTTATTTATTTATTTTCAATCACGTGACTTATTCTAAGTCTCTGATTGGTCAATAACAGAGCGCGGATTTTTTCATGGACGATTTGAATGTTGGTGTGTTGAAAGTGTTGATAGAAAAACGATGACAAAATCATTCGGTAAGGCAATATTTATGTTAATATTTTGATGTTTTTGGTAGGAAATGTTTATTACCTCTAGATGGGCATTCAAAAAAGAAGAAATATGTAGAATGAACAAAATTCTAGGCATGTGAATCTCAGATTTCTTGTTTGTTTTGATTGGTATGTCAATGACAAAGACTGAAGTGAAGAAATTGAAACATAATATTTTTTCAGCATTTAGTATAGGAACAAAAAATGTTATTCTTTGTCATATTTAATTCTTTAAATATTCCTATAGATCAGTTTAATTATTAAATGACCTATATTGTGTAATTGTTTAACAGATTCTCTGAACTGTTTTTTAAAATATTGTACATATTGTAGCCTTTAAACACCACATGATCATAACATGATATAGTGTACTGAAATGAGTAAAATAAAATTTCTAATTTTTATTTCATTTCAGCAGTATACTGGTACATTATTTCTTTCCATGAGCATCTTATGTCTGTGCCAAGCTGGAGTGAAATCCTTCAAAAATATCACCTGTTTTAGGTAAGTAAATAATCAAATCTTATTTTTATTTCAAATTCGATAAATCTAAAGCTAATTCCTATAAAGCTGTCAGGTTCTATATTGTTCTTTATGTTTAAAATTTTTTTTAATGCATGTTTATGTGATGAGCCTTGAGATTGAATTTTCTCAATTACACAACAGAACTCTAATTCTTGTTTTCCAAGTTATAGATGCATATGCCTTGAATTTGAATGAATTGATATTAAAGAGTGGTTCCAATCTGATATGCTTTGAGTGCAGGAAACACTTCAACGTTTTTTTAAAAGAAAAAATTAAAATATTTAAAGTTTGAACCTTTTTAATTTTTGCAGAATTGAAGAGAAATGAAGAGAAGGTTGAAATTGCAAGCATATTTCAAATGAAGACTCGGACGACTACCAGTGCAGGCCATTGAGGGGCGCAGACCATCTGCCGGCCGGCCAAGTCCCTTGACCAGCTCGGCCAAATACCAGTGCAGCCTGTCGAGGGGGACATACTGCTGGCCGGCCAAGTCCCATGACCACTTCAGCCTACTACCAGTACAACCTGTCAAGGGGCGCAGACCGCTGGCCGGACGGCCAAGTCCCTCGACCAGCTCGGCCGACTACTGGTGCAGCCCGTCTTTAAATAATCCAGATAAAAATCACAACTGTACATCCACAAGGATACCTGTGCAAGGACTTGGGTGGTATGCAGCTAAGAACTGTGACCGAAATCACTGCTTAGAACCTTCTTTTTTTTTTGAAGTACAGCTAGATCATGGCGCTAACATGAAAAACTAGAGAGTTAAAATCTAGGCAGTGATGCCTATTTATAAAAGTTCACAAGAGTAGAATGCAGTTTACTAGGTAATTTTACAAAAACTCTTATGACTTTATGCTAAAAAAAATGTATTTTTAGAAAACAACCATTCTGAGAAATTTCAATCTGTTATGATGGCTTGATGAAAAATAAGGTAGACTTGAAAACATGAATGTGCATTCATTCAATTGTATTTGACAATGAACCAAGCTCTCTTAATCATGTTTATAAAATAAAATTGTAAGTGCTTTTAATTTTTTTTAAATAATCTTTTTTTGTAAAAATTTTAATAATCTTTTTGTAAAAATTTTAATGAGTAGCTTTTTTAAAGCCTATAATTGAGTAATTCCACCACAGGTTAACATGAAGTGTATAATTTTACTGTAACTTTTATTAGGTATAACTTTTATTAGGTATAACTTTTTGTAGTTATAACTTTTTTTTAGGTATAACTTTTCTGTAACTTTTTCATAACTTTTTCATAGTTATAACTTTTCTGTAACTTTTTCATAATCTTTAAAGTTATAACTTTTCATGGGTATAACTTTTTTTAGTTATAACTTTTTATTAAGTATAACTTTTTTATAACTTTTTAAATAACTTTTTCCGGGTATAACTTTTTTGTAACTTTTTCCACCGTTTATTTGGGTATAACTAAAGTATAACTTTGTAACTTTTTTATAACTTTTTGTGTAACTTTTAATAAGCATAACTTTTTGTAGTTATAACTTTTTTGTAACTTTTTGCACTTGCTGTATTTATGTTGAAATAAAAAATGAAAACTTATACAAAAGTTATAACTTTTTTGTAACTAAGTTATAACTCAATTATACCTCACTTAAAACAGGCGGTTCCAAACTCCGATAACTTAGTTATAACTTTTTTGTACCTTTTTTTAGTTACAAAAGTTATAACTAAGTTATAATTTATTTCGGTATGGGAAGAGACAGAAGTGTCTATAACCAGAAGTAGATTGTCAGTGATTTATAAACGGAGAGTTTTCTACTTCCTGGTTCAATTCTGTGTTGTCAGTTTACATGTTTATAAATAAACAAGGAATTTATACTAATGTTAAATAAATAAAAAATTCTAAAACATTCAATAAATAAAGGAAATTTTTAAAAAGAAATATCAGATGTTTTCATGAAAAACTAGCATCATATGTAAAATGTTAGTTAGTGCAATAAAATTAAAAGGATTTTTCTTTTTTTACCAAATTATGCAATTGTAAATATAAAGTTAATTTAAGAATTTAAAAATTTGAAAATAAATAATTCAAAAGTTTATATATCAGGTTCACTGTTACTCTGATCAATTGATAATAGAAAAGTTTGATTTTTATTGTCATGAGTTTCCAAAAGATATCTTCTAATAATTTATAATTAAAATGCACAAAATTTCAGCATGACTTCCTGGGCAAAAGGATGACTGCACTTAACGCCTGTTTTTAGGTCTTTTTCGGTTGCTTCTGTTGCTTTTATATCTAAACCTTATTTCACTTTTATGTCTATGAAAGAATCCTGTCAATTTGGAACCAAATTTAAATCTTAAAATGATTTTAGACTGTGATACAATAAAATGATTCAATGTTTTTTGTTCTTACTGCTTTCCAAATATAGTGAATTAACACTTACCTACCCTTGATTGAACATAAGATATGCATGAGAGGTGGAGCTAACATTGTAAGAATGGGTCTAAAATTAGAATTGATAAATAATAATGACATGTTTGAAAAAAAGAACGTGATCACTCTTTCCAATCTCCCTCTCCATTCTGTATGGTACATATACACTTCTGACAATTTTTCCAAAATGAAATTAACAATACGAGCACGTCAATGTAATTAAAGCAGATTTTACATCAATGCCAGATGACTTAAAGTGTTCTAACACAATGTCCTAGTTAGCACTAAACATGCTACCTTGCAAGTCACGTGACGGAATTTAGTATTCACAAAGTTACCTGAGTTTAGAAATCATGTGGTGAATTATGATATTCAACATGTCACAATCCTTGGTAACAGCACAGAGAGCGAATGTAAGAAGACGCAGTTTTATCTCTTTTTAACCATGAGCGCATGTTTGTCTATTAATCTCCTTTTGACACATTATTTATGCAAATATACAACTACTGTTAAGCGTAGAACAATAGACAAACATGCGCTGACTATGTATAAAGTCAGTAAAAAAGTGGGCGTCCTCATTATCGAACAGAGATTCAAGAAATTTTGATGACCCCTGCCTTTGAAAACAGATTCGAACTTCGTAAATACACACTTTAATTAAAGGTAATTACATAAAGTTGTAGATTGGATGTTGACCATTCTTGCAATGAAAAGAAAAATGCTTGTTTTGAAAGTTTATTTTGTCACAAATTTCACATGTCCTTAAGTGCAGTCATCCTTTGACTGCATGAATTAGCCTTTTAACTTGACAGTGACACTAATCCCAGTTAGAGTTATCTTTCCTATCAAAGGGTTAGTGAACCTTAATCATATCTTCATGTTTTACATGATTTAGGGAACAAAGTATGAAAAAAGTGTTAAGATCCCCCCCCCCCCCCCCCAAAATGAGTACATTTTATACATATACAGTCTGCGCTCAAAACACATAAAATTGATATTAAAGAAATCCCAACTGTTCTTGTAGGTAATGCAAAGACTGTCCGAAATGACAACTCTAGTCGCTTTGGGAAGTTCATGCAGGTGTGCTTTGATGAATCTCACCAAATCAAGGGCTGTATCGTCCAGGACTATTTACTGGAGCAGTCCCGCATCACATTCCAGTCCCCCGAGGAGAGGAACTACCATGTGTTTTACCAGCTCGTGGCAGGGGCTGCAGCAGCCCCGGAAATACAAAACCAGTTCTTTTTGTTACCCGTGGACAGTTATTTTTATCTTAACCAGAGTGGATGTTACAAACTCTCTAATGTGGACGATTGTAAAATGTTTGACAGGTTACGTCTCGCCATGAATGTCCTGAACATTCCGGCTGAGATGGTGGACGGTATTTTCTCTGTGTTGTCTGCGGTGTTACTGATTGGGAATCTTACGTTTGAGGACATAGAGGGAGAGAAGAGCGATTTGACGGAGGAAGCTAAGGGTATCCTGGAGATGATCTGTCAGCTCCTCGGGTTTGAACCTGACGGGCTGACTGAGGCATTGTTATTCCGGCAGATTCAGGTCCGAGGGACGGTCACCAGTATTCCTTACAAAATACAAGAGGTATGTGGCTTGTCAGAAATTGGTTTACTGAACTTAAAAACAAATTTTGAGTCAAGCAGTGAGTAATAATATTTTATAGCTTGTAGTATTAATTCATAGGTTCATCTTATTTGATATAAATGTTTGTCTTATAAACAATTTAAAGTGTATCATATTTTTATGAATAAGTGCTTACATATCTATTTACTTTGATTTTTTTAATGCACTAAGTCACTTTTTCGTAGAATGGTAAAATTGTGATGTAAATAATTTTAAAAATGGCACTCAAACACAATATGAAATATAGTTTCCTTAATTCTCATGTTAACAAATTTAGACATTTCCCTGACAGGTTTTTGAAATTAAAAACTTGGGGAAAAAATATATTTTGCAACTTTTTTAATACAACTGTAACATGTGTTTTGTGATTTAACAGTTTTGCCACTCACAAACAATATGAAAAATACTTTCATCAATAAGTTCAACAATTTGCACAGTTTCCTGATAAGTTTGAACCAAAATTGAACCAAAACATGAAACAGATTTCTTGTTAATAAATACATTTATGAGATTGGAAATTCTGTTTCATCCTAAATGTTGTGAGATTACATATACTATAACCACACCCATTCTAATGCTTTTTATTCAACAATTTCTTCTTTAGTTTTATGGACAGGAAACATCTGTATGTGTTTGTACATATCTATAAACAGAAATAGCCCAAAGTAAAGGACATTTTACAGATATATATAGGAATTTAAAATCACTTAATGCATCTGAAACATCCTCCTTTCCTGAACAACAAGATAGTGAATTCAGTTTTATTTCAAACATTTGTTTCTTTGAATTAATTATATCAACAATTCTTCCTTTTGTTTGATAGGGTACTCATTCTTATCCAAAAATTTTATATCCCTATCTTGTATCCAAGAATTTTATCATCTTGGTTGCATTTTATATTTGCCTTTAAAAAATAATTTGGCAATTCTTCCTTTTGTTTCATGGGATACTCATGTGTAACTAAGAATTTTATATCATTATAGATTTTTATCAGATTGACTGTATTTCTTGTAGATTATGTATTCTTCCTTAGAAATAGTTTGATAACCCTGATAACAGAGGGAATAGAATCATTGTGCAAGGCAGCTATATATACGGAGAAATAAATGTTAATTTTTTAAAGCCACAGCATTTTACATGTATACCGCACAAAAAACATAAATACCAATAAAAACATTTCTCTACGTTACTTTGGATCCTTACAAAATATATGCAGGTATATATTTTTAAAAAAGATGTAGGAGATATGCAATTAGAATGCAAGATTCAGTCATACTTTAAATGCTTTAAGTTTTATCTGTAATGCCAAGTCAAGTCTATTTAAAATAACTTTATTTTAAGCTACTGCACTATATTCCAAAGGCTTCACAAGTACTTTATACAGGGAAATTTTTGCCTCTGTTTTAATTAGCCCTTTTAGCCCTAGACACAAGTGGAAAAATTTAAGATATGGGGCTAATTCAAAGAAGATGGTATAATCTCTTAAATAAAACTATTACAACAGGGCAAATTTAAAATGGGGCAAAATTGTTTGCAAGTGTGAAAGGGCAAAAATAACATGGGGCAGAAATAATCCTGTATATAGTAACAAGCCAAAGGCGTCACAGGTAAAAAGTAAGTTAGTAAATAGTATTTTACTCTATCTACTTTTTTTTTCTCAGGCCAGTGATAATCGGCATGCTGTGGCCAAGGCCCTGTACTCCCGTACGTTTGCATGGCTAGTGGATGCAATCAACAAATGTACAAATCCAGGACAACACCAAACCAAGTTTATAGGGGTCCTTGATATCTTTGGCTTTGAAAACTTCCAGGTATTCCTTGGACCTTATATTTCCAGTAAAATTCTTATCAATTTCAATGATCTTTTAAAATATTCTACTATATTTGACTTTTTTCTGATTCTTTCAGCTTGGTAGATTTCATTATCTGACATAGAAATATATATATATTTACAAAATAATATTTCAGACTAACAGCTTTGAGCAGCTTTGTATCAACTATACCAATGAGAAATTACACAGATTCTTCAATCACTATGTTTTTGCCATTGAACAGCAAACGGTAAGGGGACATTTTACAATTGGAATTGAAAAAGTTAACTGCAAACTTTTACTGCAATTTGAATGAAAATTCTGATATGCTCACTGATGTATCATAATTTATTGTGTTTTTGAACATTTTACCTCACCTGAGCAGTAGGCTGGAGTGAGCTTTTCTGATCAATGTTTTCTATAGACGTCTGAGAAATGATCTTCTGTACAAGAAAAGCAAGGCAGAGATATAATATCAGATTGATATGCAAGCATCTCCTTTTAGTGTTGTGAATTCATATGAATTTGTTCAAAACAGACCTTCAGTTCTATGGTTGGGGAGCAGTGGGTCTTCAAAAATCTCTACAAATAGTATGATCATACAGTAGTTTAATTAATGATTTAACAACAGCATATGATCATAGTTTAATTAATGATTTAACAATAGCATTTCCAATTAGTTTAGAATTCAGTTATGTAAATCGTGCTGAGGGAAAGGGGACTGGGGCAATTAAATATGGGATCAAGGTTATATGTAAGATAGAAATTCATGTATGTGGACTTATTTATATAAGAACAAGGGTGAAGTTAATTTTCATCAAATTAAAATTACTGAAAAACTTGAAAATGTGCCTCTAGGGTCAAAACAAGAAGGTTCACTCACATTCAGGGAATTAGTGATTCAGGTGAGCATTGTGGCCCATGGGCCTTTTGTTTTACATTGTGTAGTTCCTGATTTGTTTATTATATTGCAGTATGAAGAAGAAGAAATCATGTTTTCCCACATCACATTCACAGACAATTCAGCCTGCGTTGAGCTTATAGAGAAGGTCAGTTATTATACAAAGTGATGTAGCTAAAAAACAAAATGCCAACACAGATCATATATTTAAACTGTGTACAAGAATTTGTTATTGTATGTACACCAAAACTAGTTCAGTACATCACTATAGTGAATTTTTAATGATAATAAAATAAAACACTGGAATTAGACGATAGTAAAGGGGACAATGACTTTATATATTATTTTGAGTCCTGTCAAGTTTTCTCTATCAGTATTTACTCTATTGAAAGACTTTATTCTAATGGCTTTATAATATTTGATATTTAAATATTTAAATAATATAATATGATATTTAATTATTTAAATTTAATATTTAATTTAATATAATATTTAATGACTTTATAATGTTTGACAGGCTCCAAGGTGTATTTTGAAGGCTTTAGATGAAGAATGCAGATTTCCACAGGTACAACACACACCTGCTCCATCATTTTATTTTGTAACATTTTAAAAAATGAAATTGTATGTTTGAACTATGGATTAAAATTTTCCATCACACAAGTTTTCTCTCATGATACATAGGGTACAGATAAGTCATACGTCCATAAACAACACGAGGCATTTGAGGGACACCCGTGTTACGTGAAGGGGGACAGGCGGCTGTGGGAGAAGGAGTTTGGGATCCATCATTACGCCGGGCTGGTGACCTACACAGTCCAGGGATTCCTAGATAAGAACAAGGACACCCAGCAGGATCAGCTGTTTGAATTGATGCATGGATCCACCAATATATTTGTACAGGATCTCACTAGATTCCAGGTAGATAGGTGTTAGATTGGATCCACCAATATATTTGTACAGGATCTCACAAGATTCCAGGTAGATAGGTGTTAGATTTCTTGATCAGCTGTTTGAGTTGATGCATGGATCCACCAATATATTTGTACAGGATCTCACTAGATTCCAGGTAGATAGGTGTTAGATTTCTTGATCAGCTGTTTGAGTTGATGCATGGATCCACCAATATATTTGTACAGGATCTCACTAGATTCCAGGTAGATAGGTGTTAGATTGGATCCACCAATATATTTGTACAGGATCTCAAAAGATTCCAGGTAGATAGGGGTTAGATTTTAGGATTACTAATAGTCACATTAGACATGCTATTATTCCTACAGGATTTGCTTGGAGTAACGTTATACATATGGTACTATTTCTGTAAGACTTGCTTGATTTGCAAGGATTAATTTTATGCATTAATGATTTAATACTGTATGATTCCTATTGGACTTGGTAGGAGTAACATTACACCTGTAGAACTTGTTAGGAGTTACATAATAACATTTGCTATTATTCCTGTAGGATTTGCTAGGAGTTACATTATACATTTGCTATTATTCCTGTAGGATTTGCTAGGCATTTGCTATTATTCTTGTAGGACTTGATAAGAGTTACTTTATACATTTGCTATTATTCCTGTAGGATTTGCTGGGAGTTACATCATACATTTGCTACTATTCCTGTAGGATTTGCTGGGAGTTACATTATACATTTGCTATTATTCCTGTAGGATTTGCTAGAAGTTACTTTATACATTTGCTATTATTCCTGTAGGATTTGCTAGGAGTTACATTATACATTTGCTACTATTCCTGTAGGATTTGCTAGGAGTAAGACTAGAGGACCTCAGTGGCAGACAGACAATATCACGTACAAACAAAAATAAACCCACGGTGGGAGACACCTTCAAGCATCAGTTATCTGCCCTCGTAGACATTCTTCATAGCACGAATCCCTGGTATGTCAGATGTGTCAAACCCAACTCGGCCAAGAAACCCAACAACTTCAATACAGAGGAGGTTCTAACTCAGTTAAGGTACTCAGGGATGCTGGACATCATCAGGATCAAGAAGGAGGTCAGTGCTGTATCAGATGCTAAAATCTCTGTACAACTTAAGTGTGAATTACAATGTATGACTATTGTGTTGTGAGAGTGGTTCTTACTTTACCATATCATTGAAAAAACAGTAAAAATTCAAAGATATTGCTTATGTTTAATCAAGGTGTACCACTACTGTCCACTAGTTTTTATTTTCAGTTTTAGTCTTGACAAGGTCACTTTTGCAACCATGGTTATATTTTAGGGTTTCCCAGTCCATGTTGCCATAGATGTCTTCCTGTCAAAGTATGGTGTCCTGCTTCAGAAGTGTGACAATGGATTGGAGCCGAGGGAACAAGTCCGAAATATTCTCAATGTTCTCCTCCTCCCAGAAACGGAATGGCAGGTTGGCAAAACAAAGGTAAGGGGGAGATGTGGAGAATTTACTGGAATTATAAACACCATGCTAAAAAACATCTCCAATATCTGCAAGAACCCTGAGAGTTTCCTTTCTTTCAGGTTTTTATGAGGAACTCGGTATTTGAGCCTCTGGAGACGAGACGATTCGAGTTCCTGACACTGAATGCTCTACTGATACAAAAGATCTGGAGAGGATTTCACTGTAGGAAAGGTAGGGGAGCCGGCTAATGTAACCACAGACAAAAGTCAAAGGAAGGCAGAAGCCTGTATTTGTTAGCAAGGACAATAGAAGTCACCTGCATCATGATATTTTCCTATACTAGAAGTTAAGCTGTGAATTGATTAAATACTATACATATATTTTTAAGATGTCAACTTTTTAATGTTGATTGTTATAATATTTACATCCATTGAATATTATTTCCTTTGTTTCATATAAAAAAACCATTGCTGTTAATCAGTCAGTTAACAATACTAAGCTAGCCACCTGCATAGATTTCCTAAGCAACGGCTGTTCCATCAATTATGCATACAATAACATACACATCTATAATACAATATTTAACATATTTAATTTACTTTGAATGTTTTTTTTTATACAGATATAAATATAAACAATAAAATGTCTTTCTTTGTTTGTTAGTACGGGAATTAACGTCGCAGCTATTGCAGAAAAAAATTCACATAACCCGCTTACGTGGGTTATATATTTTTTCTGCAACAGCTGCGACATTAATTCCTGTACTAACAACCAAAGAAAGCATTTTATTGTTTAAATATTTACTGATTTTTTTGACTGATTCATTCTTCAGCATATCTGGTGAAGAGGGAAGCGGTGATAATTTTACAGACCAACTTCAGAGCACTACGGTACAGAATACAGTTCAAACGACAGAGGAGGGCAGCCATAACCATACAGGTACAACATCTACCTATTAAACATAATTATCTAATAACCACACACGTACAACATCTACCTAAACATAATTATCTAATAACATACATGTACAACATCAACCAAAACTTAATTATCCAATTTACATGATATAAATGATAAAAAATTAACATACTTTTTGGGACAATGTAGTCAGGTGAGCATTTGCTATTTCTTTGTTTTTTTTATCTTGCATCATGTGAGTGTGTGCAGTTTGTGTAAACTTCAGAATATTATCGGATTTTTCTCTAAAAGCTGAATCAATTGTAATAAATTTTGACATGTAGTATCTTTTGGAAAGAGGGACAAAGTTGTGAAATTTACAATATGCTTCCTCAGTGGCCTAATGTGGGGAAACAAACCTCCGAACCTAATGTATTCTATATGAATTCTTTTTTTTATTTACGTATTCCCTGTTTACAGAGATTTGTGCGTGGAATGTTTATTTACGTATTCCATATGTTCACAGAGATTTGTGCGTGGAATGTTTGCTCGCTGGTATGTGGTGTCTCTGAGAGAACAGAGGCGAATCGAAGAAGAACGAAGACGACAAGAAGAGCTCGAACAAGAGAGACTACTCCGGGAGAAAGAGGCGGCCGATAGCCAGATTATTGAGGAATCTCTCAAGTACGTAGTTATATCTTCAGCAGTAGATAGGACAGTCAGTGTTATCACATGGTTATCAACATGCACAGCTTTTGTATTACAGAGGTTATTGCATGAGTCATTTAAAATTCATCAGCATCCTTTATCATGATAATAATAATTTTTTTTTTTTTAACATTAGTACTATTTGGCTGTCATTTGCATAGTTTAATGATATCATTAAACATGATTATTAGCTTTCAGTTTATATGAATTTAGATAAAAGTCTTTTAAGTTTTACTGATTTCTTTTTACATAATTCCTAGTAGATATATGTATTTTAGAGTAAGAAATTCAGAACTATTCCTCTCAAATTTCAGAGTAGATTGTCCAATTTTTATTTTGAATGCAAACCCCAGAATAATGTTCTTTTATCAAAGGATTATGTTTAGAATGATGAAATGTTATAAATGTGGTTCGTCTACTTGTATGTCAACATTGCAGATACTTACCTCGAGCGGAACTAATCCGACGGCTAAAGTAGGTCGTAGTTAGATGTTGTCTTGTGTGAAAAAAACTCAATACTTGTATTGTGTTTCAAACTCACAGTTTATCAACCATTACCTCTCTGTTAGATGTTATATCAAATATTATTTTCATTTCAGTGGATTTCAAGTCAATTTATTTCAAGATTATTTTTTTTTTGTATGTTACAAACTCTTTTTCCACTTTTTGCAAAACCATTACATTTTTATTTTTATTTTTAATTTAGTAATTTCATATCTTTGAGGGAAATAAAATCATTTCCATTTCATTGAATCTCATAACTAACGAAGGTGGATTTGAAAATGTGTTGCTCCTAACGTTGATATTGTAAATCTTAACCTCTCCAGAAATATAACTAAAAATCAGTGTTATAAAATTCGCTAACTGTTGCATTTTTTTGTATAATTTTACACATCGTAACTTCAGTAACAGTTTTGAGTGTACCGTAACATTTTGACATGTTGTTTATTTCAGCGATAGAGAGGTTGATTTTCTAGGGTATGGATGCACGACCCTATTCACTATTGACTTTGTTCCTCCTCAGTGGTTCTCCAATGTCCTCTTTTTTTTCACTTCACTATATTTTCTATGAAAAGAACTTAAAAGTGAAGTAAAGGGTTTTCATCTCTTAATATCCCATTTTCTATTTTCATTTCACATGCATATTCTGAGCATCATAATGTCCCCAAACAGACCCTGATGTGCACCGAAAGTTAAGAAAAGAGAAATCTATAAGATCATTTACGGTGTACATGTATTAACTTACATCGAGCAAAAACTTCATTTGAAAATGAACACTAATTTTTAATTTTCATTGACATGTTATTGTATCAACAACATTTTAACAACATTTTAATCATCATTGTATGCATTCAATTAAAATACCACATTAAAGTCAGCTTTGCCCTATATACATGTAACCCTTGCATTGGAATGGATGAGAGTTGGATTTTAATGGTACATGTATGTATTACTAAGAGAAGCTAAATGTATGAAAAGGCATCCAGTGACAAGTTTGTTAAAAAAGCATTTTAATTGAAGAGCAATATGGTCATCAAATCTACATTAAACTTAAAAAAAAAAGGATTTGTGAATAGCATTTTTGAAATATCTCTTTAGCAACAGAACATTTGAACCTAATATATAACCCAAATGCATGAGATATATTTCTTTATAATTGTTTTAATTCCATAAATTATAAATATATATAAAGTATATTAGTTAATATTTGTATACAATGTTTTTGTTTGTTCTTAATCCTTAATTTTCATTTACATTTATCATTTCCACATGAAACAGTACATATTTATGTACAGTATATGCATGCATCATATCAATTCATTAAAAAAAAATCTTTTCAAATTATTCAATCATTCTGCAGTATGTCAATTCTATCATTGTGATACAACATTGTCTTCCTTGGTCAATTTTAGAGATTCTCAATAATGAAAAAATTCAAATTGTTTAAAAAAAAAAAAACATAAAACCTATCAAAAGGCCTTGATAATATTTCATTCCACCACAGAGCAAGTCCCAAAGAGAACAACATGGAAACAGGATTTGGGGTTTTTTTTGTACATGTTCAAAATGTTATTTCAAATTTGAATGGAGTACAGTACATGTACTTCACAGCATTAAGTTCATATTTTGACTGTATATTAAAATTATTCATGACTAGTAGGGTACGAGTTTGTTTTATCTGTGAACTTTATTTTTCATTACCAGAGGTTATGACAAGTAGAGTATTATTTTGTTTTATCTGTGAATTTTATTTTTCATTACCAGAGATTCTCAGAAGGAATTAGAATCCCTGACCAAGATGATCGAGTCAATGTGTGAACACTTCCAGCCGGTGATGTCCCCCACGAACCTGAACCTGGACGACATGTTCAGCTTCCTGAAAGACGATCACCTTGATGTAGAACAGGAGACGCAGCAGGCACTCGATCAGATAAACACCGAGTTCACACTCCTCAATCAACTCCTTGATGAGGACATGGTTAGTATATATATAGGATCAGACAAACACCGAGTTCACACTCCTCAATCAACACCTTGATGAATACATGGTTAGTATATATATAGGATCAGATAAACACGGAGTTCACACACCTCAATCAACTCCTCAACAAGGACATGGTTAGTATATAGGATCAGATAAACACCAAGTTCACACTCCTCAATCAACTCCTCGACTAGGACATGGTTAGTATATAGGATCTGATAAACACTGAGTTCTTACTCCTCAATCAACTCCTTGATGAGGACATGGTTAATATATATTTAAGATAAGATAAACACCGAGTTCACACTCCTCAATCAACTCCTGGACAAGGACATGGTTAGTACTGGTATATAAGATCAAGGGAGACAACTTAATATATAGAGGGCTTAATCAGCCCATCATTCTTTATAGCTCATCTGAGTCAAGGGCTAAAATGAGACATTTTTCTTGTTAAATTTGTTGCTCCCAGATGTCCATCTATATGCTTGATTGACTTCTCCAAGACCATCAGCCAATTTCAACCAAGCTGACCTATCTAATCTGAAGATACAAGAAGTATTAACAATGTAGCAGGAAACAACAAAATAAAATGTTATGAATTGAAAAGTCATTTAACAGTGAAATTCTGTAAGTTGAGAAGAAACTTTCTGTCTTTACTTTAACATTGCTGTATAAGAATGACAGCAAATAAAAAGTATATGTACATATAGTATCTATTTGAAGTTATTTTAGATATTTATCATAATGATAAAGCATAAACTTTGTGCTTTTTGCTAAGGATCGTTAACCTAAATTTTTTGAGTTGTCTGAACTACATGTGTATATAGGTCAAAAAAATGGTACATTTATATTTGTGAAGAGATCAGTTTTTATGATAAATGTTTCAAGTGAAATTCTTATGAAACTTTTTCTTACTTCTAGGAGCGACACGAGGAGGAAACTTACAAGAAGAATCAGGAACGGGCCCTGAGGGATCTTGACCAGGCAATGGATGGGGAGGAAGAGCTGTATGATGACACCCTCCCACCCCCACCTGTCACCATGGATACCAGTATATCTGGTCTCGACCAGCTGCCTCCCCCACCTCAGGTAAAGAAGTGATTCTAATAACAGCCAAGTTATGGAAAATTATCCTGCATCAGAGAACAAAATTGCACATCAAATGCTTTATGAAACCTGAGGGTTATATATGAAAAAGCCTGTACATGTATCTGCATTAAAAAAATCATTCTTAAATTTATACTTTTTTTCCAATTGGAAAAATACATGAAACTTGTTTTATTTTCCTTACGCAGAGTTAATATTGAATGGAGAATATTATGTGCATTGTTCTTTTTTCCAGGAATATGAGGAGGAGCCCCCTCCTCCCCCACCAGAGGGCGTTATCCCACCACCACCTCCTCCACCAGGAGTAGTCTCCCCTATGTCTCCCACCATGACGGCTTCCACTGATACTTTTGGTTCCAGATCATCTTATGCTGAAAATATGGCAGAAATCATGGACATGCAGAGGGAATTAGATCAGTTCGAAACCTCAGCAAATATTCTGATGCCTCAGGCACCAGTTCTACCACCCCCTCCCACTATACCAGCCCCACCCCCTCCTCCTTCAGTCCCTGCCCCACCTCCCCCTCCTGCAGGGTCAGTAGCACCACCCACCATACCAGTACCCCCACCCCCACCAGGTCCCCCACCACCTTTGTCATCAGAAGAAATGTCAGGAGCACCAATCACAAATGTCAACAGACCTCTACCAGCCCCACCTGTCCTTCCACCCCCTCCTACAATACCAGCACCCCCAACTCCAACAGGCATGGTCACAAGGAGGAGACCTAATTCAATCAAGATACAAAATGGTGACGTTCGTCCGCCGTCTAACGTGGAGGTCCTTTCTCCCACTATGCAGAAGAAGTTGAGTACATTGATGTCTGGACCTAGTGATGAAGTGGTACAAATGAGGGCCAAGAGGATTAGTACCATGTATAACCTTAATGGGGACGTCACACATCGCGAGTCCCGTAACAGTACTATAGAGGAGGAGGAAGAAGTGGAAACAGAGCATGACTTCATGGAGTACGCGGAGAAGTACTTTATCGATCATCCAAAAGACTTTGGTGGAGGAACCATCATGAAGAATCTCAAGAGAAAGAGTGGATCAGTAAGCAGCCAATCAATTCACTATTGATTTCTACAGATATAGAATGCTAATGACTTTGTGTCTTGTTAACATGAGGATACAATGTTGTTTTGTTGTTGTTTTATAGAAGGAGATGGTGAGTAAAGATGAGATGCTCGTCTTCTGTAAGAACGGACTGATCCCAGCCTCCCACATCATGATCCACGACAACGAGAACCTCCATCTGGCCTGCTCTCTCTTCAAGGTTTGTCATTTAAACAAACTATTGAATCGCTGTACCATACATATCTAGTACGTGACTGTATTTGTTAAGGTAATTCCCTTTGGCCTCTTCTCTCTCTTAAGGGTTTTCATTAATCTCCCCTAGAAAACATATGCACGTACAATGTACCAGTAAATATGCATGACTCATAATCTACATGTATGTCCAAGATACCCTTTCATTTTAAGGTTTATTGTATAAATTTTTTAAAATCTCAAACCAAAAAATAACACCAATATCAAATGAAAATACTTGTATTAAGAACCTGCATATGGGTTGCTGTCTCTCCAAGGTTTATCGTCTACCAGTACATTGAAATCCATGAATTTCTTTGCTTTAACATTAAAGATATATAAATCAAGATGGCGGTCTTCTTTGCAGTGTTGTATGATGGGATTTTTAATTAAAAGAGAGGTACATGAGAACATGACTTGTATTATTGTAGGAGATCACGAAGTACATCAAAGACGAAGTGAAAGATGACGTAGCCTTACAAACCGTACAGAAGTACGTGAAGTCTGGGATCGAGCGTATCGAGTTACGAGATGAGATTTTTTGTCAGTTGGTGAGACAGACAAAGCACAACCCTGAGCGGCCGTGGCTACTCACCACATGGACGTTACTCTGCCTATGTACTGCTGCCTTCAGTCCAAGTAAAACACTCAACAAGGTAATATATTGTTTGTCACAGTAAAAAGGATTATAAGACTGGAAGATGACATCATTCTGAATGATTTTTAGTTAAAAAAAATTCGGATGAAGCAGTGAGTATCTTTGAATGCTATACAGTGAAACCTCGTTATTTCAAACTCTCTGGGACCCAGAAAAAACTTCGAGATATCTGTTGATTCAAGATATCCTAGGATTCAAGATATCCAGGGAAAAATACTTAAAGAATAAGGGATTAGGACTTCCAAATCACATATCCATGTTATTTGGTATATCAGTGTTTGAGATACCCAAGTTCAACTGTATTTGAATAATCTAGAATTGATATAGGTACATGTATTAGCATGTACTAAAAAAGGTTTAAAAGAAAAGAAAATGCTTAAAATTATTAGAGAATGGATTTTTATTTTGTTTTGACAGTACCTGATGAGTTACATCAAACAGAGCTGTAGTGACAGTATCGTGGGGAAGTATGCTCTTCAGTGTCACAAACACCTGACCAAGACTAGGGCCACCTCACGTAAAAACCCACCATCCATGTCCGAAATCACGGTGTGTTTATAAACATACATGAACAAACTTATTAAAGTTTGCTAAGATAAGGGCTTTACAAATACTTTCATGTCATTTAAAATTTAATCAGATTTCCATCAAAATTTAGCTGTCTAAATAAAAACATCATTACTTATCACAGAGTAAATTTAGCTGTCTAAATAAAAACATTTTTACTTATCACAGAGTATGAGACACCTGAGTCCGATGGTATGTAAGATTTCATTTATGGACAATAAGACAAAGGCCGTGGGGGTGATGCCATGTGACACATCACAGGACGTATTAGAAAGTGTCCGTAAGAAGATAGGACTCCAGTCCGTCGAGGGATGGGCTCTTTATGAGGTTGGAAATGTTGCTAAGAACTGACTTACAGAGCATAATGGCTTTTTATATGAACTGCTCGAAAAAAAGCAAGGTTTTTGAAAAACAAAAATTAATTATTTCTTTTGTTTTGTAGGTGTCCACAGACCTAGATCGTTACATCAGAACATATGAATTTGTGGCTGACATTCTTTCTGCCTGGGAATTGTAAGTATGAATACTTAAATGAACTTTGTAGTTTGTTGCAGAAAATTGCAGAGGAGTGATTACAGTTTACATGTACATGTAGCTTTTAAAAAATAACCCATGTTACTCATCTCTGTTTGCAGGAGTGATAAGCTGGCATCCCAGCTTAGTAAATATGAGACAATTTCTAAGAAGGGACCTAAAATGGCCCTGGGTGGTACTGATGCTGTCATCATGCTGAGAAAGAGAGTGTTCAAACATATAACAGAGATCCCTAACGATCCCGTGGAGTACAGACTTCTGTATGCTGAGGCCGTACAACAGGTCATATCGGTAAGTCAAAGTTATAATAGTTACTTACCTGTAAGCTGCTGTTTTACAATAGTTTCTTATAACCTAATATGAATAATATGAATAAGGTATAGTACAGTATGTTATCTGTAAGAATCAGTAGTAATGGCTTAAACAATATTTAAATAAGGATGATGGTAGCTTAGTACATAGATAGTCCTGCCAAGCAAACAATATGTTAAAATATCTTATAAGTAGAAAATATTCTTCCAATTCATTGTGTCTGTTTTTGATTCAAAACAAGGATTCATTATGTAGTTAAATGTAAGTCCCACCTTTTTTGGATTCTCTTCCAGGACAAGTTCCCTGTGTCAGACAAGGTGGCTCTACAGTTAGCAGGACTCCAGGCTCAGGTGGTGTGTGGGGAATATGAGGAGGGAAAGGATAACAGGTGAGGGACAGGTGAAATACAGGTAGAACACAATTGTAGTACAATAGGAATTCAGACAAGGTTATAATTTTGACTTGTTTCTACCAGGCATCATGATTGTTAGTTTTGGGAGCACTTTGATAATGTTGATTTGTTTAGACCTTGTTATTTTGGTGTATTGACAGGTATTCTGAGGCAGAACAGTTCCTTTGTAAGAGAATTATAAACCAACCAGGAAGAGACTGGAATGAGGAAATAGCATCAGCTCATAGGGTACGTATCAAAACCTTCATTAGCATCAGCTAATAGGGTACGTATCAAAACCTTCTATAGCATTAGCTCATCGGCTCTCAGGGTATGTACATGTATGTGTGTCAAAAACTGCTATAGCATTTGGTCATAGAGTATGTGTAAGAAACTTCTACTCTAATTAATTGTAAGAGTATGTTTCAGGTTAGATAAGGTCTGAAAAATCTATGAAATATGATTAGTTCTTTTTGTTATCTAGCATTATGGTAAGGATAAGTCAGAGCTGGAGGCAATGGTGTGGTACCTGACTTGTGTGAAGCAGTTCCCTCTATACGGCTGTACACTATTCCATATCCTCAACAAAGGAATGTGGCATCACATGGGTGACGTATACCTCGCCATTAACATGGATGGCCTCAAGTTTGTACGAGGCAAGGACAAAGTTGTCATGCATGGATTTATGTACTCGGAGATTGAGTCTATCACCATGGATCCTAACGATAACTACATGACTGTGGAGTTGAAGAATGAGGTCATCTGTCAACAGAGATGTTTCATGTTTGAGACCAATCAGAAGGAAGATATTGGTCACCTGATTGCTAGCTATTCCCCAGGCCACGCCTCCTGGCTCAAACCAGAATATGAGAGTCTTAAGAAAAAGGTGAGATATATTAAGTTCTTATCTGAAACAGGGGTCAAAAGCTGTTAGTATAATTATGTATTTAAGAAATTATACATTTTTACATGAAATTCAATTTGCCAAAACTTTATAGGCCCCTTTTATTTAAAACAAAGGAGTGAAAGAGAACTTTTTTTATTCATTTTTAAAAGTTTTTTCATTTGTTTTTTTGCTTTTGTACAAATTTGGCATGTGCTTCTAAAGTTTATAATTTCCTGCATTACATGATGGAGGAACCTTTATCACTTTTAGTAAGGCATTTTTCTTGTGAATTTCTAGAATAAGATGACAGATGATGAGAAACTGAAGCTGTATGAAGAGTTGGTTCGTTGTCGTAGAGCTTTGTCTGACAGTCGACTTCTACGTCCAGCGCAGGCTCATCACCATGCCAACTTCCTTAAGCAGTCAATCAGGAGGTCAGTATTACGAGGGCTGGTTCTTTTCACAGGAAATGCCCTTTAGGCATTAACATTACAAAGGCTTCAAGTAAAACAATTGGTGGTATTCCTCAGAGGAGATACCCCAAAGGCATTAACATTTCAAATTCTTCTTTGTATTTATTAGTGTAATTCATATTTTCCTTACTGGAATTCTTTTCATATTCTGCCCTCTTTCAGTATTCTCAATACTTTGATTTTGGTTAGACCGGTGTCTTTCAGTACTCTTAGTTCTTTGATATTTGATTTATTCATTATATAGGCTGACCAAGTCTAAGATGGAGAGACTGAGGAGTTCTACGATAGCCATTGGTCAGTTTGACGTCAGTTACTGGTCATTCAGTAAGTCCTGTATCAAGCAGGCCCTCACTATCCTTGATCCTCAGATGGAGGAGCAGGCCATCAAAATGTTCTCCTCAATCCTCATTTACTCAGGACTGGAGGAGCCAGGTGAGCTATTACTTCCTTCAATTAAAAAAAACAACAACAAAAATCCTTAAAATGCACACATTTAATATTTAAAAAAAACCAACAACAAATGATTTAAGACTTGCTGTGTACCATATCTATGTACCATATTTTTGTTTGTAGCATGCTTTACTGCAATATTTCAGGTCTTTTATACATACATGTACATGTATGTTAAGTGTATTCTGATCTTAAAAAATCTGTTGAAATTCTTTCTTTTAAACTCACTTTTCATTTAAAAGAAAAGGTAAGTAATTAAAATGCAATGTTTTTTTGGTCATATTATAAGGAGCATATTTTTTATTTATTAAATATATTGCAGCAAGACACTTTCATATTGGTAGCATATTTGACTCAGGTAATCAGGATGTTGTTTTGTTACCATAGCAACTGGTTAATGGTTCACATACTAACCCAACTGTTGACTAGGTGATGGGTACCCTGCCATCAGCAGAAATTAGAGTCTAATCATAAATAGCTTTGCTATATTGATAGCGCTAGATAATTAAATGTAATTAGCCATTAATTAATCAGAATTGCACTGAATTTTAGTGGAGGTCATTCAACGAATCTTGTGTGGTAAGTAGAGGTGGGGTCACATGACCTTACCAAGGGGAGATAATCCACTGCTGGGTTCAGTTTGCTTCTTTACACCTTTCTTTTTCTGATGCTGAAAAAAATTAACGAAATCATCGAATGTGATTAAACTCAAACCATCTAAAATTTTTTTTTATCTTTAATCGGTACTGGTTTCAACAATATAATTCATCAGAATGACATTTTACATAAATCAAAACTAACATCTGTAGAAATGTTTTGTGGGAGAACGATTAGCCAGAATGATTTGAAATCATGAGAAATTAACAGTTTGGGATTGGAGATATACATATATATTGGTCCTAGGTGGCTTTTTTTCTTACTCTACATGTAATAGTAAAACTGTAGTAGATTACGCTTACTTTATATCAATTTAAAATATTATATCCTGTAATTCATGTACAATAATCAGAGGCAGCTGCTAGATTATATTTTATTGAATTATTTTGTCTATCAAATAATAGTGTAACAGATATATTAAATAGGAAGTACACAACAACAGGTGGTTTGAAATATCAAAGTATACCCTGCCGTTTAGTTAAAGATGTTCAGCTGTATTTTAGAATTTTTATTCTTTTCATTAGTTGACATGTGGTTTTTAGATGAATTCACTGACTCACAGTTTGTTTTATATTTTGTTTTCAATTCATTTTAAAACTTTCTGTTCACTATTAACAAAGTTTGGGTTGAGAAAAAATAATACCTCATTCAAATTTCAATTTCTCAGAATTCATATCTCTTGTATGACATTATTTTTATTTATTCAGTTTTCTTTGTTTGACAAATAATCCATAATAAACAAAAAAAGCAGTTTTAACTGATAGTTATGTATGATAACAATTGCCTGTTTCAGGTAAAGATGAGAAGCCAGACATGACGTCACTCATTCAGAATGCAATCCACAAATGTATGGACAGTGATCAGTTGTGTAACGAGTTCTATCTCCAGCTCATTAAACAAACCACAGATCACCCAGGTAATGAGTCCAAGTTTACCCCGGTAATGGGTCAACTCTGTTCTGAGATAAACCATTCCTTCAGGCATGGAACTAAGATACAAATTTGATTTGCATCAAAGGTTAATCACCTGTCAGTGAAGGGCTTAACAAAATGAGTTAACATTCAAGAAAGCTGGAGTTACTTTCTTTGAAGAAGAACACTGTTGTCAAACTTTTAGTTAAATCATGGGGATTATGATAGGGAATGAAAAATTTAAAAAACATTCCAGAAATATTTATTGAATAGATTAGTTACTTTCCAATTTAAACACAGAGAATATACATGTAACAGTGAAAAATTCCTTGACTTGATACTTTACTTGAGTTAATTTTTCAATGGTTACAGACCCTAACAGTGTAGTAAACAAGAAGAACTGGCAGTTAATGGCGGTGGCCTGTAGCAGTCTGACCCCCACCCACAGTCGCCTCCAAAAGTACCTCCTCTGTCATCTCCGCAAGTGTTCTCTAGACTCCACCTCTGAGGAGGGGAAATTCGCCAGGTTCTGTCACAAGGCAAGTTTAAAAAGAGAAAATTCTTAGTGGAAGGGGAACTTTACATTATTTTTTTTAAATTTTGAAGTCTTTTGCAATTAATCTGAGAAAACGTTCTTTTACAAGAAATTTACAATGTACATTTTAATGATATATTTACATCTTTATAGATTTACAGTAACTTCTGAGCCAATTTTATATTTTCAGAAATTACAATATATATTTGTTTTGTTTTGAAATTATTTTTTTTAAAATATCTTTTGCTTTTTCAGTGCTTTACCCGTACTGCTGAGCAGAAGAGAAGAAAGTTTCCGCCATCTCAGAAGGAGATTCAGTGTCTCACTGAGAGGTAGGGCACCAGTTTATAATGTAATGCAGGATATTACTCAAGATCTTAGTGACCAACCTTGTTGCTAGGAGCTTGATCTCTAGCTATCTGGAACAGACTCCTAAATAAGCACCAGTTGTCAAATTGTGAATACAAAATTCATATTCATATTCTTTTTTATAATCAGTTTTTTTAGTAAAAAGTTAATAGAATTTAATCAGAAATGTATTTTTAAATAAACATTTAGTTCCCTGAGATGAAAAAAATATCAAGCATAACGAAAAATGCTAAGTAAGGTTGCCATCTTGAGTTTGGTTAGAGCATCAAATACGAGGGGCATTTCAAAAGTTCTGGCAACTGGTGTGCGGTAAATTAATGAGCGTCATTATCATAAATTGAATTATATCAATCCCTCAAAATAGTCTCCGTTGACCTGGACACACTTTTTCAGTCTTGAAATCCACGTGGAAAATGCTGCCCTATAGTCCTCTTTCGGTATACGCTTCATACACTGGAATACAGCACTTCCGACTGCATGACGACTTTCAAATCGCCATCCTCGGAGGGTTTCTTTGATAACGGCATTCAACCAAAAATCGCATGGAGCTAGGTCAGGACTGTAGGGTGGATGTGGTAAAACGGCAATACCATTTTCCTTTAAACATTTGGTTACTATCTCTGATCTATGTGCAGGTGCGTTGTCATGGAGGAGCTTTATTCCTCTAGTACTGGTTGTTGGTCGGCTCGTTTTATAGTGCTCTACTACCTGAGACAAGACATTCTCTGCATAAAATTGACCAGTAACACTGCTGTGTTCTGGAACCGGAACTTGAGCAACAGGGCCTTTAGAATAAAAAAATAAGGCGTACATTACTCTCCAGACAGACCGGTTTCTGCATGCAATTTGAGGCCTTGTATCATTTTCACCGATCCAAACTTTATTATTGAGCTTAGTTTCTGGTTCAAAAAATATATCCATGTTTCATCACCAGTTACAATCTCATTTTGGTCACAATCTTCATAAATTGTTAGTAACTGTGAAGCCATTTCTACCCGGATGCGCTTTTGCTCTTTCGAGAGAAGATGCGGCACCCATCTAGCACAGACTTTCTAAGCTTTAAGTTTTCCTTTAAAATACGAAAAACTGCTGACGAATTAATGTTAGTTAAGTCTGCTATTTCCTCAACTGTATATCTAGCATCATCAGCTATCGTATTTTGAACAGCGACGATTTCTTTTTCGCCATGTGCACAAACTGGACGCCCCGAATGGGGGTCATCTTCAATTGATTTTCTACCCTCTTTAAATTGAACTACCCATCTTGCTCTTGCTCGATATGAAAGAGCATGCTCTCTATATACTACATCTAAATCGGCTTTTATTTCTGTTGCCGTAAAGCCAAGCAATGAGCGAATTTTGCAATATGCTCTTTGCTCAACAAAAAAATTGTTCTCCTTATCAGTCATTTTTATGCCCAGTATACAGAGTATACCTAATTATGACGTCATTTTAGCAGACCTATTTTGAATGTAAAATGACGTCACTACTAATGCATATTTGCCTAAGCTTTACAGTGGTATCAGAGTCATTTTAATCCGTAACGTAGTTAAAATTTTATATACCAGTTGCCAGAACTTTTGAAATGCCCCTCGTACTTTGTCTGCCTTCTGTACGTAGGTGATTGGGCTTCAATATTTTAGTGAATTATTTTCATTTACAGGCGGCCAATCTTTGAAAAGGTGTTTTTCTTAAATGGGGAGAATAGGAGTGTAGAGTTTGACTCGGCTTCTACCTGTGGAGAGGTGAGATCCCATTCTCTTAGTTAATCATTTATTCTTTCAACCAATAGTCTTGATTTCCTTTTTTAACCACATGGGGGCTTTATTGATGGTAGTAAATGTAAGCTTTTCATGACATTGCATTTCTTATTCATTTCACAGCTGATCAAGACAGTGAAAGCCAAGATAGGAATGCGGTCTGATGCTGAGTGCTTCTCTCTGTATGAGATAGGGCCATCAGGTATAACACCCAGAACCTGGGGTCAATGTAACACAGTAAATGTAACAGATCTTATTACATGTAACAGGTAAAACACCCAGAACCTGGGGTCAATGTAACAGTAAATGTAACAGATCTTATTACATGTAACAGGTATAACACCCAGAACCTGGGGTCAATGTAACAGTAAATGTAACAGATCTTATTACATGTAACAGGTATAACACCCAGAACCTGGGGTCAATGTAACAGTAAATGTAACAGATCTTATTACATGTAATAGGTATAACACCCAGAACCTGGGGTCAATGTAACAGAGTAAATGTAACAGATCTTATTACATGTAACAGGTATAACAACCAGAACCTGGGGTCAATGTAACAGAACCTATTACAAGTGATAAATGTAATAAAATCTATTACACATAACAGAGTAAATGTAACAGAAATAATTACATGTAACATTGGAAATGTCAACCTATTACATGTAAAAGAGAAAAAGTAACACATATTACATGTTACAGACAAAATGTAACACAATCTATTATATGTAATACAAAATGTTACACAACCTATTATATGTAACAGAGTAAATGTAACAGAACCTATTACATGAAACAAAATAAATTTAAAAGAACCAATTGCTTACATGTAAATGTGAAAGATACCATTGCATGCACATAACAGAGTAAATGTAACAGATCCTATTATTAAGTGTAATAGAGTAAATGTAACAAAACTATTGCACACATGTAAAAGTAAATGCAACAGATCCTATTACATGTAATAGAGTAAACATAATTACAGCTTCTTTTGTATTTCTTGTACTTGGTAATGTTATAAATGTTATGGTAAGATAAAAGTTGTATGAAATATTGTCTTGTTACAGAGAGACACATGTCACATGACGAGAGACTGTCAGACATGCTCAGTAAATGGGAGAGACTGGGGAGAGGATTTGGAAAGGAGCAGAAAATGTTATTTAAGGTAACACCCTGATTGTATATATCATAAAATGTCTTGCTTTTGGGGTTTTCATGCCTGCTTACAGAGTTGTCTTCCCTTTGTAGAAGCGATTGTTCATTGATCCATACATTAACCCCTTGGACCCGGTGGAGTGTGACCTGGTTTTTCATCAGTTGATGGGTGACCTGGCTGAAAGCAAGATTCCCATCACTCAACAAGAGGCTGTAAGTTTGTTTCATAAAAGTTTATTGTACAAACTGTTTGTTATAGACTTTCATGGTGAAGAATGCGTTTTTCAATAAAATGTAATACTGTAGAGGGTTTGAATGTACAGATGTATCATTTTAATTGTTTTTCCTCTGGCATCATTTTGCAGATATTTGAGTTAGTGCGTATAAAAATTTCCTCCTTTACAGTAAAACATTGTTACCATCTCATTCTCATGTTCTGAAAAATTCAACACTTTTTAGGTGAAACTTTGTGCCTTGAAAATCCAGTCAGAAATGGATGACCTGCAGTCCCTTGATATTGACTACAGGTGAGACAAGATTGAACTTAGTCAGTACTAAAATGGTCCATGCTCTGTCAACTATTTCTGAGAGCTGCGACCTTACCTAATGTTTTGAGTATTTCTAACAGCTGTGATCTTACCTAATGTTTTGACCTATTTCTGACAGCTGTAACCTTACCTAATGTCTTGAACTATTTCAGCTCCTGTTTGAGGATCCTGCCTTCGTACATAAGAGACTCAGTGAGACTGGAAGATGTAGCCTTTGGTCACAACTCAGTGATGGAGCTGTTACCTAACCAGGCCATCTTAGCCTTCATTGAGATCCTTAAACAGTGGACTCTGTTTGGTGCTCAGGTTTTCAATGTCTCAGTAAGTGTTGAAAAAAAATGTACTTCACGTAGATTTCCTCAACTTTTGTTGGAATGGTTTCAGTGTTGGAACATTTTAAGTAAAGGTAGATCCATTGATCTGTTCACTTAGATCGCAACTTGAAGGTAGGAATCTACATAAGCAGATAAATTTAAAGGATCTATTTTGAATTGGATTGGGTGTTGGAAGATATGAAGATACACAAAATTACATTATGTGTAATTATATCATATATGATGCTGAAATTTTGTAGGAATGCAAGCAAATGTTGACTTTAATAGACTGACTTGTTTTGAATTTCAGCAAAACTACACATCATCTCTTCCAAAGAGCCTCCTACTGGCCATTCATCAGCAAGGAATCACTCTCATGGAAGTCAACACTTTTGTAAGTCTATCAGAACATTTAAGAACCTGTTTGGTTTCCTTGATATAAACACATTGAAAATTTTATTCGAAAATACAACTGAATTGTCCATCTTATTGAAAATTTAAGAAAGTATATACTGAAATAAAAATATACTAAATGCATTATATGTATTTAACTTTCAGTTTATAGGTCTAACTTTCACTTTCTATTTATAGAGAACTCTTGCCTCCTATCAATATACTGAAGTGGTCCACTCAAGTCCGGCCATCACCAGTATTATGATTGTTGTGGGTCACGTTGCCAAGGGAATCAAATACATGTTTACAACAAATCAGGTCAGGATAACAACATTTTTAAATGAGCTACTAAGTTTCATAAGTGATCAGTTTAGTTTAAATCAAATGATGTTATGGTTTTACACGTAAATTGATGTATATGTATATATACATGTTAATCTATGGATTGTTTATAAACTCTTTGAACTGAGGTGATATTTTTCTTGCAGGCTTTTGAGATTGCCCACCTGATAAAAGACTACATCACGGAACTACAGTCTCGATTCCTGATCCCTGCTCCCCAGAGCACTGATATTAACATGAATCGTGCCTCCGCGGTGTTCTTTGACGATGCTTCAAGTACGCTACAAACACTAGTGTAGTGTATGTAGCAACAGATCAGATCCCAAAATCATGCTGTGTTCATTAAAATATTTCCAACAAATAGTCTGACTATAAGTCAGAAATGTATGAGTTTATATGTCTGAAGTGGATATTGTGTCGTGTCTCAATGTTTTAAATAATCAGACTGTGACGGTCTGCTTCCTGTGCAATCTGATCATGTGATATGTAGTGGGCGTGGCACTATGCTAGGTGTATCAGACACATTTGTTTGCTAGAACTGGTGATTTTTATTGTTTGATTTCTTGTTATCTTTTGCATTTGTTTGAAATACTCTTGCTGCTTTTTTTTTCCTTTGTGGTGTCGTTGCAGCAAATTATTTTTACATTTTGTATCAAGAAGAATCTCACAAGAACCATTATCACGTTAAACCAAAACAAAGAGGTATGATAGCAGTCGTAATTTGTCCATGGCTTGGTAGATTATAAGTTTTGTGCCTTATCTTAATGCAAATTAATGTTGTCAGCTCCATATCTTGATTTTCCTTTTTAATTGAAATATTTTGTCATATCAGAGCTAATTACATGTATCAATTCTCTGCTGCTTTAACAACTCAAATACCCAATTTACCATAAAAATATTAGCAAGACGTTGCTCAAATACCATCTGACAGCCTCAAATTCTGAACCTCAGGCCTATACTAATTTTTTTTACATCCTCTATATTTAAATTTTTGATTTTTTTTTTTTACTCAATTTATACAATGTACGTCATTTATGCAGTAATAAAAGATGGCCTTTTGCAGAAGCTTGGTTAGAATTACAGATCATTTTTCTGTACTCTTATTTTCTAGTTTTAGGAAAACTTTGAAGAAGATTGATTTGTGAAGATATTTTATGTTTTCTCTGTGTTATTGACAAAGGTGTGATGAATTTTCCTTGGACAAGCCGCCAGATAATATACACTTGCTTATATTACAGTTTGAAAAACTAAAAATTATGTTTGAAAACCACACATTTGTACTTTTACAACGTTAATATCAAATTCAAAGGACAAAGGAAAGAAATGTTTTATTTCTTAATATTGTGTCATTTATGATATGTTTCTCAGGCCAGATTGACCATTATTTTAGTCATGTAAATTACACATGTAATCATGTCAATGTCTCACAAACACATTCTCCATGGTTCAAAACCAATCATGCATCAAGTTTTCTTTGTGACCCAAATATGTTGAGAATCAGCATGGTATTTATTTTATCCATAATGTATCTAGTCAACATTTAATGCCAAATATTTTTTCTTGCAAAATCCTTGAAACGGGGAATAATATTGCATCCCTTTTTGCATTTGCAGGTTTTCAATTCAGCATTTCATATTATTGTATACACTTACATTTTAATCATGCTTAGAGATTAGAGTTTGTCAAAAATTCTTTTGATATATATGTACATGTACTGACCATATTATATAAATGTAAAAGTAAGAGACCAGTTATGTACCAAGAGTTATCATTACATGTCAAATAAAAAATGCCTGCATGGGTATGCAACCAAGCCTTTGAATCAAGATGATAGAAATGATTTCTTTTTTTCTTTTTAGTTTCTTGATATGCCAAATTAACCATTTTTGTTTACTGACTTTTTTAATTTTAATTTTATATTATTTAAAATTTGATATTTGATCTGAGTAGAGATTTCTCTTCAAACCTGTTAGCTTGTGGGCCAATTACATGTGGATGCTGTATTTTCCTCTTCAACTCCACTGTGTTTCAGTCGTTTCAGTACTTTGATTTTCTTTTGATAATGATCCAAACAGAAGCAATAGATCTGAATAATAAAGGTCTTGTCTTCCAGGGTTTTGCGACAGACTTTATACATTTCTATATTTATTGTTGTTTGTACTTATTTATGCAATGGATATTGTTTTTGTTTACATTTGTTTCTCTGTATGTTTGCATTATCTTCTGTAATTTCCCTTCAACTGGACATTGAGTACACATTGTGAAAATAACTTTATCAGCTGATCCAGAATGTTCTAAAATTTTGTAATGCCAACCAAGGCATTTCTTTCATGGAGTGTTTTCATGGAAATGTGATACACATTTTAACATCACATTATTGTTTAAGTCTAGTTGTCTTGTAATTTGTAAAATAAAAATCATATTGCAGTCTGAAAAAAAGGAGCTATTGGAAGGTTTGATTATAATCAGACTGATAATATTGAGACCTTCTTGGGTATGAAGCTGATTTTATCTAGATTCTATTTCCAGTTACACAGTATCGATCAATGGTTGATACTGCTCTATATGCTTAGGTCCAGTTGTGGAGCAAGTACTGAAGACATATGATGGCTCTGAGTATTGTGCAATAAGTAATAAGTAAGGAAGTGTCTTGTACAACCAATAAATATATTTTCTTATGAAAAGTTGTTTTCTTCTTCCTCACTGACAAATTAATTTGGGTTTCATGCCATGTTCCTCCTCATCTTAATGTGAATCTAATACTAGATCTGATCATGCAAGATTCCCCCCCCCCCCTTAAAAATATATATTCTGAACTGCAACTGGTTTTAACCTTTATGTAGCATATACTTGGGTGATTTTCCACCAGAACAAGCATTCTGAGAGTATTGCATTAGCAATACTAGTCCCCTACCGGCAACTGTAATCTGGTTCCGTTCCCGTTAAGAATTGAAAATGCCATAATTCCGTCAAAAATTAATGAAGCGGGACGAAATGCAAACTTGATCTATAACTTATCAAGGTAAAGCCACATACCAAAAATCAGCTCAATATCTACAAGCGTTTAGAAGAAAATTGCGGAAAACCCGTAAAAATTGAAAAGGCCGTAATTCCGTCAAAAATCAATGAAGCGGAACGAAATGCAAACTTGATCTGTAGCTCATCAAGATACACTTACATACCAAAAATCAGCTCAATATCTGCAAGCGTTTAGGAAAAAAGTGCGGAAAACCAAGTGGGACAGACTGACAGACAGACAGAGGGACAGACAGACGGACGGACAGACTCAGAGGAAACCTATAGTCCCCTCCGGTTTCACCGGTAGGGGACTAACAAGCAGTAAGTGCTTTTCTTAGAGATCCAAATATTTTTTTTGATTATGTGTCTTCTCCTCCTTAACATATGTAAATATGGATTAAACCAGGTAAGCTAATTATCATTATTGATTATCCTAATTCCCACTAACCATCCTCTGTTGTAAACTGTCTTTGCTAATGAGGAAAGAATTTCCAGAAAATGTTAATCATTTATGTCTCGTAACTCTTGTGAAGAAAATATGTAAGTAGAGAGTTACACATACTCCAACTGAGTTTAGATAATAAGGTTATAGTTAAATACAATTACAAGCACATTTGTGTCTTTCACTAATTAACAATTTTCAATTGCCAATGAGTACATGACTAATTAAATTAGTCATGTACTCAATGGAAATTGAAAATTGTTAATTAGTGAAAGACATTTCTATGTTAAAGTATCAGTAGGTTGGAACAACTGCTTTCACTATCGGTGCAACAGAATCAGAATTTATCCATTTCAAAATAAAAGTACATAAAATTAAACTGATAAAAGAATCGATTGTTTGCATCAAAAAATATTAAAGCTCCATGTGAGGATCGAACCAAAAAAAAAAAAAATGTGCGACTCCGTTGCATTGGACGGGTAACGCATCATCGCTATACACACGATATTGATTTTAAAACGACTATGAAGCACCGCATTTACACATTGGATTTTTTCCCCAAAAAAGTATATTTTTGATGGTCTCTGGGTCTTCTTTCCATTTTTTTTTATTTTTTTTTTTATAAATGTTTGTTTATTTCTTTGAATTAAAAAGCACACAAATAACGTTTCAAAAATCATGGAGAAATGACCCAGGGATGGATGGCAAAGTTTTTGAAAAACATGTTTAAAAATGTAACATTTGTACAAAATGACTCATCTAGCCAATTTTCAAGTTATTTTTCAGCAAATCAAAACGCAATATCAAGAAAATATTTCCCTTTCCTATTTCACAGGAACCCGATACATCGAAAGAATGCTAAAATTTGATGTAATTTTAACAGATCTATGAAATTTTCACCTTCCAAATGCACCCAAATTCCTGCCGAATGCCAATCTAAAGTGCCCTCGTTCTTTTACACAAAGCCCAATTTGTCCTAATTTTTAGAAATTTGCTAGGGCATGTTTGTGTTGTTCTATGTTTAACGAAATAAATAACCATTTGTATGTTTTAATCCAGTATTTTATTGAAAGGGGGGGGGGGGCTCAGATAAGGGCTGCAATATTTTTGTCTGCTATTATGGCTTGGTCCAGGAATGTTATTATTAGACTGAACAAATGAGTTATACCAAGGTTAAATTATTAAAAAAAAAAGGTTGAATCTATAAACACCTTATTTATACCAATCTTTTGGCAGTAGGAAGTAAAGGGGTGCTGGGTATGAATTACTAGTAATTCATATTCAAAATCATGCTCTAGATCTCTCTGGGCCGACTTCATTTGTCACAGATCGGCGTACGCCGAATTGCGCCGGTCATATGATCGGCGTAAAACGGCTAACTGGCAAATGAAGTAAACCGGCGAAAACAAAAAATAATTATACTATATAACAATCAATTAATTAAGATCTATCACTTTTTACGTTATGTCTTAGCGAAAAAAAGGTTGGATAATTAGAAATGTAATGTTTAAAAAAGTCATGGAATTGATGAAAAAAATTATTTGTAGAAAATAAGAACGGATTTTAAATACACGAATGGAGATTTGTTCAAGAAAAGTAAACAATTAAAGAATATGCCGAATTGGTAAAAAGTATCCTCATTTTATAAGTTGTTTTATCTTCCCGCCATATTTCTAAGACCGGCGAATTGCTCGCCGGTCATTTCAGACCGGCGAGATCGGCGTACGCCGGCGAACCTTCCCCGGTCAAATGAAGCAACAAGCCGGGTTACCAAAGGTCAAGCGGCGCATTCGGCGTACGCCGGTTTGACAAATGAAGTCCCACCTCTGTGTGTGTGTGTGTGGGGGGGGGGGGTGCTTTTTAATTTTTTAAACTGGACAAAACGAAGGAAAGCATAACTGCAATGAGATAATATGATCACAAACAGTTAAACCTCGTTATCTCGAATTCAGTGAGATCGAGAACTTTGATATATCCAAGGATTCAAAATATTGAGGTTAAATTATTAAAAGAGTAAATGATTGCATTTGGGACTTCCAAATCACTTCGATATATCCATAGTATTCTAGATATCGATGTTCAAGATACCAAAGTTCAACTGTACTTACTCAGCACCTACCTAGCAATCAAAAAGAATTGCCGCATGCAACACAGATCCGACTTTAAGCAGAATTGTTTCAAAACAGCTATAGACTCAGTTGTTGCAGTCAAGATATATACTTTGTCCTGAAATCTTCATATGAAAGGAAAAAAAATTAGCAGAAAAATATTTCTCCAAAATATCATTATTAACATGTACAACATAATTTTCTTCCAGACTGACATTCAGGGTTCCCCCACCCCCTGTAGAAAACATGGACCCCACCACCACCACCACCAGGAAACAGTTTTCTTTGTTTTGTTTCGTTTTTTGTTGTTGTTGTTGTTGTTGTTTTTTTTTTTTTTTGTTTTTTTTACTTTTATATGTTTGGGAAATGGATTTTACGTTGTTTTTTTTGTTTTGTTTTTGTTTTATTTTATTTTATTTTTATTTTTTTGTTTTTGTTTTTCGGCTTTTGAAGAAATTTTCTGGGTTTGATACGTTTGGGTACGAAAGCCCATTGAGCTCATTTTGGTAGGTAAAAAAAAATATTTTTCGCGTTATAACGCGAAACTTTCTCGAATGAACGCGTAAATTTCGCGTTATAACGCGAAACTTTCGCATTATAACGCGTAACTTTCGCGTTATATCGCGTAACTTTCGCGTTATAATGCGAAATTTTTACGAATAAACCAGGAATTGTTTGCTATAAAACCGAGACATTTGCACAAGTCCCCAGATTTAATGATTTACTGCATTCCTTATAATGACAAAAGAAAGACTTGTCCGACTGTATTTTGAACTTGGACTATCACAAACTGAAATTTTAAGTTTTCTCGCAATTGTGAATAAAGTCATTATTAGTAAATCGACATTGAAAAGAACGCTGAAAAGACTACGGCTTACGAGAAGAAAAAATTATTCTGATGTATGTGACGTTGCCTTATATATTTTGAATGAACTACAGAATTCGGGGCAGTGTCATGGCTACAAATGGATGCATAACAAATGTTTGCGCTCTGGATTAACTGTTTCTCGAGACACAGTGTTTCATCTTATGAAAGTTTTAGACCCAGATGGAGTTATGGCGAGGAAAAGAAGAAGACTACATAGACGGCAATATGTCAGCAATGGCCCCGATAACGTGTGGCATATTGACTCTTATGATAAACTGAAGCCTTACGGCATAGCTATAAATGGATGTATTGATGGATTTTCAAGAAATATTATTTGGTTGGAAGCCAACTCAACCAATAGCGATCCAAAAGTCATAGCTGATTACTATATAAAAGCCGTGCAACGCCGGAGGGGATGTCCACAAAGGGTAAGGGCTGACATGGGGACAGAGAATGTATACATAGAACAAATGCAGAAATTTCTGAGACGCAATCATGTCGACGCTCACTCTGGTGATAAAAGTTTTTTATATGGGAAAAGTACGCATAATCAAAGGATTGAATGGTTTTGGGGGATCCTAAGAAAGGAAGTCGGGCAGTTCTGGATGAATTTATTCGCAGATATGGCCAACTGCATTGGAGAGACTATCTTCTGTGGAACTTTTTTGGACAAAAATTTAGTACAATTTTGCTTTATGGACATAATTCAGGTAAATATGAAGAGTTGAAACGTTACTTACAGATAACATAACATATATATCTATATACATGTACTCTCTTTCTCTCTCTCTCTCTCTCTTTTCCTTTTTTTTCCCTTTCCTTCTGATTTTTCAGCAGAATTGCAGTAACCCGATGTGAATGGTAAGAACATAATTAAAAAGAAGACAGTTTGAGTATTAAGCTTATTTTCATTTTTATAGAAAGACTTGGATAACTTGGTGGAAATTTGGAACACACATACTATATCTGGTGGAAAAGACATACATGGTGCAAACAGACCAATTATGCTCTATACACTTCCAGAATTATATAATAAACAACACTGCCTCTGTGACGCAGATGAAACAGAAATCAATGCGTGCTCGGAAGAAACTACCCCAAAATCCGAGTTTTCGTGTGATGAGACTGTTCGAGACCTATGCCTTGTGCTGATGGAAGAAGATGGATATGTATTTCCGAAAGATTCCGAGGATGCAAAAAAGCTATACACCCATCTTAGGGAAAAAGTGTTATCGTTGCTCTAAATTA